CCTCCAGTTTAGCATTTACCTTCGCTTCGAGGGGAATGGGTATCCTCCTGTATGGTTGGCAGATTGCTTTAATACTGTCGTCGAATGGAATATCGACTAAGATATTTTTGAACTTTGGAAACATGGATATGTTGTTCACCAATTCTAACCCAATCTTCAAAATGCCTAGAGCTTTCGATGTATTTTTCCCCAGTAAATTGTTTGTTCCACCTTCTATAACATAGAATGTAGCAATTTCGCTGTTATTATGAACACTTATTTTGGCCTCAAATGATCCTAATATAGTTAAAGGAGTTCTGCTTCCATATGCCATGAATGTTTTATTTGATTCTTTTTCTTGTTTCATGACCTGCGCCCCATGTTTCTTCATGTATTTCCAAGTTGTATCTGTAATGAGATTACTTTTACTTCCCGAATCGATCAACATCTTTGTGTCCACTCCTCCCAATGAACAGATGATGGTTTCGTCCTCATCGATGTGGAAAACATAATCGATTTCATTTTCCGAATGAGAGTCTTCTTCGATCGCGTGTACCCCTGTCGACTTCCGCTTTTTACCTCTCGGATGATTATAGTTTTTCTCTTCCATTTTTCGTATCGAACTCTCTGACTTTGATTCTCGTGTTCTACAAAAATTTGCAAAATGTCCAATAGCATTACATTTATTACAAGTTTTTCGCCTGGCTGGGCATTTTGAATCATTAGGTGCATGATTATTACGGCCGCATCTAGTACAATTTCGTTTAAACTTGCCCTTGGGCCTAGAAAATAATGCATTCACCTGATTGTTAGTCCCAGAAGAACCCGCTGTATCTTCCACGGTGAATCCACCTAGCTCTCGATTGACCGTCTCTAAGGAAGTGGCTTCCTTTATCACTCTCTCTAGAGTGATAGAGTCCCCTGCCGCTAGTATTCTTTTACGAAGCTCCACCGAATTACCTGTTGAATTATTTCTATTAGTTTCATGCATTTCTATGAGTAGACTGTGGATTTCCCATGCCAGTTTTAATCTGAATTGAGGTATATCTAGTGAATTTCTTGGATATTTGGTCTGACATCTCTATAAATTCTTCTATTCTACGAACCATGATAGTGAGATATAATCGAAATATTATTATTATTTTCGACAGAAACAACAGTTTTGTTTGCTAATACCACTAACTATTGGAGTTGCATTCTCTACATCTGTGTGATTCAGAGTTCAGAAAGATGAATAATTAACACACTGTGGCTCTATTCAATGAAATTTTCGTCATAAATCTTAAATATAAGCTAGCTTCTTCGAATTATCCAGGACAATGTCAACCTGCTTGAACCTACATCCTATTAAAACGACTTAAAGACTCATGAGTTTATATAATGATTTACCTTTTTCCACGATTTGATCAATCAAATTTTCGTCTATGTTGGTGAATTTACATTTTTCGGCCTGATTCCGGAGCCTCAATAGAAATTTTCCAAACCCTTCTCCTTCCTCTTGCTTCATGAGTCGGAAGATGTGCCTTTCATAGACCTTGCTATGTTTGGGTAGGAAATATCCATCCAGTTTAGAGATTGCTGAATCATACACATCTGCTTCCTCGTTTTGGTCAATACCTGCTTCTGGAAGATTATAAAATATCTCCTGCAGCCCCTGACCACCAAAGTGTAGCAAATTTGCTCGTTTTTTGTTCGAGTCTTCCATCCCCGTGGCTTCGATATAAATTGAGAATGCTCTCTTCCATTTCTCCCATCGTAGGCCTACAGAACGTATATCTCCCTCGACGTCCAATTGACCCAAACTAGCGTAGTTCGCATTCATGTTACCTAAAACTATATTTCATTTCATTGTCATTTTATTATTTCTGCTATTATTATTATCATTAATATCATTTTCAGTGGTAAAGAACATCAAGATCCTATAGGTTATAAGTGCCCCTACTCACTCTCGGCTTTGTCTGAGTTCAGGCTTTTCCAATATGTTCTGATTTGTTACAATCCGCTTGGTATGAATACGGGTTAATACCCAGGCTTTTGGTGCTCAGAACTGACGTTCTCTCGAGCGTTCTTTACAGCTTTGTTTTGGTCTGTGACCCTTAGACAATTTGTCTATTCGAGCGTGTGCTCAGGCCTGTGGCCAGCTGGACTAACCGTCCTTTGAACCTTTGTTCAGGTCTGTGACCCTTAGACAATTTGTCTATTCGAGCTGGTGCTCAGGCCTGTGGCCAACTGGACTCAACGTCCTTCGAACCTTTGTTCAGGTCTGTGACCCTTAGACAATTTGTCTATTCGAGCGTATGCTCAGGCCTGTGGCCAACTGAACTCCACGTCCTTCGAACCTTTGTTCAGGTCTGTGACCTTTAAGATTGCAATTTGTTATCTGTACTTACGATTTTTTCAGCACTATCCTTCCTTTTTAATCCTCGTCGCCACTGTATTATGTTTAAACACGGGATATAAGGCACGTTGGAATAAAACAACTTTTAACTTCACTCACTGACTGTCACACAACGACTGACTCAACCCCCGATCATCCAAGTCGTTATCACCCGATGAGTCAGTAGTGTGTGCATCATTCCTTTATTAGCTAATCTGCATACTACAATGCGCATGACTCAAATGAATTCTGTCACAAAATTTCCATAGAACATGAAACATGAAACGTCATTGCCATCAATGCCGTGATTGAATTGGTTAATTCCTAGATCATTATTTTATTTTAGTTATCTTTATAAACAGTGGATTTCATTCCTTATTCCTCGAATTATCTTATTCCTTATTTTATTTTAATTGCTGTATAAACCCACCTGTACATACATTAAACTCCACTTCTTATAATAGCAAATTAAAATGAAACTATAATTTAGGCCCATTTTTGAACAGAAAATTTTAGGATCCGTTAGAGAGAATCTGGTTATTCCTTCCATTTACAAAACAGACTATTTGAAAAAACTTGAAAATTTTAGAACGAAACTGAGGAAATCAAGTAAATTGCAACGTGATATACACTGTGTCCAAGATAAGGATGTCTATCATGGGAATCGTTTTTATTTCTTTCTGACGTTAATCAAAGAGATATACGAAAACAGAAGACACTTTCTCATTCCCATTTTTGAAGCTCTACAAAATAGCGTTGATACATTTCCCGTACGACGTTTCGTTTCGGAGAAACCATAATCCACTGTACCCCATGATAGACATCATTATCTTGGACTCACTGTATATCATTGAATGGCGTTTTCAATACCGACCGAAATAGCTATAAGTATATCCATATGTGCCTATTTTGTTATATTAAAATGTTGTTACTTTCTATTTTCCATCTATGGCTACGATTGATTTGACAGAAAACATAAAAACTACAGGAAAACATGTCTAACTTTCAATGTAAGCTAGGAGTTAGGAATGTTTTCCCATAGTGTTCATGTCATCGCAACGTCAGACGATGACCTTGGCTAGTGTCCCTGTATGTACCTTAGACAAGAGTCCGGACACAACTATACTTCTGTTCTTTTCTGTTTTCAAATAATGCATTGATTGAATAAAGGAATAAGACATATATATCGAGGTCTGTCTTTTCAATTCCCCTACTATCAATGATTGTCAGAAACAATGTTGAGGGTTACATTATTTGTCAGGTTAGAAGTGAGAAATAGGGCTATTTTAACTAGAATAACTTTTAGATTTTCAAATAATGAACAACAGGGTGTTCAAATTTCGAATCGATAATTTTCATAATCAATTCCTGAGATGGCTATTGAAAATTTTCGTCATCAGATACAGTGTGACCCACTTCTAATGGAAACACCCCTGTATCTTACGTAATCGTTGGGTAAGGATCCTGAAATTTGCTGGAGCGAGAGATATACCAAAAATGCACTCTATGACCAAGTGGGGTCATCATCAGTGACATACACTGCTCGCCAACAGCCTCGCAATTTCCGGAAAATGATATTAGGAGTCAAAATAGATCGAAAATTACCTCAGATTCGTAATCAGGACGCCCAATTCACTAACTATTCATATTTTTCCCGGAAAATTTTCAGTTCTGAAAAATTTAATTTTGTCGCACTTTTTACGGAAGCACATCCGTATCTTACGTAATTGACTTCATCTTTGGACTTTCATTTCCTCCTGCAAATTTCAGAACCCTACCTCAATAATTACGTGAGATTTGGGGGTGCTTTGAACGTTTTCTAGGAAAACTATAAATAGTTAGAGAATTGGGCATCCTGATTCCGAATCCGAAGTGATTTTCGACCTATTTTGACTCCTTATATCATTTTTCGGAGAGTGGGGTGGTTCCATGGCTGTTGACGAGCAGTGTATATCACTGAAGATGACCCCACTTGGTCATTGAGTGCATTTTTGGTATATCTATCGCTCCAGCAAATTTCAGAATCCTTACCCAACGATTACGTAAGATACAGGGGTGTTTCCATTAGAAGTGGGTCACACTGTATATATATATTGTGGATTTTCCATTCTGGGCGTTTCATTGCATTCTTCCATGACATTATCTTGAAAGGATCATTCGGAAAATTGAATAACTTGAATCTCTTTTCTAATGAATGATCGCAATAATGTACGCAGCAGGACATTGAAATTATTTAAAATGCTAAATTTTGGCGGTCATAAAATTTCAAAGTTTCAAAGTGACAATGACAGAAATTCGAAATAATTGAAAAAAGCGGACGGGACGACTATGGTGTTTCGTCACATTGTCAGGTGGGCAAACCAAATGGAACAAAATATTAAAAACCCCAACTGCTGTCAGCTTTGTGTCCGGACTCTTGTCTAAGGTATATACAGGGATTCTAACCTTGGCTACCGCGAATTAGGGAAATTGAAAAGACAAAGAGCATTGTAATTTAGGATATAGAAAAGGACAGACGTTCAGCTGTGTCCAAATTCTTATCTACTTATACCATCCAGTAACTCTAACTGGGTGAAATCACGCCCTAAAATCTGTCACTGCCTGCCGGTCTAATACCCTGTACATTATATCTTACCGACGACAGGTGGAGACCAAGAAGAAGCTCGACCGAGAAAACCGCAAACTATACGAGATCCTCGTATGCGCCACCGATGGGGGCGGCCTCACCGACTTCATGACCGTCAGAGTCAAAGTCGCCGACGAAAACGACAACGCCCCCAAATTCCTGCTGAGAGAATACAAAGTCAGCATCTATTCCAACTTGACGCGCGACTCGACCTTTGTCACTATCCGAGCCTTGGACGAGGACGAAGGCGAGAACGCTCTCGTGACCTATGACATTTATGAGAAGCAGACGAGCGACGTGCAGGGGATGTTCGCCATCGATCCCGCCAACGGACGGATGCACCTGTTGCGGGACGCCAGAACGCGCGTCGGTCAGGTATAACCCTAAAAGTGTTAGAGAACCCCGCACAGATCTTATGGGTTGCGTGCAAGATCTGTCAGATGACTGACCCTGGAGGTAAAACATTGAAACACAACCTCACTTCTCTTATTTGTATACAAGGGATTTAAATAGTTTTTCACAATTATTTTGGCATACGAATCGTGTTTTTCGGCTATTCATTAATCCAAGCATGCCATCACATTGTGCTGTTGTACAAGGCACTACTTTTCAGGTATGTACATTGTGATCTAAAAGTACTATAGTCATTCACATATAGTTTTAGTTTTGAAATTCTGTCATTTCTCATTAGACTTTCTTCCGCAATAGGACCTGATGGAAATACTCGTGAGGTTTCTAAAAGAAGGCAAGAAGATCGGATTCATTCATGCCACCAAACGGGAGGACTGGTCTTCGGACATGCTGACGAAATATCGATCGTGTGTGTTGCAGACATTTTCACTCTATCAGCAGTATTAGCTTCTATTGCAGTAATCGCAGAAGGAATCCTGATGAGAAATGACAAAATTCCATAATGAAAACTACATGACATCACTATTTACCTGAAAAATCATATTCCTTTTCTCTAGCTGCATTTTTGTACATTGTACAACAGCACAATGTGATGGCATGCTTGAATTAATGAATAGTCCAAAAAACACGATTCGTATGCCAAAATATTGTGAGAAACTATTTCAGTCGTTTGATTATATTGTAAAAAAATAAGAAAAGTGAGGTTGTGTTTCAATGTTTTACAGAAAAGTGAGGTTGTTTCAATGTTCTACCTACAGGTCGGTCATCGTGCAATCGCCTAATGGTAAATAGGTTTCGGTCAAATTGGCTGAAATTTGGGTATTTTGTAGGTTATGTTATTCTGATCGAAAGCAATGAAATCAATGTAAACACCTGGGGGTCTATTCTCGTGCGTTATTCATATTCAAATAAGATCTCTTATTTCACTTCAACATACGTCACATACGTAAGTCCATCCATCTTTGTTTATATACGAATTGAATTCGAACGGTTCGAAAATAGACCCTCTAGAAGGGACCCTGTGTGAACGAATGAGGCAAAAAGATTGTTCAAGCAACCCTCAGTGGTTACGGATACCTATCTCTTTCTATCTTATGTTGGCTAATGGGAAGCGCTCGCATTATTTAAAATATTTTCTCGTTTTTTGCTTTTATGTAAGAGTAAACGTGATTAAATATAAATATTCATTTAGGAAAAAATGAACGAATTGTTTCATTAAGATGAATTTCTGCCTCGCCCAGAATGTACCGGGTGAACAACTAAGAACGGCTGTCATATATTATCTGTCATTCTTCTAACTTTGATAGTCAATATCTTCCGTTGGCGCAAAGCTATCATGTTGCGGTTTTCCATTGGTCTATTTGAGTTGCATACCATCAGATTTATTCTACCTCAAACTTGTATCATTATTCGTTGCTGAGATATGGCCGACAGCCGTTCTTAGTTGTTCACCCGGTACACCTTTATTTTTTCCTTTCTGGGAAAGGAGAAGCTCCAAAGGCAAACCTGGAAAGAAAATATGATGTTGCTCTTAATTTTGATAATTTGAACTTGTAGTTTCTACCTTCAGAATGTTTGTTTAGTACCTCATCAAGATTGTCATTCTCCTTTTTACATTTTGTTTCGGTGTTTCCACTTTTCTTCTGTATTGTATATTGGAGAGACCCCCTTTGTCGATTCACTATGTAGTTCTCCCATGTTAGATATTTTGAATTGTGATCAAGACTGTTTTCACTATATTTTCTATCCTTCATTATGTCAAACTGAATTCGAATACAACTACTTGTTTTACTAGAAAATTAAGAGCATTGACATTTTACAATAGTCAAACTTCCACGCTCTGTATAAAAAAAACTGTACCTGGTATAGGTTTGGGCCCATGAGAACTTTTGATCAGAATAACATAAACTACAAAATACCAAAATTTCTGCCAATTTGGCCGAAACCTATTTCCCATAAGATCTGTGCGGGTCCTTTAGTAATTTCCGGTTATAGCATGCGAACGGTCAGCTCATATAGTCGTGGCCATAGATAAACTACACTCTCTAGATGGCCAACGCACATGTTAACCTCTTGTTTCATTTTTGCTCAGCCCCTCTGGTGTTTGGTGGCACTTTTTGCTTTCATCTCTTCGCACCATTAATAGACACTGTGAAATGAAAATGGTCTGTAAATGAGAGCAAGTGATCAATGTGCATACTTTTTCAATTTGGTCATAAAAACCGTAAACACCTATAATAATCACAATGATATATATCTTAACAATTATCACAGGATCTGCAAAAACTTTATCCTCTCCAGAAACCTGAGATAGTCTTTTCTAAAATTTGGAAAACGAAGTCAGGAAAGATTCACTATTGTTAAAATCAAAAGTGAACTATTGTTGATTGATTTTTTCAATCTTGATTGAAAAATGAAGTAATTAGCTATTAATCGAGAAAATAGCACTTTTAAACTAAAAAATCACACATCTAGACGAAAAAAATCACAACAAAGAAGGCATGTCAATCGTCATTCGTCAAATAAAATATGTAAGCCATTTGGAAACCAATGTCTGCGCCTGCGCACTATCACGTATCACGGATCTTCATGTCAAATGCCTACCTATTGTTTGGTGGCTGAACTAAATAATGAATCAAGTTTGGTCCATTAAAGTTGGAGGTCTATAGAGTGTAGTTTGTATATGGAAGGAGCAAATAGGTCGTGGTACAGGGTCATTCCGTATATTTAAACATATTATACAGGGATCATCATTGAAGATAGAGAAAAAATTTCATAGAAAATGTGACAGAACGTTTGATTGATGACAACCTGTATATATGTTGTCGATTCTTCATGGCAATTGCGATTTGCTAAAATAAAACTATAACTCATTCTAAAATGTTCTACCTTGAATATTTGATCTGTATCGAATATCAACAACTTATATATTTTTGAAATCAGAAATGAATGATCTTAAATTTTTCTTGAAATATATAGGGTGTTCCATTGAAAATAACGAAGTTGGTACCCATTTCTTATATCAGCGATATCCATTTGTTTCACCTGGTACAATTTTCTGGAGGTTTAGTCAAACCTTGTATTGAAAGTTTTTTACTATCCTCAATGATGAACCCTGTAGAAGCTGTATAAATATACAGAATGACCCTGTACATGACTCAATAGAACATTGACAAAGAATTGAAATTGCAATTCTGAACTGTAAAAACTGGATTGACATTTCACGTTAATATTCTCAAAATAAACTGAAATAATAAACTTCAATCAAGTGAAAACAACATAATGCAATTGAATCAGAGTTATGTAGAGAATATACAGGATGTTCTCTCCACGAATTCCAGTAACTCGCACCTCCATCAAATGTGTAACAGAAAAGCTCGAAATATCTTTCCAAAAGGTTGTGAAAATTCACAAAGTGAATTCAGTGAAGACCAGAGTTGAATCAATTACTCTGGACAGGTTAGTTGAAAACATGGTACTGCCAATATTTCGTAGAAAAAATAACATTCATCAAAAGTGGATGTTACACAGGTTTTCCAGTTTTTCGTGAGGGCCAGCGATGGAGGAACGCCTGCCAGATACTCCGACGTGCCTGTGAACGTTCTCATCATGGGAGCTGACGATAACCCTCCCGTACTAGAGCGCAGCAACGGGAAATTTTTTCTCTCTGAGAACTCACCTGTCGGCACTGTCATCACGAACCTGAGGCCCATCTCTAACCCCTCCATCAAATTCGAGATGGTCTCCGACTCAGGACAGTTCAACGTCGACGCGCAAGGTAAGAGAGACGATTTGAATAAGTGGACTTTTTTATTTTCAAATAGAATATCACTCAACTAACTGTAAGTTCCTTATTTTTTCAGATTATTTTATGGATTTGAAGGTCTTGAAACCAACAATAATGTCACGGAATATTTTATTTCAAATTCACATAGCAACTGATGTCACGATTTCATGCGTTTTAGCAGATAATAGCATAGTTGCCATATGTTGAAATACGATTGGAGACTTTACAAATATTATTTATTCAATAATTCATAAATTCTTAATTATGTATAGGTAATATTCTCAATTAGCTATAAAAAAATCCATCGTCTTACAATTTTTCCTCCTATGTGTTGTGCCTTATGGTTTATAATAAATTTCTGTAAAATTAATTATATTAATTAATTAATTAATTACAACAATACCCGCTAGAGGCAAACATTTCATTTAACGATCAACTAGACCTCAATAATTCACCGCTGTTGAATTTGTTTTCTTAGTGAATAATATGTGCTATTATCCCTTTCAATTGCATATTTTTCTTGGAATTTTTTGGGTCGATTTTAAGGTGCTAAACTCATCAATAATGCCACGGTAATTTTCAAACGGCTAGAAATTTACCGCGAGTAATAACTGAAGTAACGATTTCGTAAGTAGGGCAGACCATAGCACAGTTGCCATGTGTTGAAATACGATTGGGAACTTCAGAAATATTAGTTATTCAATAATTCATGAATTCTCAATTATGTATTGGTAATATTCCAAATTATCAATGAAATATCAATTGTCTCAAAATGTTCCCTCATGTATTGTGGTTTATTGATTATAATACATTTGTGTAAATAATAATAATAATTATAATTCACACAAGAGGACATTTGAACCGGTGAACGTGACAACACGGCGCACGAATTGTGGTCGGTGCCTTGTCAGTTCTCAGCATTCAGCACGGACTTCAATATTTACATGATATTTTGTTTTGGAGTATAGCTCGAAAAAGTCAAGAATTAATTATTATATCGTGGCTTCCTCCTATTATGTTTTATCTCGTGTTTTATTCAACGTCAGAAATGACAAGATCAAATATATTTTTGATAACTTAATTATTAACGGTGACTTGACAACCTTGCTTCCTAAGTGGGAATGGAATATCATTCGACCAATAACGTCACAGCTTGAAAATTGACGTCATGACGGTACGTTTGAAATGAGCTATGAAAGTCAAAAATTTTGAACAACGCATATACTCATTATGTACATAAAAAGATCGTTAGAAATGTTGCAAAAATTAATTTAGGTCCCAAGCAGTGGAGTTATTGAATGCCAATAATTCATTATCAGTCCACTCGCCCATTGTGCATACTTTCCAAAAGTATAGGCTTAGCCAACTTTTCCACAAGTAATTTCAATCTTTCAATAGCATGTTTCATTCGGATCAAAAGGGGCTCTGCTTGCCTCGCAAAATTTGCGTGCTAGGCTTCGCGGTCGCTCCGCCTCGCAAACGCAAATATCGCTTGTCACATTTGATCCTAATAACACAATGTACTATCATAATCATAATAATAATATCCTTTATTCAACAAAATATATTAATAATAAATATAATAAATAAATATATAATTAGTGAGGAAATGAATAAAGCTGTTGAGCGATAAGTGCCATCGCACTTGTTTCGCAGAAAATGTCCATGAAAATATCCATGAGAAATTGGCAATTGAAATTAAAATACGTTTCATTACAAGATAAAATAGCGATAATTAAAAGTTCCTAACTAACGACATATACAAACAATCAAGAGACAAAAACTTCAGAAATACTAGAATTAATACTATAAATATTTATAATACTGTGACTACTATACTACTATAATGATAGCATTATTGAGGTGAGCCGTACACATTTTTATTCCATCAGGAATATATTTCTTTAGCCAACTAGAGCATCAAAATGTTGATGAGCTAGTTGTCTTGGATTTTCAAGAATGAAACTCTTCAGGGCCTTTCTGAATTATGGACGATATACAATTCCTTTAAGCCGTCCAGGTAGTGCATTATAAAATTTCGGTGCCAGAGAATCGAAAGAACGTTGGGTTAATGTTTTCCTCATATGGGGTACTAGGTGCTGATTTCGATTTCGTGTATGGTATGAGTGAGTAGCTATTTGTGAGGTATGTTTTGTGGTATGATATTTCGTGAGTGTGAGGAAAAATTATAGTTGTCTGATGTCCATGATTTTTGTTTCTAGATACAGCTGATCTGAGTCGTACCGTCGATCTTTTGAAAAAATGAGTTTGAGAAACCGTTTTTGACTTATTTCCAAGAGATGAATGTATGTTTTTGCAGCTGCCCCTCATCCTAGTATTCCAATATTATAGTATTATCAATCTGAAACTCTTCTTCATAATGATAAATTCCGATCTAAGTGTATATCTTCCATTTTATTTTTGATATTCCATTCGTTTACTTATTTATTTTCTTGTGTCTACATGAACATGTATGTTTCATGGGATCAATAAATGTAATTATTATTATAGGTCAAGTTTCGTTAGCAAGACCGCTGGACTTTGAAACACGCGCCTCGCATGTCATCGGCGTATATTCCATATCCATTTCACTAAAAATTAGAAAAACCACTCGAATCGCACTTCCAATTTCAATACCCATGGGCATCACACTAGACAAAGTGGTCATTTGAAAACTGAAAATAAATACCCAATTCGATGAAAATATTTTTACTTTTGTGGTATAAATATCTATACCGTCTACCTGGTCTACCCAACAGAATTATTAAATCTATCAATCTCCTCACAAAATGCAAGAGTGAACAGATGAAATATATATTATCAATCTGAAACTCTTCTTTATGTCGATAAATTCCGATTTAACTGTTCATCTTAAATTTTTTTGGATATTAGATTCGTTTACTTATTCATTTTTCCTTTGTCCCTCCATAAACATGTATGTTTCTTGGAACCAATAAATGTAATTATTATTATAGGTCAAGTCTCGTTAGCAAGACCGCTGGACTTTGAGACTCGCGCCTCGCACGTCATCGGCGTTTTAGCCTTAACGAATTCCAGTCCCCCATTGGCCACGCTCGCCGAGATCCTCCTCCAAGTCCAAGACGAGAACGACCACGCGCCCGAGTTCGAGAGCGCGCACTACGTGTGGCACGTGGGCGAGAACGTGCGCAAGGACGCGATCGTGATGCGCGTGGTGGCGCACGATGCCGACCAGGGCAGCAACGGCGAGGTGACGTACAATTTCGCCGACGAGTCTTCCGAGGCGTCGAATACCTTCTCGATTGATAGTCATACGGGGTGGGTGAGCGTTATCGCGGAGTTGGATAGAGAGGCCAAGGCGGAGCATAGTTTCTACGTCACCGCCAGCGATAACGGTATGTAATTAGAATTGGCCATATTTCACCAATGAACTCAATATAAACAACTGGAAGGGACCCTCTGTGAACGACGAGTGAGGCAAAAATATTTTTCAGGCAACCCGCAGTGTTTACGGATACCTATCTCTCTCTATCTTATGTTCGGTAATGGGAAGCGCTCGCATTATTTCAAATATTTTCTCGTTTTTTACTTTTATTTAGGAGTAAACGTGATTAAATAAAAATATTCATGTAGGAAAAAGCATAATGTTGCAATCAATTATCATTAAAAAATTATTATTGATTTTTTTATTGACTTAAAAATGAAATTTCAGTTTTATTCTCACAGGATTAGGAAGTCAAATGAATACAAAATTGAAATTATATATTTGCATTCAAATGTCACAATATATTGTACAGGGTGAGCGAAGCAATATGTCTTAGCACTATCAGAAGAAAAAGAAAAACGATAGGAAAAATTTTAAAAGAGGTTCTTGAATGGTATTGACTACCTAATAAGGTCCATTTTGAGCATAATTTCCATGGGTTCCTATTTTACCATTAGGTCACTGCCCACAAACATATCCCTATTAGAAATTGAAAAAATACAATTCTCAATACAATATCCTTCTCCAATGGAACCATTTAGGTTTCTTTATTGATGAACTTCGAAACTTGGGAGCTGGAAGTCATAGGTAAAGTCCATAATATGAGAAACATCTTCCTTAGGACTCAAGTTATGAACTTTCACAGATGCATCCTGAGAATATATCACTAGCTAGTTTTTTTTTTATTTTAAAGAGGTGCAAACATTCCTTTTTTTTCATTATTAATCAACTAGGTACCTATGAGTTTTCTTATTTTCCTTCAAGTATCAGTATTTTTTGTAATAAATGCTTAGGAAATGGAAATATACTGGGTACAGCATCTGGTTTCAATAACCTGGTAGTACCTGTTATGTCTAAATAAATAATCAGTTGGCAGGAAATGCTCTCCACAAAGCTTGCTGGTTTTAGATGGCGTCCAACTCTCTCTACGAACTGCCTTAATCCATAATTCAAGAATTTCTGAATGGAAAACTGCAACAAATAATATTACTCAATATGTTTATGGAAAAGTCATGGAACTATTTAACTTTTACAAATAATATAGGTATAGTTTTTGAACGCATTCTGAGACTGGGAATATTGATGATAATAACTGATGATCATTTCAAGAACTATTTTCGAAAAATCTGAACAATATTCTACTTACCCATGGAATGACAATTTCCTTTTGTCATGCTCGTTCTTGCATCCAATGGCGACACAATAAATCACCATTTGTTTATCAAAACCTTCTCAACAATCAGTTCACAGTGTTCGCACCAACAAATTCATTCCTTTTTATAAAACAAAACACGCCAAATGAATAGATATTTCACATAAACAAAGACAATGAACTCATGTCTTCACTTTCTTGCCTGTTTAGATGAGAGAAAATATTCTAAAGTACTTTCATGATTAGATGAAAGAAAACGTATACACCAATCCACCATTAAACAACACGAGTAGGAAGGAGACAGGTTACCGTAAATCATGATATCTTTGTTGCAGCTGCCCCTGACACACTTTGTGCTATTCGAGAGAACGGCCGTCTCCCTTCCAGGTGTTTATATTGAGTTCATTGTATTTCACTCGAAAAAAAACATACATTTTATGCAGTTGACCATTCTAGAACATGTGACTTTGACACGGTTTCTTGAAGGATACACAAACTATCTGTATCGGTTATCTTTGATGAACATAGCCCACATCCAGAATACAATAAGAGATTTACCAAACAAATGCGTTCCAACTCGGGTTCCGAGGAAAACGATCCCACTACTTCTGGTTTCATATGACAAAACACAATAGTTACGTTTTATTTGTTCCATTCTGGTAGCGGAGGTGGGAACAGAATGACGTTAACAAATCAAACGAGAAACTTCATGACCTCGCATGGGAGAATTGACATATTATAGATGATAGAGGTTATATTCGTATATTGGGCTACGAAAAATTTCAAAATCATAATACTAGAGTCAAGAATATGGAAAATTAATCAACATATATTTTGAGCATTGATTTGGTGATTGTAGAAACGTCTCTGAGATCCAAAGAATTTATTTTATCTGGGAATGAACATATGAAACCAGTCTTACTTGAAAGAATCATAAACTTGTGAACCTCATGATAACTTCACTTCCAAAAAGTTTCATTTTTCGTCAATCTAATTTATTTTTTCAAAACTGTCAACAACCTCACTTTCCCTCTTTGTTCACATAGGTTGTTGAAATGGTTTTTCACAATTATTTTGGCTCACGAATCGTGTTTCTTGGGATATTTAATCATTCAAGCATGCCATCACATTGGGCTGCATTTCTGCATTGCATAACACATTGCAAAAAATGCAGTGAGTGACGAAGAAATAAGATTTTTCAGGTAAATTGTGATCCTCAAGTACGCTACTTAGTCACTCACATTTATGATTCTTTCTGCAACAGGAGCTAATAAAGAAACTAGTGATATTTGTAAAAGAAGGCAAGAAGTTTGGATCCATGCAATCGAACAGGAGGACTGGTCTGAAATGCTGACGAAATATGGTCGTGTGTGTTCTAGAAATTTAAGGAATTCTAAAGTCATGTGTGTTGTTGACATTTTCACTTTATCAGCTCCTATTGCAGAAGGAATTTTAGAAAGATGTGACAAAATTTTGAAATCACAATTATGTGAGTGACTACTGTACTTTTTGATAACTTATCTGAAAAAAATGTAATCCTTCGTTTTTCGCTGAATTTTTGTGCATTGTACAACAGCAGGATGTGATGGCATGCTTGAATAAATTAATAGCACAAGAAAGACAATTCATATGCCAAAATAATTGTGGAAAAGTAAACAAATAATAAAAGTGAGGTTGTTTTACCTCCAGAGTCGGTCATCTTTCAAATGAGCACGCCACCTATGTTTGCCCTCCAACGACCTGTCAAATTACGTAATTTCGTCAGGATCCCGCTCTATTTGACAATTTCATTGTATATAAATAATAAAACTACTGCTTTTGGGTGTATGATAAATTGACATTCATCATACAGGGCGTGGAAAGAAATTCTGAATTGAGACTCTATCACGAATCTGCGATTAGAGGTCTATAAAAATCACAAGTTTCCATCGTTCAAGTTAACATCCGTTCTTTCGACTAGGTCATAATATTTTCCAGTTGTTAACTTGTTCGAGTTCTAATGTCCATCTGCCTAAAGTATGAATTTAAATGACATATCTCATACTTTTTATTGCATATTTCTAAATGAAAAAGTATAATTCATGAATGAAAAATAAAGCCAACTATAACCTTGACCTGATCTGATCATTTTCATCCGTCTGACACAGAATAATTATGATTCTAATTTGACTTTTTCCTTCTCCACAATAATTTCTATCGGCTGATGATAGATACGTCCCCCCATTCATATTTTGATGAAATTGAACGTTGTGGAGACGACTTGGAGTATTTTTACTATATGAACTATTTCACTCAAATTTGAGACAATATGGACTTCTACAGTAAATTGAATATTTGCAACTTTAATATATGCGATTTCTGGTGATTCAATTGATTTTGTTGGGTCCTACATCCCGTTATTACAGATGCTTCACTTCCTTTGAAATCATCTTTTATAAAATATCGTTCTATGCCACTCCAGGTACTCCCAAGCACTCGGTACGAGCCTCTGTAACGATCAAGCTGAAAGACTACAACGACAATCCGACCTTGTTCACCGAGCGAACTTACCGCACCATGGTCAAAGAAGACGCCCTACCTGGCACCGTCTTGTTGTCGTTGCCAACCCGAGACGCCGACAGCGACCTATCGACGCCCGTCGAATTCAGCATATTATCAGGCGACCCGCACTCTAGATTCCAGATAAAGAAGGACACCGGAAAGATTTACGTCGCCAAGTCGCTTGATAGAGAGAAAGTGGATAGTTACAGCTTGGAGGTTATAGTTTCCGATGGGTTTTTCACTGACGTCGCCAACGTCGAGATTATTGTTTTGGACGTGAACGATAATCCGCCCTATTGCGTGAATCACCGGTATCGCAAAACACTTTCTGAAGACTTGGCGCCTCTGACCAGCGTTCTTAGAGTGTTGGTCGTGGATTTGGACAGTCCAGATAACTCGAAGTTCCGGTACGTGCTCTCCGGCAATGGATCCGAGCGCTTCCACCTGCACAAGGTAGTGATTTTTTCTATACTCGTGAATTACGGTTTCAAAAAATTGATATTTTGAATTTTAACTAATAGTGTTTATGATTACTCATACAGACTGACTAACAAAAAACTTCAACTCTAAAGTCAACGATTATCAAATTATCTTTCTGAGGTCGGTGATGTATAAATTTTTTTCGAATCAATACCTCATTTTATCTTGAATACAACTCGTGGAGTAATCAGAAGGTGTGAATTGTATGTTCAACATGATGGCCAACTTGAGCAATATTTGTAGGTTCCTGAAATATTTTCCAATAGTTTTCAATGAAGTATCATTTCAACATTGTATCCTTCGTGGCATTAAAAAAATTAAGGAATATTAAATGATGCGTGTAGATGTGGGACGAATGCTACACTGTTTGTCAATTCGACATTTACTATCACTGCTTTTGACTAAATTCATGAAAATAACCATTTCCTGTCAACCACTACTCCAGTCAATGAACGCCTAACAAGGGGATGTGAAGGACAGTTTTTTTTGACAAGCGAGATGTCCGTAGTATATAGAAAGTAAAAATTCCAAAATTCTTCGAACTTACAAGGTGAGCCAAGTGCAGGGGGCGACGTAGAAGGTACCTTTCTTTATTTATCCTTCATATCTCACGCTGCACGCACTTATTAGTGTTCGAGTGAGTCCGAACCTGCGTGGCCGCTAACTCCGGCCGCCAGTATCAGCATCACAACGTCATACGGTTTTCTCAATTCTTAGAAACTCAGCAGGATTTTTTTCACACAATTCCGTATCTGAAAGAGAAAATCTGTGTACTGAAAAATAGTTCGTGGAGTTCACTTTCACTATTTTTTTTTTTTTTTCATTCGAAAGAAATAAGAATTTTCACCAATGTTATAGGCACAAAATAGTCCAAATAATATCGATAAAGAATCGATATCTGTTCGAAATTGTAACAAAAAAGACTGGAGACTTGATGAGGAGACTTCTCAGGGACGTAATTGAAGTAACCCAGTCTATTTCTTTACCATAAATGATTGTTTAATAATAGTTTCCAACGGTTTATTCAAATATGAATGATTTTCACATTGAAATAAATACAACGATTAGCAGGGCGCTTTCTAGAGTCGAACGAGTTTCTGAATCAACGATATTCGATTGCTTACATGAAGGCAGGAATATCGTTTATCAATATGATAACGAACAGGATAACATCAGGAAGCTTTCAGTGATGAAAATAATAAACTTGTGTGATTCTTGCGCACTTGACAATCACCTGTAAACAAGATATTGTTTTTCATAAAAATAGCCATCAGGCCCACTTCACAACTAACATTTCCTCAAATAAAAGATTCTATGTTCCTTTCACCAATTGATAACAATGAAATGATTATGCATATAAAAGGTTTAAAGAATAACAGCTCACCAGGGTTTGACAATATAAGCAACAAATTACTGAAAGAGCATCATAAATACATAGTAGAGCCATTAGTACATATTTTCAATCTGATCTACTCCAAGGGTGTAGTTCCAGACCATTTTAAAAAATCCATTATAGTTCCAATTTTCAAATCGGGAAATAAAAATTGTATAAGCAACTTCAGGCCAATTTGAGAGATCCTTGAAACAAAGATTGAGCCAATTTTTAAATAAAAATGACATTTTAAGTGACAAGCAATATGGCTTCCAAGGAGGCATCAGCACCAGTGATGCTATGTTTGATGTAATTGATCATATAAAAACTAGCCTAGAATTGAATAAAAAATGTATAGGAATATTTCTTGATCTAGCAAAAGCATTTGACACGGTGCCCCATGGAAAACTTCTTGATGTGCTCGAACACTATGGAGTGCGGGGTACCGTGTTGAATGTTTTAAAAAGCTACTTAATGAACAGATCTCAACATGTAAGAATCAGGGATCAAATCAGTGATCGAGAAACCGTTCTTATGGGTGTCCCACAAGGCACAGTTCTTGGTCCCTTATTATTCATCACTTACATTAATTCCTTATTATGTTCTTCTATAGATGGCACGTTCATTTCATACGCTGATGATACTGCCATTTCATTTAAAGGTGATACATGGAACCAAGTGAAAGTAAAAGCAGAAAATGGAACATCAATAGTAAAAAGTTGGTTAGATCATCAAAAGCTATCATTAAATATTAAGAAAACAACTTATATTGCCTTCTCCTCAAATAATGCAAGTAGACCAAACTTCAACTTACTAAATATTGAGAATACAAATTTAGAAATAATGGAATCAGATTCTACTAAATACCTTGTAATCACTAGTAGAGTCTATTCTGAGCTATGGAATTTTGGTGTGGGGAGGTCTCTACAGTAATGCACTCAGCTCATTAAATGTTATACAAAATTATATCCTAAAGATAATATTCCATAAAGACCGGCTATACCCGACAGCTCTACTCTATGACAGCAATGTACTCAATATCAGAATGCTATATTTCCTCAGTAACTGTCAATTCATGTTCAAAAACAAATGTTCGCAAAAATTTTTATCTCACCCATATAAGACACGTCAAGTTACAAAGAAATATTTATCCGTACCTTTCTGTCAAAAAGACTACTCAGAGGTTTGCAAAGAATATAGCCCCCCGAATTTATAATATGCTGCCAACTGAGATCAGAAATGTTGATAAATATAAAATGTTTTCTAAGATGTGTAGAGTTTACATAAACAATAATTATAATTTATTCAGAACTTGTCTGGATATCAAATAGGTAGGTAGTTGTATAGTAATTCGAAAAAAAAAAACTTTACTTGTGTTTATTGAGATTAGTTATTAGATTTTGACTTGAAAATAACAGTTTTTCAGAAAAGAAAATATATCTTTAAAAGCTTTAAATGAGTTAGGAAATAATGCACACACAGGTGTTACACCTAGGTGCATATGTTTAAATCTAGAATCTACATGTAGAAATATCTGTATCGAACATGTATGTATGATATATATTGTAATGAATTGGATTAAATGTATATTAAATATATGAAAAATCTCTCGGGAATATCAAACACAGCATGTTGCATTTGTTATGCTGCAAAATTATAAATCCTATACTGACAATGCTATTGGTAAATTGTTTCATTGGTCACCTTCGAAAATGTTTGAAAGTTCGACACCGACACCAGAAGCTATAAAGCTTGTGATTTTCGCTAATAAATAATGTCGGTATGGCTCGGGGACTTTTTTAACAGTAAGTCTGTATACCTAATCTCATGTTAATTTTATAGGTGCCTATACAATTCTGTAAATATTTCGATAAGACCATCTTTCTTCGACAATACATACATATAGATCACCTGAGATAAAGCTAAATCCAATTACTGGCATTTTATACAAAATTCGAAATTACATTCCTCTTAGATATTTGAAGAATATATATTTCTGTCTGATTTACTCAAAATTACAATATTCAATATCGATTTGGGGAAGCACAAGTATATCACATTTGAAACCATTAATGAAATTACAAGATAAAACAATTAAGTGCATTTACAATTTACATTACCTGGAACCAACTATCAATCTATACAAACAAACAAAATCTGTTGAATTTATCATCTGTATATAAAATGAAAATTTGTTCTTTTATTCATTTTGTGAGAAAAAAAAATGAAAATATCCAAGTTGAACTTTACTGAAGTAAATACAATTCATACTCATGAAACGAGACAGTTGAATTCATTAATAGCAAACCCACATAACTCCATTATTGGCAAACTATCAGTATAGTTTCCTACAACGGAATCATTTTATATAATTCATTACCTTGTGATTTGAAACATATTGATGATGAAACAAGATTCAAAGTCAATATGAAAAAATATATACTCATTACACTATAAACGGAGCAATTTGTTCTCATTTGAATACTTGGAATGTTAATTGCGAAACAACTATTTTTATTTCTTAACTTCAACGCCCTGTATCTCGAGAACTGAACACTTGGAGACCGTATGTCCCTATCTCAGTGATTATGAACTCACGAGGGCTATCACCTGTCAAGCGTTGTCGGTCGAATTTCGCAACACCCTGTATATACCATATGTTTATATATTCCTAGAAATAAACAAATATGATTCTTGGGGTAATAAAGAACAACAACAACAATATTTCTCCTTCTGTAGGAAACAGGAGAACTGAAAACGGCCGTCTACCTCGACAGAGAAAAGCAGTCCAAGTACCTGCTGACGGCGCACGTGCACGACAAAGACCACTCGAACTGGGAGTGCTCCTCCGCCATCGAACTCACCGTAACGGACGTCAACGACAACGCGCCCATCTTCTCGTCTCGCTCCTACACCGTCTCGCTGCCGGAAGATTCCCCTGTGGGCACGCCGGTCACCGAGATGCGCGCCACCGACGCCGATTTGGGCGTCAACCGACGCATCTGTGAGTGCTACTATTGTTTTTTTGCGTATTTTTCTTTATGTTTTCGATATCGACAAATGTAAAACTATTTTAAATCTGTAAAAACTTCACAAACGATGAGATTTCGACGAAATTCCTAATTACACGACATGTTTCGCTAACACAGTAGCTTCTTCAGGTGAAATACTTGTACAATAAACTAATAGCGTTTTCCACTCGTCGCACTAGCTGGAACTTTTTTGGCACTGAGCGCATTTTACGTGGTCCATTAAGAATTTCAAGAGCGAACTTTTGTCGAGAAACGATTTCCACTGGCAAACAATCTATATTTCATAATGGAATAATTTCATACAGTTCAATAGCGAATGAATTGAAAAATATACGTGATGTAAAAATATTTAAAGTAATTCTTAAACAATACCTGGTCAGGACAATTTAATTGGAAAATATTTGACATGATTTGATTACTCAGAATTGAAATGTTATAACTTTCATCTTAGTAAGACGTATGAATTTGTTCCCACTGAGTGGAATTCATTAGTTAAATTTTTGATATTATTACTTTTTCTATATGTGTTCATGTGTTCCTAATATAAACAGATATGTTCCTTGGGGTAATAAAAACAATCAATCAATGAATCAATGAGCTCTCGCCCCACTCCTCCGACTGGTATACTGCGCATCCAATTCCCAGAAGCACGTGTTTTTATACAGACTGTTCTTGCTCTCAACATAAATATTCGAATAAATAATTTAAAAAAGAAATTATTTTTGTCATGTTACAATATTATTAGGTCAAAATACACTGCTTATCAAACAGAAAATAATTCAAGAATAATAGTCCAATAGCTCGACGATATAATTCACACGTTAATTATAGCGAATTCCATTTGTAAACCTGGTGGTGCACTGGTTTTGTACCAGTTTTGCACCCGCACTACGTTAGTTCTCTCCAAAATGTGAACGGGTGCATCCCTAATGGAATACGAAATAATATTATAATAAAATTATTGTTGGAGGTTAAATCGGATACGTTGGCTTGTCTTTGTTTATAACTCGTCCGCATCCTGAAATTCTTCCTCAATTTCAATTAAGAACACAGTAAATGTTTCATGGAAATAATTTTGAGTACTTTTTTTGATAAGTACCTCTTCATCATTGAATTTACAAAATACTTTCAACAAAATCATGAATTCTGGGAAGTAATCTCCTCTATTTTCTTGATACCTCCAACTATTGATCACTATTTCATGATGATAATTGAATTGCCACTAACAATTTGGTTTTCAAATTATTCATATTCAATGTTTCCGCCATTTTCAAAACTGCACTGACTTCGCACGACCTATTAGAGCTCGTGCGAGAATTGTTGCACTGAGCTCTAAACTATGTGAACCAGTTTTCCAATAGAATTCAAAACCCGACACCAGTTTTACGAATGGAATACAAAATATGCACTCAGTGCCAGTCAGTTTTACTAATGGAATTCGCTATTAGTTTTCACTTCTATCTGCAGTCCCCACAGACTGTCCCGCACTTTTTTCTTATTCTTATTTTTTCTATTTACGGGAAACCCCCATTACAAGTTTGAATACAGTATGAATATAAGAATAAATGAATATAATAAATATACACCGTGTTTCAACACATAGGTACTCACCGCACAATTTCGATAAGGAAATGAGAAAAATAGAAACATGAAAAGAAACAATAGGCTATAAGCTATCAGGCAAAGACATCTTAAACTTATTAAATGAACGTCCCTATACATCTAAATTACTGGTATTTATGAATCTTAATGTCCTTTCTATTGGATTATGCTGTCCATAATTTGTGATATGAAATGGTATTTGAAATAAATGTGGAAATCTAAGGACTCTATTTGGGACATTAAACGTAATTAACTCCAGTAGTTCCGGACAGTTCACCGCACCATTCAATAATTTGAAAATAAAACATAAATCTAACTTGAGTCTTCTACTACGCAATGGAATTAAGTTTATTTCGTTCATAATATGCATATATTGATGGTTTTCCCAACGAATGTTCAATTTAGAGGCACAATACCTCAGAAATTTGTTCTGTACTCTCTCCATGACTATATAATGATAATGATAATGATAATGATGATGATAATGATAATTTATTTTATATAAAATTACAAGAATTTTACACTCGTCACAGATACACTTTACAATCTAAACTACAGGCACTACAATAATATAAAATAAAAAAAGTAAAGTAAAACATGACACAGGAGAATAAATTCATGGTTCAAATATCAACATCGAACTCGCATGTACAGGAGGGCATGTGGAGGAGAAACTCCTCAACTGAGTAAAAACAATGTAACATCAGTATATCATGTATTTTTTTCTTAAATACTGAATAAGTTGAACCTTTATAGCTGTTTGGTAGGGCATTATAGAGCTTAGCACTGATATATCTATATGAATTTTGTGTTTTCTTAATTCTACAGAGTGGTATGCAGATATCATCACTGTTTCTAGTTGAGTATGAATGTATATGATTGTGCCGTACAACACCATCTGTTAAACATTTTTTATGAATGAATAGAAGGCACTCCATTATATAGCAACAGGGTAATGGAAGAATTGATAATTTTTTGAAAAGAGGTCTACAGTGAGATAGATAGCTACTAAAACTCATGATCCGTATAACTTTCTTTTGTACTACAAATACTTTTTCTTTGTGACTACAGTTTCCCCAGACTATTAGTCCATAAGTTAGTATACTATGAAACAGGGAGAAGTAGGCCATCCTTAAATGCTGGATGTCTAACTGATACCTTAATTGTCTTATTCCAAATGTTGCTCTTGCTAAGCGCTTGCATAGATCTTGAGTGTGATAACCGAAATCAAACTTCGAGTCTAAGTGTATACCTAAGAGCTTAACAGGTTCGCTGTGATTGCTGTTTGTAGTAGAAAAGAAAATATTCTGAGTTTTTGTTTCATTGAGAGTAAGACAGTTTGTGAAGAACCATTCTTTGGATATCGACTCAGACTGTTCTAGATTAGTAAGTGATTCTTGACTGGTCTTGCTAGTGGCTATATAAGTTGCATCATCAGCGTAGAAAATTGGTTTTACAATTTGACCAAGATTAATAGCCAGATCATTGAAATAAATGATGAAAAACAGGGGTCCAAGTACGGATCCCTGAGGGACCCCATACTTCACTGCATGAGCATCAGATATTTGGTTGTCATGCTCAACATAGTGAGTCCTATTTTCTAAATATGAAGAGATGAGGTCTAATGGAGTTCCTCTTATGCCATATCTTTCAAGTTTAGAAAGTAAATAATCATGGCGAACTGTGTCAAATGCTCTCGTCAAGTCATAAAATCTAGCAAAGCTGTTCAGTTGATCATCAAAACCATCTAATATGATGTCACAGAGCGCACAAACTGCGGCAATAGTGGACTTCCCAGTTCTGTAACCGAACTGATTATCACAGATCAGATTGTTTTTTTCAAAGAAAGTTATGAGTCGTATCTTTAGGATAATTTCAAAAATCTTGCCTATTATAGGTATAATAGAGATAGGTCTATAATTAGCTGGTAAATTTATATCTCCTTTTTTATAAATTGGTGATACTCTAGATATTTTAAATATATCTGGGAAATAACCATTGTTCATGCATGTGTTTATAAGAGTTGCAATTGGCTGATCCAGTATGTCAACAGCTATTTTTAATAGACTGGCATTTAAACCATAACAATCCCTTGACTTGGAGTTCTTAAGATTTCGAGCAATAGAGCGAACCTCATGTGCATCTGTTGGATGCAGATAAAATGTCTTATGATTTGCAGGGATTTTATTAAGAAAATCACTAAAGTTGAGATTATCGGATCTGTCATCGATTTTACAGTTCTCAATTAGGTTTTTTATAACATCCTGGAAGAATTGTGCAAATTCCTTAGCAGATATACTGCTGTCAAAAGAAGTATCATTTCTACCTAGGCTGAAATTCTGAAATTTTTTTTGCTGTTAAATTCAATCTTCTCAATGTTGATCATTTCCCGATATTCTTTCTTCAAGAAACCCAATAATTTAAGACTTTCCTTAGATTTTGTGACATCAAATATTGTCTGAGCTGCATCCAGCTTAGATTTCAAATATTTAAAGTTATGAGTATTCTCAATGTTTTTGATGTGACTGTTATCCCTCACTCTTACCTTCTTCTCAGGAAAACAGCGTGCGCTAATGTCTGACAGAATATTTGTGATACAATGGGCCTGATCTTGTGCAGTGTAATGAGAAAAATTCCAGTTTGTGTTACTTACTTCAGTTAAAAAATTGTCCACTGCTCTGCGAGTCATAGGACGACAGACAAAAGTGCTAACAGGAGCTTTGGCACTGTTATTTATCTTTAGGATCAAGCCTTTATGATCTGACATGAATGGTTCCATTACCTTTAATACAAATGAACCTTTCTGTAGGTTTGTGAATAAGTTGTCTACTCTAGTTCTGCTAGTTTCCGTTACTCTAGTGTCTGTGAAAACTTGTTCAACAAGATCATAGGATGAAAATATGTCTCTACAGTCCCTTACAGAGCTATCATTAGTTTTAAAATTGTAATTGAAGTCTCCTAAAACAATGACTTTTGAGTTATTATTAAGCTTTTCATCTAGAAGTCTATCTAATTTATTCAAATACAGCTCACTGTTGCCATTTGGAGAACGGTAAGTAGAGACAATAATAGTCCCATTGTTTACAATCCGACTACATGCAAATTCAGCATCAATGTCAGTACACAGATCATCAACATTTATTGGTTTAAGGCATATATCATTTCTCGCGAAAATACATACACCTCCATGCACATGTGATTTTCTAGTGTAACCTGAGATGAGCTTAAAGTCGGGTAACACTATAATTTCACCTTGTTGGAGCCAAGTCTCAGAAAGAGCAAGGATGTGTATATCATGTCTAAGTATGAATAGCTCTAGTATGTTTAATTTATTTCTCATACACTGTATGTTGATATAAAAAATGTTAAGAGTATCTTGATTCTTACTTTTTAGCTGACTTACCCTCTCCTGTACATGCGAGCTGTCAGTAACAGGGATTACAGCATTACTTTTTTCAGGTGAACACATTCTTGGGTTATGAGCATCATATCCTAAGTCTAAATAATTTACATCATATAGAGGATAATTATTTCCAGGTAATTGGTGACCGGACGTTACTGTACTAGAACATCTTGTATTAGAGTTATTGGTTAGAACATTACTAAAACTGATATAATTTTGGTTCGTTAGGCCAGTGGTGTTCAAAATATTAAAATCATTAAAATTTACAATATTTACAGGGTGATTTGTACGATAATTTGCATTCAATTCTGGGCATCTAGTTGAGATATCATTTGTGAATGAGGGTCCTTCTCCTTTGCTGGAATCCTCTTCTTCTGGAAAAACGAGACAAGAGCACCACTGGGCCAGATTTGGCGATTCCAGGCCTTTTTGAGATACTCACGCCTCAAGGTGACTTTCATTGAGGTGTAAATCTCAGGACGTTTTGATGAGTGAGACTCACAAATTGTATTGGGAATGCTTTCATCTAGAATTTTCTTAAGATCCTCGGGTTTCGTACTTGGGTCTAGTCGGGTAACATGAAGTTCTACGAGTTGAGGGATTGTCTGTAACTCTGGATATTGAGAATTACCTCCGACCAGGAATTTCCGTCGTTTTTTCTTCTGTATGATGGACCAGCCCTCGCTTGCATCACTTTTATTCTCCGTAGAGGGCTCTAATTCTTGTAAATTATCCATTACATTACGAGTTCTAGCTTGCAGAATTGCAGAATTTACTTGTGCTGGATGGAATATGGTTCTTTGCTTTTCAATCGGCCGAGTGTTATCTATTGTACTGGACGGACGCGTAGTCACTACCGATACCGGATTGATTCTTGAGTGTGTTTTATCAACACTATTATTTACTACCTGCTTCTTATCGACTTCAAAATTTTTTGTGCCATCAGTTTTCTCTGTTTTTTCCTTCAATTTGTGTTCGAGGTTAATAACTTTCTCTTTCAGTAATTCACAATTTTCTTGCATAATTAGATTTTTGGACTCAATTTCACGTATTATTTGTCTTAATAAAATATTTTCAGCCGATAGCACTTTCACATCGTAGTTTATATTGTTTATATGCACATCGGATGACACTTCTTGTTCACTACATTTCAGTTCATGACGACACTGAGCATTTCTTTGTTGACTTGCTTGTGTGATACAGCTAGGGTGAAATAAGTCTTCACATTTTTTGCACTCAACGTAATTGGTAACACCTTTTTTGCAGTGTTTACATAGTATTTTAGCAGAGCTATTCGGCAGCGATCCGCCACTCGCCGCCATCTTGATATGTATAAAATGAACCTCACAAAATAAGTCAGTTTAGAAATGACCAATGATATATAGACCTTCCTCATAGAATCCACTGAGAATTCAGAGCAATTACGAATAACCATTCCTAAAATGTATGATGATTTCACTGAAATGGTGTTTATGTGATTTACAAATCTCATTCGTTCATCAAAAGTGACCCCTAGATCTAGAACAGTTGAAACGTATCTGAGAGAACTATTGTTTATACTATATACAGTATCAAATTTCTTGTAACCCTTAAAAAAGCTAATGAAACAACATTTATTGATATTTAGATGCAGATTACTTTCCATACACCAATTATTCAATCTGTTTAAATCTTCTTGTAAATTGATTTGGTCAAATTTTGAATTTATTGTCCGAAATAATTTCAAACCGTCAGCAGATAATGGAAACTCGCAGTTCACGAAACATCTACTGATATCATTCACAAAAATGTTGAACAAAATGGGAGCACAATGAGACCCTTGAGGTATCCTGATGAAACCTGTATATGACTGGATCTGAACAAGCCAACTCAAACACACTGTCTACGGCCTGTTAGGAAGCTTTTCAACCATTTCAAAACCAATTAGAAAATCCAAAAGCTTCTAGTTTAGACAAAAGAATCGCATGATCTACTCTGTCAAATGCCTTAGAAAAATCAGTATAAATAGCGTCAACCTGATATTTATTTTCCAAAGCATTTAGTATTTTGGGCTGTGTCAAGTCTGTGGTTTGACCGGGCACATACGTTCAGTATGAAGTCTGACCAACCAGCTGTTTGGGAATATCGGGCACGTTTCAAACCTGCCCACACAGTTACCACGTTAACTTCTGTTAGGAGTTGAGTCAGCCATAAAAGTTGTTAAATCCCTGAAAATTATCACAGTTTGAATTTATTGATGGTTTTACAAAAAACGTTGAAAAATGAATCTGCAAAATATTATACAATCTGCTCACCATTTTCTGCAGTATTATCATCAAGAAACATTGTATCTAGAATTGTATTTGTGGACGATTTACTCAAATATTGCCAAACATATTTAGGGTTATTATTCAATGAATATTCGATACGGAAAATATAGTTCTCGTAACAAACTTTTGATAAATTCTTGCATGAAGTCCTGAGTTCTGAAAAGTGTTGGTAATCAAGAGCACATATGCTAGCCTTATATTGCTGATGAGCAATTTTTTTAAGTGTAATCAACTGTCTAAGTTCCGTTGAAAACCATTTAGGGAAAGACGAATTCCTATATTTTTTGAGAGGCACAAATAGTGCTATAGCCATATTCAAAATATTATAAAATTCTAACGTGGCGATATTTATATCTCTATTGTTTAGACATTCACTCCAACGTATAACAACAAAATAGTAGTTTAGTCCTATAACATCAACATTTTTAAAATCGTAATAGTACTCACCATTTTTCAAACTGTCTTTCACTTGATGTTTCACCAATACAATATCAAAAGAGTAGCCTACATGGTGTGTACTATTTGGAAAAATATTATCGATTGCAGTGTTTACAATATTATCAGATACATTTGAAAACATTAAATCTAAGTATACATTTCTATCATTTGGTATAGTAATTTGTTGAAAGAAATTCGAAAATGCATAAATTTGTGCTAGCACTAACGCATGAGAACCTTGAGGACAGTTCACTGTCAGTCCCTCTTCATCGTTATGCCAAGTTGCTTCTGGTAAGTTGAAATCCCCAAAAATATAGAAATTTGTATCCTTCAACTCGTGCAACAAACTCTCGACCGTTTCAATGTGTTGAAAATACTTCTCTTCAGATGATTGAGGTGGTACATAAACACCACCTATGACAAAGTTATCTGATTCGACTGAACATGAACATGATAAAAACATTTGTTCAACACTATTATGCAATAATCTCGAACGTCCAACTCTTATTGCTTCTTTCACAAGAATAAGTACTCCCCCTCCTCTAGATTTACTACTGCTGTTTCTATCTCGATCACACCTGAATATATTATAATTGGTCATTTTGATCTCAGAATCCGATATGTCGCTTGACAACCAAGTTTCCACAATTATGATTATGTCGTAGTTTGAACACATAACGATGACGATGAAATGAATAAACTATCTATCTATCTATCCAGCTTACTCGTTCGTCGACTCGTACAACGACCACTTCTCGATCGACGCCGACTCGGGCGCCGTTTTACTAGCCAAGCCGCTGGACCGCGAGCTCAAGGCGCAGTACAACCTGACGCTGCAGGCGGCCGATGGGGGCTCCCACCGGCTGTCTGCCGTCGCCTACTTGATTGTCAACGTGCAGGACGTGAACGACAATCCGCCCGTGTTCGAGAGGGCGGGTTACAGGGCGGTGGTGCCCGAGATCGACGCGGTGGGCACTGAGGTGGTTAGAGTGGAGGCCAGCTCGAGGGATATCGGGCCGAATGCGGAGATCCACTATGCGATCGTCGGGGGGAATGAGCACAAGAAGTTCGGTGAGTATAGGAATACATGTATTTCTTTTCTTTTTCTTTCTGTTCCTTTCTTGTCATTTACCTAGTAATCCAGTAACTTCATACATCACAGTATGCGTCAAATCCGGTAGTTCTGATTTTTTGCAGACTTGTTCATGATGTGGACCCAATGAATAATCCAAGTTTGTGACTTTGAGCGCCGAACGCAACTTTGCCAAAAATCGAAAAAACTGCGAAAAAAACGTTTTTATTTTCAGTTTTTGGCGATTATAACCCTGAAGGACTAGTTTTTGAAGAAAACACTTTCAGAACGTTTTTAAAGTAGACCAAATTTGCTACAATATGATATAAAAACTGTCTCTGTAGACTCATTAGTTTCCGAGATTGAGCCTTTCAAAGTTTATCATTCTTTTCGAACTTCGCAATTTTTTGCAATCCTGTCGTTCTGATTGAATTTTGACCCTGATTATACAATCGAAGCCCTGTACTTTCATGGTGAGATGATAAGAAAGAAAATGAGGAGTGTGAACGAGGATCTTTAAGCTGAGCTACGAATAATGAAATAGAAAAGATAAGTACAGCAAAAGTTAATGAGTTTATTTGTTAGGAAATAGAGTAATTTTCAAATGTATGATAAATTGACATTCATCATACAGGACGTGGAAAGAAATTCTGAATTGAGAAAAAAAAACCTTATCACGAATCTGCGATTGAGGTCTATATATAAATAACAAGTTTCCATCGTTCAAGTTTGAACCCCTTGATTGGGTGAAAGTATTGAAAAGGAACATTCTCAGATATATTCATGAACACAAAAAAATGGATATATATATAAGGAAATACATTGAGAATTCGCATTCTCCATGTGATGAAAATATCAATACTTTCTCGGTTTATTCAGCAGAAAACAACTACTTTCCTGGCTATATGCCACGAGTGTGTAGAAGCTGCCTTGATACGCATTCTGGTTCTGTAATGAACTGAAGGTTATCGTGAAAAAACAATATGGCTCTGATACACTTCAACAACCTGTAGCTCTTGAGCTAAACTCACTTAGTGGTATGCATATAAGCTAGTGTGCCTTCAATTAATATGTGCTAATATTTTCTACTTCATTTACTTGAAAAAACGAATATAATCACCTCATCAAATAATATATACAACAGTATTTTTCCTACGACTGCGATCGCATGGTTTCCATAGATATATAGATGATTTTGTTTTGTTGCATAGGCCAGCGGGCCATCTCCGGCCCGTGAAAGCATTTAATCCGGCCCGCCGACGGTCCCTTCGACATGAATAGTATATGGCCCACCGAGGTCTATTAACTTCTATAAGGTTACCTCATAGGGGTGCGGGGGTGCGCGGAGGGGCGTGACGTCACTGTTTCCCCGCCACGTGATTGTAGATTTCGTTTGTGTCACTGTCAAATGGTTTGAAAACAATTTTGAATTTGAATTCGAATGATTCGCGAATTTTAGACTTTAGTTGGAAATATGGTGACAAGAAGACTGAAGATATCTTTGAAAGAGGGTGAGAGGTTGTATAATAATATGGTGTAGTATTATTCAAGGCTGGTTACATATTATTATGTGTGGAGTCAAGAGTGGATATAGAACAAACAAATGTTATAAAATGCCTGTGTTTACAATCATCTGCTCTTGGGCAGCCTCCACATGAGATTCAGATAATTCCAAAGAAAAATGATGAGCTGTGGCAATGTGAATGTCCCTGTGAAGCAGGCATGTCATGGTTTCGTAAAGACATTTTATAGGGACTTATATTGACAGGTAGGAAGGTGCACTTTTGATATATCACACACACAGGTAAAAAATACATGAAATTTCAGGAATGAAGACTTGTAATATGTGGAGCTGCATATATAACATACAGAAGTGGTGAAAATATAAAAAGAGAGTAGATCAATCAATGATCTATTATACAGCAAAACCATTTCAATAGTTCTGCTTCCCGCTTATTAAAAGAAGGAAAGTGTCCCCCTAAAATCATTCTCCTTTTATATAATTCAAGTTAATTTTACAGGGTATATCAGTCTATTTAGTTTTTTTTTGTTTGGAAGCCAATGAACTCAATGTAAAAAACTAGCTATTGCATGCATGGTACTCAGGAACACTGGTGAGTTTATTAAATCTCAACATACTATATCATGAAAACTGTATACTTACATTAATTTTGGGCTATACTTGCTACTCCATTTTTACATGTAGCAAGGAGTCTTGGAAAAAAAGGCAATCAACTTCTTCTTTCCAAAGGATTTTTCAAATAAATTTGTTCAGCATGGAGTTGAATATGAATCCAAAGCTTTCAAAATGTTCATTGAAAATGATATTGAATTTCAAATCATGCAAACAAATTTGTATCCCAATATTTTCCATGGTTAAAATTTTCTCCATATGAAATTATTTTTTAGGAAGGAAGACCATGGAAATAATTGAAATAAGTGTCCTTACTGAGGTCCTTACATAGAGGTTTGTTAAATAATGTGTATAACATTCAGCTTGAATTATTTTCCCAAAATTGTAGGTAAAGGTTCAGAACATTTTGTGGAACAATGCCATTTCTTGATAGGAGATGGTATAAAAAATGTGAAGTTGGAAGAGAGACACACTTATTATGTATAAATTCAGTTGAGAATAATGGCCCTAAAATGTCCCTAATGAACTTGAAAGAAACTAATTTTCTTGTATAATTCTTTTTCCTCCAAAACTTACATAGAGATTCCAGTTAATTTTATGAAACATTTTGTGTTAATCTTATGAGGAAGATATCTTAAAGATATTTCCATTATGTTGCACTTTTATTGCATTAATAAAATGGAATGAATTGTGATGACTTCTTTATTGATTCATTTTCTTATTATTTCATTTTCAAACAATAATATGTTCCAAATTGATACTGAAATGAAACCATTGAGTTAGAATCATTGAATTTAAGGAAATCCTCTTTAGTTAATTGTTTCTTGTTTCTCAGAAATGATGGCCTAATCAATTTCAAGATATTTGTTCACATCCCTTGTCAGCATGCCCTTATCACAGTAGAGAGCTCTCTACTGTGCCCTTATCCACCATGATTCCATCATTAGGTTCAGACTTCCCAATAACATTTTCTTTATTGAAAAATGCTTTATCAGTAGCTCAACCTACATATCACTAAATGCCAACAGTAATCAGTCCTAATGGAGTGATATTACAATAAGAATTTGATTGAGTTTCTGTAATGTGTCTGTACAACAGGAGCACTGAGGAACATGACATATCTTTCTAGATTTCTGTTTTCAGTCTTTTGTACTTGCTGCATGTTTTGGGAAAACAGTGAACTATCTCGTGGATACAAAAACATATTGGAAAACTTCAAAATATTTCAAAATTCACTGGATTGTACAATGCTAAATTTGTTTGTTTTGTTTATCACCTCCGCCATTTTCATTTTGCCGTTCGACAAAAGACGACTGGGGAAACAGTGACGTCAGGCCAGGAGAATATGAGGCAACCTTATAGAGTTAAATAGCCTTGATGGCCCACGGCAAATTACAAGGAAAGAACCAATTTATAGATGAAACTTGGGGTTGTCTAAAATCATTGAAAACTCAGCTTTTTCTGTTTTATAACTGCATGGCTAAGAACGATTTAACTCACTTTCCGCGTTTAGAATCCATGGCACCAGTGAGTGAAAACAAACTGAATGAATTCAGTCAAGCGTTGAAAAAACTTCACACAGAATTTGAAAGTAGGCTTCAAGATTTTAGGAACATTCAGTCATCGCTAGATGTTTTCTCGATGCCGTTCAACGTAGATCCCGAAAATGTGTCTGCAGAATTGCAGCTGGAAACAATTGAAATGCAGTGCAGCACCCATCTAAAACAACTGTTTTTAAATTCCACAAAACTAGATCTTTATAGAACACTGCCAAAAGCTGAATTCCCAAATATTATTGCTCACGCCCAGAAAATTGTGGCGATGTTTGGATCGTCGTATTTCGACCATGAAATTGAGGAAAAACCATTAAATTGAGGAAAAACTCAATTCGAAACCGACTTACTGATGAACACCTTTTCGCGCTGCTAAAAGTTACTTCATCACAGCTCGAACCTGCATTCGAAAATATTATGCCGAATCAGAAGCAATTTCATATGTCTCACACGCCTACCATGGCAGGGCCTTCGAATAAAAGTTAAATTGCAACTTTTAACATTTGTGCAAGAGTGTATTGCTGTAATGTTTTTATACGATTAAATGTTTCAACGCAAAATGCATTTTTCCTATAACTCTGGCCCTCTGAAATTTCTTAAACTTTCTGGCCATCCATTAAAAAAGTTTGCCCACCACTGATCTATGAGATACTATTTTATTCTTATCAATGTCCGTTCCAGCCATCAACAGCAAGACGGGCATGATAACCATAGCGGAATCCTTGGACTTCGAGAGGGGCAAAGAGTATGCGCTGACCGTGCAGGCGATCGACGGCGGAGTGCCGCCTCTCAGCGGCGTCACAACTGTCAACGTCACCGTCGCAGATTGCAACGATAACGCGCCCGTCTTCTCGCAAAACTCGTACAATGCGCGGGTGAGAGAGGACGCCAGGATCGGGGAGAAGGTCTTGCAGGTAAGTTAGCACTGTTTTTTGCCGAAACGATATACCTGACGTTGCGAGGAATTGTTCAGCGGGTTGTTCCTACCTAAACGATAATTCAGGAAAAAATATTTGAAAACAAGTTTTTTCTGTGACCGAAAAAAAGTTTGACATTTTATTTCTGTTGACAGGTTACAAAACGCCACTTTTTATAAACTACTTTCTTGCTCACAGGCTAAAACTGAGTACTTTTTTCCGGTTATACAGGGTCCTGCATCTCACCTCCCGTCTTCTACAGCTCAGTTATCAGTTGAGTCAGGATTTTGATATTTTGCAAACTTCAATTGTCTCATATGGCGCATACCAGGATAATTCACAGGGTGTCCCAAAAAAGTGTGACGTCATAATAATATATTTTAGTGTTTCCAGTGGTTTCCTACATACTCCTGGAATTAAATTGAAATCGGTTCAGTGATATTCACGTAAAAAAAATATAACAAACAAATTCAATTTTGCACCACTGGTCAAAAACATTGATAACAAAAAAGATAGTGCCTGGTCAATAGAATCATGAGACATACATATCAAATAAGGCCTAAGAGGATCGCTAACCGAGTTTGATTGACATGAATCATCACAGGGTGTGCAAAATTTAGTGGCAACCTTTTCTAATTTCAAAGCACTATATTCTTCTTATTTCAAATAGGACCATGTATATTTTCATTACATTCGATGCGTGAATAACAAACAAACTTTTTTTCTTATTACAGCCCTATCGGTATCAAAAGTTATTTGCCGAAAACTCGTTCCATCAACTACTCTGATAGTCATTTGAATGAATAAAAAACGTAGGTGACTGAGAAGTAAATTATTGACATTCAACTCTAATGAAGTGTCAGGAGTCTATTTGGGCTTGAGTAGTTCAAATTCAATACATTGTTAGCTCATTATTATACATTTTTTGAGCTGTTTATAAGGAAATATTGTTCTTTGTTATGGAGTACAGCCAAGAAGAGCTCGTAGATATGATTTTAATATGGTTTTTTGTCTCCCTCCGCTACGCGTCGGGAGGCAACACAACTTCAAGCTAGAATCTAATACTTGTTTGCCTTGTATATTAAATAACTATTTAGCATATCTTTAGGAGATTTTCAACATATTGCCACAATATAGGAATGTTTTCCCATGTGACGATCTAGTGGATACAGGTCACTGGATCATATTTGAGGGTAACTCAGTAGGGTAGATCTCATACAGGGTGTTTGGTTCACCGATGTATATCCGGAAGGAGGTGATTGGTTATGTGATTTTGAACATATTCAACCATATACAGGGTGTTATTCAAGTATTTGGCCAAACTTTGACAGGTGATTATTTATGTGATTCTAAGACGAAAAGTTCATATAATCATAGGTCCTGAAATGCGTCGTTATCAAGATGCCGGGTGTTGAAGTTAGAAGTATTGATTGTTGTATATCACAAGTACCCTGTATAAGCTTCCATGATGGCAAAAGGTAGTCTAGTTGGTGACTGAAAAAGTCTCAACATTTCAGAATAATACTCATTGAGGTTATTGCGTAATCCCAATGGGTGTTTTGAGGGCATCTACATTTGGAATCATATCAATTTTTCATTATTTCGTCAGAGACTAAGTGATATACAAAAATTCAACAGGAGGAAAGACAGTTGTATTTTCAATAATTGTTTAATCTGATAAAAATATCGAACTTGGAAAAAACTATGACGTAGGTTCATTATTTACCATGAATATCGAAAAGGTAACCCACTGTGACGCCACGGAAATTATTATTTCGAATCTAATTACACCACAAGGAGCTTCTTGATACTGTTCACAAAATCACCAAGTTTCGTTGAAATTGGAAATCAGAATTTTGAGTAATTAATAATCAAAAAACGATTTTTTTATTGAAACTTTGACACCTTGTATCTTCAAAAAATGAAGCATTTCTGGACCTATGTTTACATGAACATTTCGTCTTAGCATCCCAAATAATCACCCCTTGAAGTTTGGCCACATACTTGAATATCACCATGTATACATAGTGTTTTCGAGATCATTACTTATATATTCGAAGTTGGATGTTATGAAGAGTCTTTTTTTAATTTCTAATTAGCTAAAGCATTAAGGTCCCACTATTACGTGTTCAATATCGTTGAAATACGTCGTAAGAAAAATGAGATAAGTACAATCAGATGAAGGGTTTGGAAAAACGATGATGTCTCGAAATTCGTAACACATTGCATAAATGAACACTTTGGTTGAATATGTTCGAAATGTTCTCACCGTTTCAGAAATACGTCGGCGAACCAAACAGCCTGTATATAGATATTTCTACCATGTCACGATATGGAGATGGGTTTGATTGTTTGCGAATGGTAATAGTCAAAAACTTTACATACACCTCCGTAGTAAAGAATATTACCACGGGCTGGCGCCTCAGAATATAATTTTGGCCCTTGAGTAATAATGATATTCTTCAATGAGTTATTCCTGAACATTTGTCTATTATCCTTTGTCATTATTATCAGAACAATAAATCTGATTGATTTGTAAATAGAAAATAGAGTATACTTACGTAGTCAACGGAATAAGAAAAATCGGTATGGAATTAGATGTATTCATGAACGAATATAAAAATCTGTGACATTTTTCGATCGACTTCAGGTGGTTGCCACGGACTTGGACAGCACCTTCAACGGCCGCGTGTCCTACTCCATCATCAAGGGCAACAACGGCAACAAATTTGACATCGACGAGAAAACAGGCCACGTGCGAGTGTCCGGCGAGCTCGATCGCGAGATCATCTCTAGCTACGTGCTGGAGATCCTCGCCAAAGATGGCGGTTCTCCGGTGCTCTCCGGTCAGGCGCTGTTGAACATCGAGATCGCCGACGTCAACGACAATCCGCCGATGTTTACCGAACAGAATTATACGGCGATCGTGCAGGTTAGTGTCTTGGTCGAACTTTTTTTTCAGCCCTTTAGGTTGATTTGTCTTCCGACCTTGGTGGAAGACAGGCGGCGTCTTCGTGTGTCGATAACCAGGCCGGATAATAACGGATTTATCGGAGAAGGGGTATCACAGAAAGACAATCGTGCTCCTGTAGCTTTACGCCGGTACCCAGGCCGGATGACAACGGATTTGTCGGATAAAATGATTACACACGATCGATTCTGATGAATGAATTCAGAACACAGATGGACTCGACTTCCGGGCATGATCGATAGTTGAGTGATAATATAATTACATGATGAAAAAGTTACTCATAAGAGGAATCTCCAGGAAAATCTGAGAAGAGCATGGTCACAAAGACAGACTTGCCACACAGCAAGTTCTCTCTTTAGAACATGGGAATAAATAAAGAATAGATTATGGCTGCTGTGTGAATACGAAGGCCACAGAAAGGAAGAAGAACCCTTTAGCTCCCACACACAGTTTTTTTGCAAAAATTAGGATGTTCAGAATCCTTGAGGCAGGAATGAATAAATTATACTTTGGATCACAATACGACGATCATGCGAGTTAGTGTCTAGGTCAAACGGTGTACAATTTGCCTTTCCAGTATCATAAAATGTTTACCTTTTTTCGCAATACTGTTATGAAAAGAAGTCAAAAACGTTATCCTGACCACACATTGATCGAGAAAATCGAACAACAAATGAATTATTCAATATTGAAAATGCTATTCTGATACCTGTGGATTCAAGTGCTACTGAGCTGTGTGGTCAGTGTCTCCTTGCAATTTGATTGGTTGAAGTTAGTGACGGGTGGGATGTACGCCGCTGTTGCCAGGTCTATGAAATCCTAGAATTGATCTTACGTGCAAGATGGTGCAATGAAAGCCATGATTCGAAATTACAATGAAGTATGTGATTAGTTGGTTGGTAATTCACTGCTGATTAAAATAAATGCATGTTCCATTAGTTTCAAGATTTTGTTGACTAATTGTTATATTCAACTAAATAGTATTACCATATCTTAAGAAATCATTCCCGGGAAATGTATTTGCTAATGTGGCAACTATGTTATCAAATTTTAATCAATCAATCAATCTGTGCTTTATTGTCCAAGAATATTGTTCTTATTGACAAAGCTCAAATGATACCTCATTCTCCGCATAGCTTCATTGTTTTTATTTGTCAATATAATTGACAAGAAGGCACTGACATTCGTACTTGAATCAATAAAAAATAGATCCAAGTAAGCAATTTAGTATTGATTCATTCAAAATTTGTTCTGTTCCCTGTGGTACATATATGTTTAGGTGAGTACCTAAGCTTGAAAGTACTCTAATGGAATACATTTGAAACTGAATGTTATCAATATCTGCTATAATTCAATACAAAATAAAATTCTACTTACAATTTTGAATAATCCACTAACAGAAATCAAACAACCAACTAATTATGTAATGCAGTTCTCTATTATCATTACACATTTTCATTTTCATAGGTAGGTATTAACGAGTTATCTAACAGCATCAAAATTGAAGAAATAAATATCCGTCTATTCATAGCTTTTTGTCCAAAATGGCATGATTGTTAAGTTCTTTTCACATTTTATTGGTACCCGCGAGAAGGTGAGGGCATTGCAAATTCAAATTGTTCGCGCCATGACGTCTCTGGTTTCGCAGCCGTGTCTGATCGTTTGAATTCGCGGTTTCTATAATGTTTTGTTGATTTTATTTTAAGGTATCCCAGAGACATGTATTTCGAGATATATTTTTCTAGAAATGAATGAAGAGGCTTATTAATTTTATTTATATTATCAACTCTTTAGCGTCCAATCTGAGGCTTCATCAATACTTGTGTTTTGTGCAAAAATTCGAATTTTTAATATTCAAACGATGACACTTCCGTATATGCAATGATTTCAATATAAAAGTTGAGTTTTCCCGAGAAACGGTCATTTTTAGAGCTTATGACCAAGAGTATCTTTTTTGTGTAGAAAACATTGGCGGTTCAAAACTGTCCTTTTTCAGTGGCTTAGTGGCGTTGGGGAGAAGAATAATCACTAGCCCTTCAAAATCTTCACTAATTATTACTCAAAAAAAAAATTCGTACAAAAGATAGCTTATTATGAGGAGAAAAAGCTCACAGAAGCTGTTTTCTGTGCGATAAACGGTTCCAGAGATATTCGCAAACAACGAATTTCTTTTTTCAAATTCCAACACCCTGTATCTCGAAAATTGTGCATTTCAGAGGGTAAGTTAATAGACACTTTTTCTCGTATTCTTGGACGAGCTATAACATCCTGAAGTCCTGCGCATATATTATGAAACACTCTGTATATCTCCCTCTCTCTCTCACGCAGGAAGACAAACCCATCGGCCAATCGATCCTCGAGTTCGTGATCTCCGACTTGGACGGCCCACCAAACGGCCGGCCCTTCACCTTCGACTTCCGCGACGGCAACGAGGCCAACACCTTCCTCATCGACCAGCATGGCCGTCTTCGCACCGCCGCCAAGTTCAATCACAAGGTACGAATCTTGAAAGTGGTTTCCACGGATTTATTAAACTTATGGCGGGCGCGCTGTCGTAAAATTTATGACGAACTCGCCCAATTACTTCCCCCACTTTTATCTATCCGCTGCGAGCATCATACTCCGAGCTAGAGTGCCTCGAACATTTCATTTCAAGCTCTTTAAAGAGTTTGAACAAAAGACATGAGGCACAAATATGTTTTATAAGAGCTGGAATGTCATTTTTCTGTACCCCTTCATTGAACGAGTGCAGTCATACTATTATTTGAACATTGGCGTAACACCAAACGCACATGATGCTCATTTTGTAGTTTTATCAATATCATGTCAATAAATATTGGAATTTGAAGCTTCAACAAACACTTGAAATGTCATCTCGTCTTTGGGCAACTCAAATAAATGTTAACAATATCATTTTTAAAATTTTTAACTATGAAATAGCCACAATGCTCAAAGTAGAATGAAAGGTTAAATAAATTCGAAAAGCTAAACGTCATTTTCCACAAATTGCCGATCGGAATTTGTTGGGCCAGGTTACGCTCATAAGGCTGGTCACTACACTGATGAGGGCCAAAAAAGCTTGAAACCGGTATGTTGTCGTAGCAAGCATAGATTTCGGGAGGATATAATTCAATGTTCTGCGTGGCATTAGCCAGGAAAGTTGTTGTTTTTTCTATTGATGTTCATTTTATGAACATTTGTGGAAATGACTTTGAACTTTTTGTATTTACTTGCACTTTTTGCAATTTGTTACCTATCAAGATATGTTTGCCTATTTAATTTTCATAACTGACGTTTCAAATCTGAGAATGCTGACAATTCTAAAAGGTCAGTGGTGACAAGGGTATCCACACTTTTCAAAGGGCGTACAATGAGATGTTCGAGTTACTCTACTCCGAGCTACTCAAGTTTTATAGCGATTTCCATTGGCTGGAACAGGGGGAGTGTTTCTGCACTCAATGTATATGCTTCCTTCTTACTCGCGTGTTTTAAACAGAGATAAATTTACACTCAGTGGAGAAACACTCAACCAGTTCCTGCCTATGGAATTCGCTATTAATGTCTCTTACAACTACTGACGTACCGTTCGCATAAAAGTTTTTATCTACTCACTTTATCGAAAGTGAGCGTTTCCTCTCTCATTTAAGGACACAAACCTGCCAATTAACTCCCACGGGAGGAAAAAAAATAATACCTCCCGTGGGAGGTAAAATAAATTGGTTAGTTTGCTTCCTTGGTAGAGATACGTATATCTTTGCTACCCAAGTTCATAATCAGTGTCTCCACTACCAACTATAAAACAAATAATTTCATTTTCGAACTACAATGATCTCATACACTTCCTCATATTCCAAACTTACTCAATCGAAAGTCGAAATAAAATGCAATTACACAATAAACAAATTCAATGTGGCGTAAGTGTCAACTTGATTTTCGTTCAGATATTTCTGTCTAGAACCTTAGTTCATTTAACACATTGATTTGGATCGAGACTAGAGAGATAGACCGTTGAAGCACAATTTCAAGAACGAATCTCTCAAATATATGCGTTCGTGGGTAAAATCATATATATATATATCTTGGGAGCAAAGGTTAATTTCCTCCCATGTGTGTTTAATGCCTTTCGTTACACTTCGGGCATCAAACTTCCCACGCGGGAGGAAATGGATACCATAGCTCCCTTGATATATAAATAGCTATTGGTTATCCTTTAATATTCGAACGATTTTGAATATCACGACACGTGCCATCTCAAGTAAGTATATCAATATGGTATATTGTTTAACTAGCACGGAATGATAACGGCTTATGCTACAAATCATGCGAGTAGGAAATTAGAATTCCGTACGAGTAATACACTATGCTTTTACAGATAACCTCGAAATTTTTTATTTCTTCGGCTTGTAGCCATTTGATTTTCTCGCAAGTAATGCTCATCTATTAGACAGAGCTGTCATTGCTTGAAATTTGACATTTCATGGGAGATAAGATTTTGTGAAATAATGACATATAAAGTACCTCATAAATTCATCGAACACAGTAAAACAAGGACAATTTTATGTTAAAGCCGTAGAAAAAGTATTTTTTTCTGATATGTGAAGATTTGAAATGATGAAAACCAGATGACGTAAAATTTACGACAAATCTTCAACCTTCCAGCGTACCTGCTTGAAGGTTAAAGATTGAGGAATTTTGTGATTGGTGTGACCAGACGAAGATTTTGCCATAATCAAGTATCTGTATCTCAGTTGTAAAAGACAGTAGACACATAAATGGGGGTGATTTAGAACTAACAAATTTCTTTTATCTACAGTTATCGTATGTACATTTATGTATATATTACTATTACTATTATTTATCACATTACCTTGTCAATGTCAAAGGCCCGGTAAAAAAACCGGTCAACTCCACTTTTTCCCCAAAATAGGGTTCTCAATGTATCGCTATGCAAAGAATTCTTCCGCAATTTTTGGTGCAACAATCAGTCAATTCAGATAAATATTGATGAAGGTACATGCAAAATGGGAGTTGATAGGACAGCACTTGGGTGCAAGAATCAGTCAATTCCTAGAGATGGTCGTTTCTTGCTAATTATGGAATGGCAACATTGTTCAGTCAAAACCTGGCATCACGTATCTCTCTCGGTTTGAAGCGTGCTGCATGTGGTTGCTATACGCACAGTATATTATCCTTTCACGAGAAAGGATAATATACTGTGCTATACGTTAGTTAAGTCTCAGCGCATCTTTGAGTAGGTACCTGATTAGTAGGAAGACAAACTAAATAAATACGTCGTCATTAAAGGTGATTTTTCAAGTAGCGGACTCTAGTAGTGATTCCGATTCATATGATATCTATGGTCCAAGTCTGCAGAAGGATTCTGTTTCGCGATTGTCGAATCTCGTACGATACGATGATGAACTCATTTCCTATTATATTTCTCGATCAAGTCGCGATCGAACTCGACTTCGGAAATCGTCGGTTTTTTGGAGAAATGGGATGAGATTTTGATCCAATGAAAGGAGCACTGAGGCCAAAGCCATCACGAACTTGAGGTTATGGTTATATTGTTTTTATAAATTTCAATTTTTTCAATCTTAGGACAAAAATAAAAGTGCGATAAAAATGTTACTAATTGTTCGAGATGGTATTTTAGCAGCTCGACGACAATAACTATGAAACAGAAGTACCTAATACTTTTTCTTTACCTGAAAAAAGATTTATTGAGCTATTTATCTGATTGAAAAAAAAAACGGTTGGCTCGTCTTTGTTCTGTGCTGTTCTAAAAATGTTATCAACATTTCCCAGTGGGCATCTCTGAGTTTGAGCGGCATCTAAAATGAATTATATATTATATTTATGAAGTTAACACTTTCACATAAACAAGATAATCTAACGACCTCAAATTGAGATGAAGATGAAAAGAAACATTCGATGATAGATAAGGATAGATTGACAAAACGCATCGACTCGACTCCTCTTGAGCTATCGAGGAATCATATCGAGTATACACGATTCTTTCGACAAACAGAATAACAAATATCGAATAAAGATGGCCGATTCGACTCGATTCGTGAAATAGAATCTTCCTGCTGATTTTGGCAATTGGATTTTCTTAAACCTCATTTGTGATCAAGTGTTCGGGTCAAGAAACGATCATCTCCAGGATATTCGAAATTTTTTTGTAGTATATCTGAGGAAATGTATCTTTTTGTTATTGTTGTGAACGGATCACAGTATTCTTCTACCCGAAATCTCAAATTTCGTTTTTGCAAAAATGTTTTCGATTTTCCACGAATTAGGAAAAATGGAGCCGACTGGTTTTTACACCGGTCCTTCAATTTGGACTTGCAATAAAGTATCTATCTATCTTTCTATCTATGAAGGTGCGCGCCGCCTACTTGCTGCAAGTGCGCGTCTTCGACAACGGCAGTCCGCCCCTGTATTCCGATGCCAGGGTGGCGGTAAAGGTGGTGGAGGAATCGCAGTATCCGCCCATGGTGACACCCTTGGAAGTCAACGTCAATTCGTATTTGGACGTGTATCCTGGCGGGGTGATCGGTAAGTGGATTCGAAGCGTTGTACGTCTGTCAGTCCGTGTGTTTTAAATTATTTCGAAGTGTTTCTCATCGTGTGTTTTACCACAGTATACACCCTTACGGAAAACAGTAATTTCACTTAGTGTCGGAACGTTTGATGTTGGTGTCCACAAGTTTTATTTTTTGCCAGACCAGTGCGCATAATACCACGCACAGCCAATGACGATTCGCTCGTCATCACTGAGGAATGCTGTGAAGTCCCTGAATTTTATGTGAACAGGTCCGGCTTCAAATAAATGAATAGCCTATCTACGTACTTACAACTATAGTACTCGTAAAAACATTGCAACTTATATTTAATACCAGGGTTTATACCACACTGTGTTTATTCTATGATAATAAATAAATAATGTTGATGGATAACAAACAGATCATAGATGTATGAGGATATACTTTTCCTTACCTTGGCTCATCTTTTGGAAATCTGAATATACTTAAGCTGCAATCTGTCCTACTATTTGTGCTACAATTAAAACAGTAGGCTGCCATTATCTTCTAATGATGAGCAGCTCCATGAACAGTAATATCAATAGATAGTGATAATGAACAATGACCTATCAGTAGCAGTATGTTATAATTTTTTCTTACTCTGAGGGTTGATGATTCATGAATGAATGGCTGTGTATATCTATTGTTATATTTAGTCTAAGATCTGTATGTACCTACAATATAAAACTGCCTGATCTAACCTGATTTATATAAAGAGAGAGAGAGAGAGAACATCTTTATTAGGGATATACCCCAAAAGGCCATTGACCGAAGTCTTTCAGCCCATTTATATAAATTATATCTCAAGTTTGTTATATCTCAAGTTTGAAATTACAAGGGAATTTAAAATTATTTGCCGATGACACAACTCTCATTCATTACAGAAAAAACATACAAGAAAGAAAAAAACTAAATGGAACAAGATCTCGCTTCAATTGCATTATTGTTACAAGATCATAAATTGACACTCAATTTCGATAATTCTTCTTTTATGTTCATCTCTAAAAGAGTTATACCTGATAACCAAATAGATCCTTTAAAATTCGGGAACTTTTGTATAAATCCTACAAAAAACTCCAAACTCTTATGTTTAACTAAAGACCAGTCTCTATCTTGGTCATCGCATATTCAATTGCTCAGAAAAAAAAAATATCTCCCATTGTTGGTATATTATACATATTGAGGTCTTTTATACCTCTTAAATGCTTGAAATTAATTTATTTCAGTTTGATTTACTCTAAATTGCAGTATCTGATATCGATCTAGTGTACTGCAGCAAAATCTGTTTTGAAACCTCTGAAATCTCTTCAAAATAAAGCCATAAAATGTTTTTATAAACTACCATTTCTGGAATCAACATCTAGACTATACAAACCAAGGGATCTGCTAGATATTGACTATCTCTTCAAAATGAAAGTATGCATTTTCATTCATTTCACTAAAAATAAGAAAAAGCACTCGAATCTCACTTTTAATATCAATTCGGATACCCATGAGCATCACACCAGACAAAGTGAACATTTGAAAACTGTCAGAATAAAAACCCAATTCGGGAAAAAATCATTGTACTTTTGTAATAGTCTACCCAACAGAATAAAATCTATTAGGTTCGTCCAAAATTCAAGTGTGAACTGAAGAATTATATTTTATCAATTTAACTCTCTCCTTGTATCAATTAATTCTGATTGAACTGTTCATCTTTCATTGTATTGCATATAGCTCAGTAAAACGGTATCGATTAGGACCCATTAGGGAAAAAATTCAAATGAATGTAGGACTGAATGGTGCGGAGATAGAGCCAGTTGAAAGTTGACCAAATTTGGGTACTTTTCAAAAAATAGCGTTTCTCGTCGGTTTTCGCAGATAATTTATATTTTACGTATCACTCGGAGACAGAGCATCATGCCCATTTTGGAAGAGCATCAAATTTCCTATCGAGCTCATGTGAATTTCGTCATCATGAAAAAAGAAGAACGGCTGTCAGAGCGCTCGGACTTGGAGTCCTCTTTTAGTCGTAGTTGCCACACTCATGTTCATCCTTTCAACTTATATGATTTGGATCATATTGTCACAAACTGTAGGCGGGGGTTGCCTAAGTTGTGTTCTAGATCCATTAGAGAATGAACTTCAAAAGTGATAATAATAAATAATACTCAAAAGGGTTTTCAAACAACACATATACACACATTTATTCTTGGTTTTGTGATTAACAATAAATAAAACTTAACTTACCCTATATGTACAAATTAACTGATATCTTCTGGGAGCCTGAGGAAGGGCATTTTCTGTTCTGCCCGAACTCCGACGGTTCGGGCACAGTGGCAAATGATTGAATGCTTGAATGATCGAAATGATCGAAACTGATCGAATGATCGAAATGATACCTGTGTTGGCTTCCTCGCGCCTTTAATTTATCCAATCTATATTTTGGAAACGTGACAGTGAGGAAGTCAGGTGGATATTCCTGGTTCGTTGAAGTCAATGCCATGCCTCTGTTTGAGACTTTGACTGCAAATATCTCCTCATTTGTGACAATATGAACCTATATTCATTGAAGCTCTAAAACGTATAAATAGGTCATTGTTTAATTTTCGTATTCTGTGGGGTGGGGGACAAAAAAAATCAAAATCTGTACGCTGGAATTATAGTTGTTATAATTGCAATACAATAATCCCAAATGCTATAGGGTATTCTTTGAACATCTTGATAAGAAACTAATAAACTATTCAAACTATCAAAATTACCTATTTTGTGATGAATAAGTATTAGAATCAATTCTCGCTCATGTGGGTTCCAAGGCGTCAAGGCAGCTAATCGCCTAGCAAAAAAGTGCAGAGTTCACATTTTACCTTTCTGTGAGACAAGCTAATGGCACCTTATCACAGAGCTCAGAAAATGAGAATGAAGTGAAAAATCCTACTACTGTTGAGCAACTCCAGGTAAACGAGAAGGAAAGAGTTCTTCAACAATTCGTAAGGTAGTGAGTGAGGAATTATCGAAAACCGACGAAAAACGCTATTTTTTTAAAAGTACGCAAATTTGGTCACTTTTCAACTGGCAATAACAATTATATTTAGCAAATTTTATCTATTTCAACTTTTTATCGGGCGGGCTTTTCGATATAACGTATAATTTCCGGGTTACGGTCAAAAAACCGAAAAAAGTCCGAACATTTTGCTGTTTTTTGCGAATATCTCGGAACGCTCCAGGAAATTTTGTTTGCAAAATTCAGATTCGAATTCAGCACCTCCAAAAACATATAAAACCACAGAGAAACTGACTACTCGAATTTTTTCCAAGTGAAAATACCATTTGATTGGACTAAGAGGCACTGTGAGAAATATTTTGAATTCATATCTTGAAAATAGGACAATCAATACAAAATCAACCAACTCTGTGTCAAATAAACTATTAATCAATAAGGGTGTCATGTTCAAAATATCAGTGAAATTGGTCTCACGAGTAAATATACCATGTATGCAGATTATACAGTACTTTTATATGAAGGCAAGAATCCTTCAAATTTTGAAAATATGATAAATGAAAACTTGAAAATATTTGAAAAATGGCTCCACTCTAACCTTTTATCGATAAATACTACCAAAACAGAATATATGATTTTTCACCAAAAAAATAGACAAAAAAGACCTTGAAATAAAAAATGAACTCTTAAAACAAACTGACCAGATAAGATATCTTGGTATTTGGTTTGATGACAGGTTGAAGTGGGACAAACATATTGATGTTCTGACAAAAAAAATATCTCCAATTATTGGTGCATTGAGAAGATGTCCGAAACTTGATATTAAAATTGCAAACATGATTGTCTACTTTCATATACTGAGCCGTATCAACTATTTAATAAATGTTTGGGGATCTTGTTCAAAAAATAAAATATCAACATTATATAGAAAATCGTTAAAAGTATTGTATCGTCTTCCATTTGATACACCAACCAATCAATTGTATGAAATAACAAATACGTATTCTTCAGAAGAAATATATAGAATTGAAACTCTTAAAATATCATTTAATATCATAAATAAGAAATTGAAGTCGAATATTATTTTGATACGGAATTCTGAAATTCATAATCATGAAACTAGGCAATATAACTTGTTTCATCTTGACACCGCTAGCTCCATAATCGGACAAAAAAAGATTCACTCATTCAGCCTTAACTGAATTCAATAAACTACCTGTCAATATAAAAAATTGCAGAAATATAGGTACATTCAAAAATGAAGTAAAAAAACTGATTATTTCTGAGCGAACTGGATAAAATTGATCATGCAATTTTTTTTCACAAATATTATTCTTTGTTTGCCAATTTATAGTTGTTGATATATTTTGAATAATGATATGTTTACCTATTCGCGAGATTCACGAAGTGGGCGAGATCTAGGTTACATAATACGAACTTCAAACTGGGGGAAAACAAACTGTTGTCTATGGATAAAGTGCATAGACTACATTGCATTCAGCTTGCTGTAGCTGTAGTCAAACTTGTCAAGTGTTGGCACTGTTGGTAGTGATGATGGTTGAGTTGGTTAATTTTTTTACATTATTACATTTTTATTAGTTTAGTGAACAGTGAACGGGTGAAGAATTGGAGATAGTTCAAACAATTCAAACTAATTATGACGAGCAAATCAATTGACATATAAAAGAACGGCTACAACATGTTTACAATACCCAGATTGTCCTGCTTTGCATGAACAAATACAAATCCATTGTTCTACAGGAGTTCCTCTGGACCCCAACTTCAATTTCACTTCATGTGGGGAAGATTTCATCGCCGAAGTTTGTAGACAAAGTTCAAAAATGTGCCGTTTGTTGAAGTCTTCCTCCTCACACAAAATCACATGATTAGCACGGAGGACTGCATCTCCTTTCACTACTGGTCGGCTTTTTCCATCTAAATAGAGCAAAATATCTGCCAAAAGAACATCAACAACAGGCATTATGAGCGTTTTCGATTTAATATTGACAATTAATATCAAGAAATTTGAAAACATCACTCTTATCAGTACACAGTACACAAGCTAATGGGATTAAGTGGGGATTGAGTTTGTTTTCCCCCAGTTTTGACGTGGCTTTGACATGGAACGATGAAAACCGAGCGCCACCTGGTAACATTGATTCCCGCGAATAGGTATATAATTATGTACTTCCTTATAAAAGAGCCTATTCTTTCTGGAAGTTATTTGTTCAATAAATAAAAAAATATTTGATTTATTTGTTATAATTTTCTGTTGTTTCCCTCTTTAAACATTGTATTTTTCTTGGGATCAATAAATGTAATTATTATTATTATTATTGACCTGACACCTCCCTTTCTAAAGGCAAAGTGTACGCCAACGACCAAGACCAGTACGACGTGCTCACGTACTCCCTCTCCCCGATGTACGGCCCCAACATGCAGCAGCAGCAGCACCAACAGACCCTCGAGCTGTTCCGCATCGACCGCTCGGACGGCACGCTGGAGGCGTGTGCGCGGCTCGACGCCGGCGAGTACCGGCTCAACGTGTCGGTGAGCGACGGCAAGTTCGCCGACCACGCCGTCGTCAAGGTCAACGTGGCGGTGGTGGCGGAGGAGGTGGCCGAAAAGGCGGTCAGCATCAGGTGAGAGCCACTCACAGTGTTGGGCCCAATTCTGTATCTTTTATACATTCAAAACATTTCAAAAATGAATTTAATAGGAAACTATGCCATATATGCAGATGACACAGTACTTTCATTTGAAAACAAAAACCCTGTAATTTTAGAAATTAACATAAATGAGGATTTGAAGAAAATTGAAGAATGGATCTACTCCAATCTTCTTCACCTTGATTCTAATAAGACCCAATATATAAGAAATAAACAAAATATTGATTTGAATATTAGAATAAAAATTGCAAGATTGAAACAAACTGCCTATACCAAATACCTTGGTATTTGGATTGATGAAAAGTTAACATGGGACAAGCATATTGGCATACTCAAAGAAAAAAATTCCCCCATAGTTGGTGCCTTAAGAAGAAGTAATTCAGAAGAAAAATAATTTTCGTGAACTCCAGTTCAGATTAGTTGAAAATTATGTTGATGCACCTGCTTTCTTTCTGAAATATGTCATATCGTCGTCAATTTTATTAATGTCACATTTTTGTTACATATTTAATAAGATTGTTTTATTGGACAGCACTATTATTTATCATTATTTGGTAAAGAAGTTTGATCGTTGCAGTAGGAAGTAGGAATATATTTGAGTGCTAAAAATCGATCCGGACATGACTTAGTCAGAATAAAATAATGAAGTTTCAACCTTCTGAAATGAAAAATAACCCAAGGAAGTGTCTTTAAGTGGATGAAACCATAACTGTTTGGAAACGAAGAAATCACAGTCGATATCAAATAAAATATAATATCAAAATAAGATACCTTTATTCAAACAGATAGTTTATTGGTAGCAGAAATTACATGACTATTCGAATATCACAATATTTATTATAGCATGATATACCTATTATGTGCACCAGACCAGATAACTTTGGAACCCTCACATCCAGTTTATTATAGGTTCGAACGTGATTCGAACTTAACTGATTTAGTGATTCAATGATATACCATTTTTTACTCGTGACACTACTGACACTGTGACACTATTTTAAGTATTGACATTTCAGTATTGATGTACCGCAGATACACCAACATGATTTTCAACCAGTCAGATGTGAAGTTCACAAAAACGAATTTTTCTTCAAATGTGTATGTTCAGACGATACGATAACATTTCGAGGAAAGTAAAAATCTGATTCGGATCATTGTATCATACGGTTTTGTTTCCGTATCCCGGAACAGGACAATTATTGAATCGGTCACTGATAACACATACATTTCATTGGAAGTGTTCAGACGAGCCTCTACAGATACTGTACAGGATACCAAAGAGGTTGCAGGAGGTATACCAACACAAGAAGATACGTCACCTCCACCATTAGTCTATTCTGTAAGGCACTATGATAAGCCGAGTAATTGATACACGTTGATAAACAGTAAACTATCTACCCGTTTGAACATTGACCCCGTTAATTGTATGTTCGTAAAAATGTTCTATCAGGTACCGTCTGAACGAGCTCTCAGACACGGATTCTCATCAGCTGAGCACTTCGAAGGCATAAATTCATCACTGCATGAGAGATATCCTTCAGATTATAGCTATTTTAGTCTTTTGCGCAACCAGAAATCAGATACCACGAGTGGGCTGTTGCCAGATTCAATACGAATTAAAAAATCGAATGGTAAGAAATAACTGGTTTTTAGAGGATTAAACTGTGTAAAAGCGAAGATTACTGGATTCTAGATGATGGCTCTCACTTACTAGGATTCGTTAGTCGGTGTTCAAGTTCCTTGATGTACTTGATAATTTTCTTTTGACATTCCTGTATATTTAGAGTACGGACACTCTTACATGCACCGACAGTCAGCTAGGGAATTCTAAGACTAATAATAATAATAGTTCATTTGTAGTTCAATGAGATAATACATTAGGTTTTATAGAGAAACAAGAGCAGTCAATAAAATTTAAAAAAAAAACGCATAATCTATGTGTGTGTGCATTTGTTCATTATAACGCCGTGTATTTCACAGACTCCGATATTAATATTTCTACAATCAATCAGCGCAGCCGATTATCCGCCAGTCTGTTACGTCCAATCGGAGCGTTGCCAATTTTTACACAGGCATTGTCTATGTAGAGTGTGTATTATCTTTGTTTCAAATAATATCATCCTTCAAATCAAGAGCACGTATGAAATTTGAAAAAATACCGATCGCCTAATATCATTGGTATTAGTCGTTTAAAATTCCTTTTCCTGTCCTTCCGACATCCAGATTTCGAGACGTTGCTCCCGACAGCTTCATAGCCAGCCACAAGAAGGGCTTCGCGCGAGCCATCCGCAACGCGATGAAGTGTCGCCTCGAAGACGTCGTCATCGTCAGCCTGCATCCCACGGTCCCGGAAAAAGCGACCGAAAGAAGCGCCAAGAGACGATCTGAGGTCGTAGCAGGCGGTGGTCAGCGCCATCTCGATCTGCTGTTCGGCGTGCGCCGGCCTGACGGTGGGTTTTACGCGCCGCAGGTCGTCAGAAAGGAGCTGATCGAGGGGCTAAGAGAGCTCGAAGAGACTGCTAATTTGGTGGTCGAGGAGATCGTGCAGTCCAGGTGTAACGGTGAGTACTCTGACGTTCTTAGCGAAATTTCGTGGAGAAATAAGTTTGCTCAAAGTTTCATTTGTGGTACATTAATTGACTGATAAGATACGATATTCATCTGACTCTCATATCATAAATGCTGGTGTTCCGCAAGGATCAATTCTAGCACCAACACTACTACACAGCTTCGCGGATGATAGTACCCTCCATACCGCCTTCTCTTCCAGGGCTCCAATACCAGCCAGGCAAATCAGAAACGAACGAGGAAGAAATGTTGACAACATAAACATGGACTTGGCAACAATTCTCGAATGAGGATCCAATAACTTGGTAGATTTCAATGCGAACAAAACACAAGCGTGCCTTTTCTCTAGAAAAGCCGATCTCACTGTGCCCAACATAAGCCTGTCAGGAGTAACCATACCTTTGAAGACATCCATTTCGATGCTTGGTATTACTATCAGCAATAACCTTTCTTGGGATAATCACATGAGATCAATTGCTAAAAGTGCATCCCGAAAACTTGGTTTTCTGTTCCGGGCCAGGAGCCAAACATACCCTGAAACTGTTGGATTCTGTCCAAAAAAGAGAAATTCGCTCACAAACTCACTCACTTCTCTAGAACACCGTAGAAAAGCGATCTGGCTCTATTTTACAGATATTTTCATGGACGATGCTCTTCTGAAATATCAACAATTATTCTTCCCTTGGCAGTCCCCGCGAGATTAACCCGTCGAGTTTAGGCTTCGTTCCCGTTCGTGGTCACTTTGGAGACCTGCAGAACATCTCTTTCCAAAGACTCGTTCATCCAACGAACAGCGAGGCTCTGGAACACATTGCCAAGGGAGGCGTTCCCCGAGGCATATAACCTCCAGAAATTCAAGAAGAACATCAATTCCCAGCTTATTTCCCTTGGTTCTCACGATGTGCTCTGAACATTACAGGATATCCCTTTTCGTGGGAACCAGAACATAAAAGAAAATCAATGACCTCTTTTACTACATTTTTCTCAACAGAATCATAATTCACACTGACGATGCAACACTAGTAATATGAAAATAGTTTATTTTTACTCACCCTCTAAAATGTACCATTTTCGAGATAAATTGAACAAAAATTCGTTTTCTTCTAATATCTCTGGAACCTTTCATGTTTTCTGCGGAGTTTTTTTTTTTTAGTCATAATTGGTGAATATTTTGAAGGGGTAGTGGGTGTTTTGAGCCGCAAATTCAAACCGTCGAATGTTTTCTACACAAAAGAGGTACTTTAGCCATAAGCTCAAAGTTGACCGTTTTCGAGAAAAATCAACTTATATGTTGAAAACCATTTTTTTACATATTTTTTTTCACTAATTGAACCAAAATTCATTCAAACGTTGAACAAGTATCAAAACCAACTCTATAATTGCAAAATTAAAAAAAAAAATCATACTCAGTTAAATTAATTTTTGAAAATGTCCGCCGTTAGCTTTAATTACACAGCAAAAAAATTATTTAAAAAAATTGACCATGTTTTTCAACATAAAAATTGATTTTTCTCGAAAATGGTCAATTAGAACTCATGACCAAGAGTACTTTTTTGTGTGGAAAACATTGGCAGATCAAATGGGCGGCTCAAAACTGTACTTTTTTCAATGGCGTAGAAGTTGGGGAGGAATCACCCCCCCTACCTATTAAAAATCTTCACCAATTATGAATTTTTTTGAAAATCCGCGAAAAACGTAGCCTATCATGAGTAGAAATAGCTTATGAAAGCTATTTTCTGTGCAATGAACGGTTCCAGAGTGTTTCGCAATTGACACATTTATACACAAATTTGAACCCAAACTTCGAATCAGCAAACATGAAATAGTTAGCTTCACTCACCATTGCCAATTGGCGTCTTGTTTCTGATTCTTCCGACTGGGCCCAGTTCACAGCTTCCAATATTTGTTTCCGACTCACAATCAGTCCAAACACATTAGAAAATAGTACTACTGACTATGCACCACATTTCCAAATTACTGGAAAGTTTATTAGAAGGTTTATCGCCACACACGATAGATCGCTTCTGTTCACCTACACCACTCAATGCAGACTCTTTTAGAATTCTTTTACACGAATTATTGTTCTAAGAATTGGCGCGCAATAACAACATGCCATGTTTTTCTCTCACCGGACGGTTAATTCCCTTTTTTTTTTTCAGGTGAGCAGTGTCGCTTTGGGATTTGTCAGGATCAGTATGTGCTGGACAACGACCATATAGATCGGGTTTTCACTGCATTCACCAGTTTCGTATCGCCCAGGTACACCCAAAAGGTGGAGTGCGTTTGCAAGGAAGGATATGGTGGCGATAAGTACGTATATATCGTTCTGGTAGTTCTTTTTGAATGAATGAATTTTTTGAAAAAGACAAATAATTATTATCGTATGGTAAGAAGTGGAAATGTTGAAAGAATAATAGCAAAAGTTCTCTTCTCACTTTTTATGGATAGACAGTGTCTTATCGAACGAAAGAGTTGGGCCAATGAACTACTAAATTTTTTCTACGTGGAATACTAGTGAACAAAAGGAAATGAAGCTTCAATTCTGAAATCGACAACATTGATTGCTACAATATTTAGAGTTCACGTCGTGAAGTTGGAAGTTTTTAATTTGTATTTAGTAGCTCATTTGAGTCTGAATATACATTTTATGTTTGTTTTTATCATTTCTATCATTCCTATTACAATGTGGAAATATCACTTCAGAACCTAAAAGGAAACCACAAAAACATGGCCGGTTTCTTTCAAAACCATTTCAAAACTTTTGGTTCCTCGTGCTGACTCAGCACATGTTTTTCTACGCATGATCCTTTCGAACTTCTACCTATTCACATCACATTGCACGTATGAAATGAAAAATAACCCGAGTTTTACGAAATATAACTTTGATGAAATTAGTCCAACTAAATGTTATTCAAAATCGAACACTTTTGATATAGGGATATCTTCTAACTGAATTGGGAAATTAGACTAATTCTATCTGACCTGTGCAGATGCGACACCATGATCAACGAGTGCGGCAAACAGCCGTGCGCGAACTTCCAAATTTGCGTGCCCGACTCTTCGGCTATCGGCTACACGTGCCAATGTCCGGAGGGGTATGCGGGCGACACGTGCAGCGACAACGTCTCCGATTGTCACGACAAGAGCTGCTACACGGCCAGGTTAGTAACACGTTATTCTTGTCTATGTTGTCCGGAGTCTTTCGAAATGAACTCATTGAAAACGATTGTGTCTTCATCCCGGCATAGATCGTGGTTAAAAATGTGACCTTCTGGTCAAGACCGGTCTGAGATACAATGATTTCAGCGTCAGCAGACGTTGCATTCTGTTTATACGGATGATGACTACCACTATCATTCATTCATACAGTCATAGACAAAGACCGATCTCACCCACTGCTCCTTCCTATATACCAGGGAGATAAACCATGGACTCCATTTCACGATAAGTAGGTTGACTGCATCATTTTTCTCTTTACGAACTATCAGTTGACTTCCTCACTCGTAGCATAGACTCCCAGCCTCAGGTTCCATTGTAGATCTATATTTTTGCTTTCTAAACAAAAAAGAAGCTATAAGTGCCACATCAGTTTCAAATTCAGACAGCTCACCCCATGTTCAAGGAGTCTCTCAGATAGGGAAATGAATGAGCCTTCAAGTGACAAGTTTTTTTTTTTCAACTACTGAACCCCAGAAATCATCTTTCAACTAGATTTACTATCTTGAAGGAAAAAATCAAATAACACAGTATACGGCATATACTTTAAGCAATTGCGTACAGTAGTACCAAATTAATCATTTACCTGAGTTTTACAATAATGTCTCAGGCAACTAGGACTCTCAAGAGAAATTATCATGAAACATAACTGGTTGAATCAGAATTTATATACTCTACTGAACATAAAGAAATAGAAGATCATATAAGAAGAGCTTTATGAAGTTATCTAAAAATTGATGATTCACCCAGGTGGTTACCATCTTTTCTTTATTGCCAAGTATGAAAAGAATTTGCAATGGAATCTTCACTCGACACAGGATGATTATATTATTCCAAAATTTCGCCAGTTTGTAATATGGATAATTCTACCCAAGAAAAACTAGAACAGCTCCATGAGTAAAATTTGAAACAGTACATCACAATATTAGATCGGTTGCCTCAATAATGCCGAATGTTCACTACTGCGGTGTCAGACCCAATGGAGTCCATGGCACGGGTGGGGAACGACTCTCCAGAGTCCTGATCATATCCCAGGTTGATATAAGTCTGGAGCCTGGCAATCAATTTGGTGATTCGACAACGATGGATGGTGGGTAACTTCTCAGGCCTTCCTGTCCACTCTTGTAGCCAAAACCACACAGGAAATAGTAGCTTCCTCTTCGACGAAATAAAAACAACTTATCTTCTACAACTTCGACTTCTAGCATCCCTCGAAACCGAGATGGTTCCTCGACTTTTACAATCCTGGAACCACGTGAGGACGAAATCCAACCCTCTAGATGTTATCCTGAACCAAATCCACAACAAGATATCTACATACTGGTTGTTGATACCAACTAGATGACAATGAGTCTACCGAGTTTTCCAACCGTAACAATATGTGCTTATTCTGGAAATGTGTGGGAACTGGTATTACCTAATTGTGTAAGCGGTCTTTATTCTGGGGCCCTTACTTTGACACTCTGTTCAGGACAGGAGACTACTCTGGTATTTGACAGGGGGGATTCTCGAGCGCCAGATTTTTGATAAAGGTGATTTACTTCACCTGCTCCTCCCAACTTAGTCGGGAAGGAGGCCCACAGTAGCAACAGTGGAGAAAGGTACAGGAGGTATACCTACCTCGGTACCCACAGTATAATCCAGGGGGTCAATGGTATTGAATCGACCTGGAATCAATAAGTAGCCAAGGGAGTGTAGGCTTCAATTACAAACCCTGGGTCTAGCCTGGAATACTGGTTGCTATTTCTGGTCTGGATAATTATAGGAATCAAAGCAAAATATCTCTCAGGTCTTTGGTATTTTGAGGTTAGGTCTGGAAAATTATTTACTCAACTATTTCGTCATTTCTACCTGGAGAATCTGAAACACAGTTCTAAACGAATTAAACAGATTCAATTTCTATTTTTCTTTTCTTTTCCTTCGATTTTTCTAATTTTCTAATATCGGATTTTTAGTGAGGTTAATTTATTATATTTTTCCATTAATGTCAATAGTTCATGAAACATAGAACACCGCCTGACGGGATACAAAGCACAGAGACACCGGTGCACAGGACTGGATTTCTCAAGGAAAGGAAGAAGAAGAGTTGTTAACTGGCTGTCAGTGTCAGTCGTCAGTCAATAATAATATTCTGCAATTTTGACAAATGAAAATACTGAAAATCACTAAATAAATTATTGAACTAAACTGCTCCACATTTGAAGTGAGGCAAGCAAAAACTTCCTCCATTTTCGAACCGTCATAACTTTGAAGTGGATCAACCAATTTTCAATTCCTTTCAAGATTCTGATACCTCATTTTATTGGGTTCAACGTCAGCCATTTTTTGTTATTCCACCTCTTCGACATGCAGACCTACTGGGTGATATCTGAGAATGTGATAATTTTCGGAGAGTTTGGGTTCACCCCGTTCTACCAGGATTTTTTTTTATGTTTCATTGAGGGCGATAAAATGACGAACAATGAGTTTTGTCGAGATGGTTATGAATTCAAGAGGATTCATACAGTATGTTTGGGTGTATGGAATTGTTCACAACATATTGCATTTTGATATGTTCAACCACCATAAACTGAACTTCAACAGGATTTTACATTGGCATATCTTCAACGCCATTACTACACAAAGTGATGTACATTCCCGAATATAGGGGATGTAGAAATAAATTGAAATATTACGAGAAAAATGCCGTCAATAATTATCATTAATACAATATCCAAAATGAAAAAAAATATATGAAATTGACATGGGGCGGTATCATGATGAATCGTTGCCCCACGTTGGTTATCTTGAGAGTATGAATACTCATCGGTATCAATAAGACATTCATTGTGTTGGGGAAGTTGTCGTTCCAGTTGCCCAAAACTTCTGGTGACAATTTTATACTGGTTGATGATAATGATAATGAACAACCACATCGTGCGAGAGTTGTCACTGGAGTTTGAAGACAACAAAATATTGCCTAAAAGAAAAAAAAAGTTTTCTGGCCCACGTCTCATTGAGCGTATGGAAATTTTCAACGGGAATATCTTCGTAATCATTCGAAATAACTCTCTCAAACCCAGTATTGTTGAATTTGTTATGATACTTTCTAACCACGTATGGCATAAAATACAGGATGTCCCATTTGAAAATTAGAAGATGGGGTCGTTCCTGGTCAAACCGAGAAGTGATGGGAGAATATGGAATTTTGAAAAATTGACCAATTCTCGAATTCCACACCTCTGCCAAATTCGAATCTCATACCACTGGAAATCTGGAAACCACGGTTTGTCTGAAAAATGCAATGTACCACACATTGTATGGTGATAGCGTTGAGCAGGATAAGCTAATCTAAAGTCGAGTTTATGTTGGTTAAACATTAGAATGCAACTCGGAATGCAATATATTGTGAAAAATTCCATATATATCACAACTTCCTGTGTGGATCTTTCTGAATCGAGAAGCATTTCGAGAAAACTCATTATGCTTCATATTATCGCCCTCAATGAAACATAATGAAAAACCCTGCCAAACGGAGCGATATTAAACTTTGCAAAATTGCAATATAATGTGAAAAATTCCGTACATCGAAACATCCTGTATTAATTCTCTTGAATTCAAAACCATTTAGAGGAAACTTATTGTTCGTCATGTTATCGCCCTCAATAAAACATAAAGAAAATTCCTGGTGAAACGGGGTTATCCCAAACTTTTCGAAAATTATCACTTTCTCAGATATCACCCTGTAGGTCTTTATGTCGAACAGATGGAATAACAAAACCATACTGACGTTCCACAAAATGGAATGAGCTATCAGAATATTGAAATAAATTGGAAATTGGTTGATCCAATCCAAAGTTATGACGGTTTGAAAATGATAGACATTTTTGCTTGTCTCACTTCGAATGTGGGGCAGTTTATTTGGAACTGAAAACAATGACAACAGAGAAGGAAATATGAAATATGCAATCACAAAATCCGTTTATTCAATTTAGAGTTCTGGATTCTTTACACAGGTCGGGTGAGTATCGGTGTGAAAAACAACAGGAATGAAATGAGGCTATAAACAGGATGAATAACACTGGTGAAAAATATACAAACTTACATGTGTAACAGGAAATCACTATACAATACTATTTTACACTGGTTTTGAATGAACTATGAGAGCACTAAAAGATCAGCTTGAGAATCAGGAGCTTGAAGAGCAACGGAGATCAGGTAGTGTAGACTTGTCAAGAAGAGCTTAGAGAGTGTCGAATCCTTGGCTGTCTTCAGTATTTATGCACTGCTTTGGCCTTGGCACAAGGACAAGTAAATCTGGAATCTCATTGGTCAAAACTCCCACCTTGTCATGGCTCATGGCCATGGCCACTAAATCTGTCCTTGAAAAACACATGTGCACCTCCAACACAAAACGCGGAAAAAATAATATTACACCCTAAATGAGCACAGGAACAGGATCTACTACCTTTGCTTATGCTACTGAATGAATTTGGCTGGAAAATATTCAATAACAACAAAGTTATGAGCAGTCAAACATTCATCATTTCAACTGATAGATAATTCAATCAAATTTCATATCATGAGCAAAGGGTTGAAAAATATGGAAGTCTTTAGGGTTGTAATGATGTTCATTAGAGTTTACTATCAGGAAAAGCTTTGTGAAGTCAGGAATCAATGCAATACTCATCTCTCTCAGGTTTTCAGGTTTCGAGCTTTCGAACAGGTGAAATTCAACTAGAATCAGGCTCAGGTACTTAGATTTTGATCAAAACCAGTCTAGTAATGAAGCTGGTCAAAAACACTTCATTACAATTGGCACTCATTGTCATCCCTTTATAGTCTTCACACTGCATTTCGTACTCTTCATTTTTGAAAAACTTGTATATAACCCCTTAACAATCACCACATAATGGGTCTTCAACAATGATTGAGTGCCACGTGACCGTTTTTAATGCGGTCTCTCCCACCTATGTTGAAGTGATACGACTGTATTCTTGGTAGCATAGTAATATGTCACGTGGTTTTCAATCATCGTTGAATACTCGGTATAATCAACAGAAGAACATAACCTCAGATTATTTTCCAAGATGCTGATAGAAGTTTGACCTCTTATCTCACCTCACCCTTGTACCCCACTTAGTCTGATAGTTAGTCTGAAGACGATTCTGTTTATAAAGATCAAATTTTGAGTCCTATAGGGATCACTTGCAGATCGAATGCTACCTTTTATGCATTAATGTTTATCTCAATCGTTATTTAGGAATGATCATAGTGGAAGGAACTTCAGATACTATATAACTACTAAAATCGAATGAAATAATTTCGAAATTCCTACTTGTTTCGTTTCTGGTTATGGAAATTCCAACTAACATACAGAAGCACAGATATTGAATTTTTCTGCTTTTCCAAGAATTGAGACCTAATGAAACGATGGGAGCTTGCTGCCGACAGAATATAAACTCAAATTATGGTACCTACCTTTTATTCCTTATATCCTGATTCCAAAGTATTCACCTATCATATTATCATCACATTCATATTACAGTCCGTTTTCCTTCAAAACATTTCCATGCAAAATGTCCTCAAAACAAGTGCGAAAGTACGGTTCTTGAATTACACACTTCCAAAAAATCACAAATATTTGAAACAAGATGCCATTCCTACAGAACATATTCCGAATATCAAGTCAGAGATAATTGAAAATGAATTCAAAACTCTTAATTTCTCACAAAATATAAATTGCAGCAAAGATTTGAATAGCAAAACGGCAAAAATTAATACTCCTGTTGTCGATGTCGGAGCAGAAGCAACGTCAACGTCGTTAACTGCTGAATTTCAATCTGCCAGAATCGACACAGTAGCGGATCATTCAGATGGGATTGGCAATGCATGATAATTCGTATGTATTTGCTATTTGCAATTGCGAATTTATGTTTATATAAATTGAATTATTTCTAAACAGATCGAGAAACTTATTAATTGCGCACGCCCATGGCAACGGTATCTGTCTGTGACTAGCAGCTGATATTGGTATCCCAGATGACATCACATAATATGCGCGTAGGCACACCATCTTCTCCTTCCACTATGGGAATGATTGATTGTCTTTAATGATAATTGATTTTTTTTTTATTTTGTTTATCATCAGGAACCCGATATCCTTCAGCGGCAAGAGCTATTCTCAATACAAAATCATCAACGAGAAGCTGGTGGAGGAGCAGTTCAGTTTGAGTTTGCGTATAAGGACTTTGCAGCTCACAGGCAACATCATGTACGCCGCCGGTCTGGTCGACTATCATATTTTGGAGGTATGTCACCAATGGGTCTGTCCCTCGAAGAAATAGAATATTATACACCTAGGATAAGTGAGCTATTAGCAAGCACTTTTATAATGATAATCGGAGCAGAAATTCACGATTTTTTTTGAAAAATTTAAAAAATTTGATTTTTTGTATGAATCGTGATTTTGTTTTTATTTATACTGATTTTGTTGGTTAATATTGATTTTTTCCTTCATTGTGGAAAAATGAACTAATTTTCATTATTTTTCTCTATTCACTCGAGAATATTTGTTGTCTGGATTCACGGTTAGAAAATCTCCTCGAGAGGTATAAAAGAACTTGTGTTTTAATGACAAGAAAATTCGTGTTTTTTAAATCAATTGATAATAATTGATTCAAATCACAATTGACATTATTCATTTATTTCAGTTATTGCATTACATTCTTTTCTTCATTGATACATTTTATACAAATAATGTATGAAGTATAACTAATTTTCTAGTAGGTCAGACAGTAATTCCTGGTATAAGATCATTCATGAAGTATTATCGACTATTGTATAATTGAAATTACAAATAGTGAACAAAACATTGAAAAAATCTGTTGATTTGAATAGTTCGAACCTTTTTTTTATCGCTCGGTGCGCACGAAAGGTAATCCCTGTGATGTTCGAAGATCATCGTGCGTTCCTAGGGAGGATAGGGAGAGGAGGTAAGTGTTGGATTTTTTTTAACTTTTGGCGATTATAAGTTCTTGAAAATACTTCCTGAGGCAATGAATTTCAGGTCTTTCTCGTTCTATGGAGAAACGAGTTTTGATGAAGTGCTTTTCGACATATAATAATATCAACTACGAAATAGCCCGTATGGGAATTTAGTTTTGGAGTGATTTTTTCCTCTGTTTTACTCAGATGGCGTTACTTTCATTTTGTCGATGAAAGACGCCTCGGGGTGAATATAATGCTGACTTGATTGTTGTTTGGCTAGGCTTCGCTGAGCCGGCGGTCTTAGGACTGCTGGCTGGAGACTACACTGCACTGATGAGAGTCAAAGAGCTCGAAACCGGTCTGTGGTTGTCTAGCGACCTGGCTAAATCGAAATCAATAGGCATTCAGGAAAGAATCACTTGTATCAGTATTCGTTCATCATACGAGTCGATGCATACATTTCGGGAGGATGTAATTCAATATTCTGCGAGGCATTAGCCAGGAAAGTAGTTGTTTTTATCCCGAAATCTACCATTGTTGTTCATTTTATGAACATTGTGTGGAAATGACTGAGCTTTTTGTATTTATTTATATAATAATATGATGTGCAAGCTATATAATAGCATTCTCAGCCGATGTATATACCGGGTGGCCATTCGAGACGATCTACCCTGAATTGTTTGAAGACATGATCGAATGAAAGAATGCTTAGACACGTCAACTTCAATTGTTAGGGGACAATTCGAGATTGATTTGTCATCTGTCATGGCTTTCCCCGCCCCTTGAGAACTACCCTTTTAAGAATTTCAAATGGGAACATGGGTCGAATGATACCTCATTCGAAAGGTATTTATGCCCCGATGGTAGCCGTGTTTTGTTTCTGCATATTGCTCGATTGGTTTCTTGATATTATTGAAAGGATGGTTCTCTAGAGTAGGGGAAAGCCATGACATTCATGTTGAAAAATATTCTTCAATAAATGAAAGTTGAAATGTCTGAGCATTTTTTCATTCGATCATATCTTCAAACGTTATTTATGGTGGATCCACTTGATATTAAAATTGCAAACATGATTCTCTACTCTCATATTCTGAATCGTATCAACTATTTAATAAATGTTTGGGGAACTTGTTCAAAGAACAAATTCAATAAAATATCAACATTATATAGAAAATCGTTAAAAGTATTGTATCGTCTCCCATTTGATACACCAACCAATCAATTGTTTGAAATAACAAATACGTATTCTTTAGATGAAATATATAGAATTGAAACTCTCAAAATATCATATAATATCATAAATAAAAAATTGAAGTCGAATTTTATGTTGATACGGAATTCTGAAATTCATAATCATGAAACAAGACAATATAACTTGTTTCATCTTGACGCCGCTAGCTCCATTATCGGACAAAAAAGATTCACTCATTCAGCCTTAACTGAATTCAATAAACTACCTGACAATATAAAAAATTGCAGAAATATAGGTTCATTCAAAAATGAAGTGAAAAAATTGAATATGTCTGAGCGAACTGGATAAAATTGAACATTCCATTTTTTTTTTTTTTTACAAATATTTTTCTTTGTTTGTCAATTTAAAGTTGTTGATATATTTTGTATAATGATATGTTTACCTATAGGTATATAATTATGTACTTCCTTATACCAGAGCCTATTCTGTCTGGAAGTTATTTGTTCAATAAATAAATAAATAAATAAAATAGGACACACCCATTATTTAAAAAACTGATCAAGCAATATGCAAAGACCAAAAATGGCTATTATTGGGGTGGAAATACCATTCGAATGAGGTATCAATCATGACAGATGACATAATCTCGAATTATGTCCCCCTAGAATAGTATATTATTATACAAGTTTTATGAGACACTATTCTGTCGCACGCGTTGTTTGCAGTACGACGAGCGGAGTGGAGTGCCCAAAAAAACTAGTACGACAATATGTCTTATAAAACGTGTATAATATACTATTTTTTCTATTTAGCATTTATTTGTACTCTTTTATTGAAATGAATCATCAATAAAAACATCAAATATTAGAAATATGTATATAAATAGATATAGTTGGTAAGAAAGAAAAAACATCTGAATGTTCATTCCCAGATTTGACAGATAGAAAAATTATTCAAATTAACTTCCAGCGATATAATTTGAAATTGTTGGTCTATCATAATTCTGAATTACCTATTTTGAGGATGACTGAAAAGGCAGACTCAAGTTGCACCCCTCCTGAACTGAGGAAATTTTCCCAAATCAATGATTTGCTCTCCTACAAACCTCGTCCAGCTTATGAAAGAGAATTTCACATTTTCCAAGTATGGTGTCAAACTGGCGACCTATATCACCACAATATGTAAATGAAAACGCTTCTTGTTGACCTATATACCGCAATGGTTACTGCATAATGCCAAGAATCATTGCAGAATATCTTAAATTACCAATTCCTGAGATTTTTACAAGACATTGTTTTCGGCGTTCTAGTGTGCCCCAATTAGCAAATTGAGGCGGTGAAATCCTCAGCAGTTGCTGAAGGTTATATATTATAAGCTTCTGTGAAGAGAAAAATTGAGGTAGGTAGCTCAAATGTTTTTTTTATGTCTTCAACTTGTACAACACATGCTGATGTCTCTACCTCATAGTCGCATTTCACAAACATTAACTTGAACATTCCGACTAATGAGCATAAATGCTCAAGATAAGATACTGTGGTACTGTACAACAGTAGCAGCAGCTGCTTTTTGAATGGTGATTTTCTGTATGATATTTATTATTATGTAGAATATGTGTTACGATCACAACAAAAAAACGGACAAAAAAACATCAGTAGAAGCAGCATAAGAAGATAAATTCCTATATGGATGCATATTTCTTGAAACATTTAATTTTGGTTCCGTTCAAACGTTCTTCCAACTGAAAAATATTCGAGAATTCTAGAAAAAATTTATGGGTTACGTTTCAAATAGTCCACAATAGGGTTATATTGAAATGTTTCTGGAAGGTTTCATGTTCCGTGGGCAGGCTGTTCCATTTGAAAATCGAAAGTTGATGTCATTTCCAGGAAAACCGAATGATGATAAGAATTTCCTTAAAAGTGCCCTCTAGTGAGCATGTTCGATGTTCTAAATTTCAGAAATATACCTAGGAACCTAAAGAGAAAAGGGGGTATAACATGAGTCACCCAGTATGTCATATCCCAGCAGTCGTTCATGACATCAATGCATGTCTCTTGGTGTTCACAAACATAAGTAAGAGTGAGTAAGATATATGACAGGTCCTGAATGCGCTTGCTCCATCGGACCAAGTTCAATCTCGTAAATGAATGAGCTATGATTTTATGGCATAAGCGGTCTAATTAGTAATTGTCAGTGGTCGATGACGATCTTTAATTAGCACATGACAGTGACAGATTGAGCTGTGCTGAATTTCGCAGTCTTAACTATGTTTGATTTACGTTTGGGTGAATAATGAATATTTTCTTTTTCACTGGTTGGCAAAGAGATCGGTACCTACGTGTTTAAACTGCATGTCATTGACACTATTGACAGTTTTTCATTATGTACCTAGCGCACGATGTTCTTTGAACATAATAATTGGAATAAAAGAAGAAATCCCTGAATAATGGTGATTTCTCAGTTTAGTGGTGGACATAAAATAACAATGATCATTATGTCTTTAGATATCGAACGGTGGCGTCCAATACCGCTTCGACCTCGGCAGCGGCGAGGGCCTGGTGCGCGTCTTCGACGTGTACGTCTCGGACGGCGGCTGGCACGACGTGCGCCTCGAACGGCGCCGCAACAGCGCCGAGATCACGGTGGATGGCGCTCGGACGGCCCACGGCGCCGCCCCTGGGCCCGCCGAGGCGCTTGGCCTCGACGGCGACGGAATGTATTTCGGCGCGGAGGTGCGCAGGCGCAAGGTGCAAGGGCTCGAGGAGGTCAGCAGGGGGTTCGTCGGGTGCATGGACGATATCAGGATGGCGCAGGTGGGTGTTGATTTTTTCAATCATTGAACAGGGCGTCCTTTAGTTGTAGTTTGTGTTAGATTTTAGACATTCGAATCGACGATATAGTTTCTTGACACCCATATGTTTGATAGGTCGAGAAAGTTTAAGGGAGTCCTGTAGATATTTTTACGTCATTTGATCGACCGAGAAAATAAACAAGCTGTTTGATTATCTACAGTTCGTTTTATGTTTCATCAATAGTCTGATGAATATTATGAAGTTACGAGCATTCATTATAAATGAATGAATTTTAAGCTATTAGGTATTGTTTTTGGTACTCTCCCGGGTATTAAGCGTTAGGTAGGTATAAATAAACTAATATATGTAGGTATGTACAGTCGTATTCAGAAAAATATATCACAGAGAGAAATTAACGTCATTCTATTTGCGTAAAATGGGCTATCGGGAATGATTGGTTACCAAATGTGGACAGTAAAAAAAGTTGTCGAAGGTTCTCAAAAACACAAAGCATTGGCTGAGCCAGTTTTATACAACTAGAACTAGGATGGCGTAAACATCTCTTTTCAACACTCATACGCTTTTTTATTGAATACGACTGTACATATGGGAATTTGTTTAACTATGAAACAACAATGTTTTTTGTTGTTGTTTTTTTTTCTAGCTTCATTCTCTTTTTCTCTTCGCTTTATTCATTTCACTCAGATCAGTCACTGTTACTGCATAATCATGATCGCATATAATTCGAACCTTTGTGATGGAAATTTATTTTTCTAAACACGATAAACAAATCTATCTATCTAATAGTCTGATAAAACGGTACTTTTTCGAACATGAGTGCGGCAAATGGTTTCTTAACAGAATTTTCGTGGTCTAAACACGAATCCTAACTTCACTGCCTCGTAGCTGAACCGGCTCAGGTCGAAAAATGCAAAAAACCTCGAAATTTTCGGAGTTTTGCCGGGTTTCTGCTTATATCTAGCAAATCAAGTATCCTATGGAAAATTTCACAGTAGAATGACATCCATATCTTGATTGATTGATTGTCTTTATTACCCCAAGAAACATTATTGTTTATAATAGGGATATATACAACAAAACATACATATTATAAAACATAATAAATCGAAACAATAATAATTGCACAATTATTGTTTTTCCTGAAAAAAAAAGAATTATAATAAAATATAAAATGAAAATATCATAATCCAACCTTTGTGAAATTTGTAATATACACACTATTAGACGACTGTGATTCAAAAATTCGTTGCAAAAAATGTATGCTCCGTCGATAAGAAATAGATCTTTTCGGATTTTCTATTGAGTCATTGAAGGTTGCATCCGTTCCTTATAAACAAATACATTATAATGTAAGGAAAATGATTTATTGAAAACAAATCACTATCTTAGGATACTACAAACTAGGAAAAATATACAGAATGATCCATTTCTAAAAAATTTTGCGCAAAGGTCAACTCTTTATACGTATTGAGAAAAAAATCGAAATATTGTCAGTAGACATTTAATAATCATGTTTTATCACACTCTCTTCCAATCTAAATTATCGTATGGAATAATTGGATGGGGTGGTATGTATAAAACTCATCTAAAACCATTATTATGTATTCAAAAATATGTTTTGAAAATAATATTCCTTAAATCATTTGATCCATCAGCATCATTGTTTTTAGGAAATAATATATCAAATGTTAGGCAATTATTCTATAAGGCGTCAATAGTCTTTATTGAAAAGAATCCGACAATAACCAATGAAATTAATCATAGTTATGAAAGCTTTGCGTTATAAATAAAAACAATTAATACTTTCAACTTCAACATCCTGTATCTCGAAAACGAAGCAAGTTAGGACACATGTTTATATGAACTTTATTTTTTAAAATATCACAAGGAATCAGCCCCTGAAGTTTGTCGCACTTATTCACTAACATCCTGTATATCTGTGTAAACTTCTTGTTTATAAAACTGTAATGTTTTTAGGAAACAATAAATGTATTGATTGATTGATTGATTGATTGTTGCATGTGATTTGATTCAAAAATTGCGAACTCATTGCTTGTTTAGTAACTAACGAAACCGCGAGGTATTCAAGATTTATGGAATAGAAGCTGAAAAGGCATGCAGTATTTGATCGGAGACGGTGATATTGACTTATTTTCCAGCACTGGCGCAACAAAAGCCATCAACAGTATATAGTAAAGAATGGATAATCAGAGCAGAAAGTTGGCAGAACCCGTTCGATTTACCAAATCATAATATTCCTAATGAATGATCCGAACACCCGACTGAAAACCCAGACTTCAGATGACTTAATATTACACCCTTTTTGAACGGTTAATGTGAAATGCTCTCGTTTAGAAGCCATTTCTTATTAAATATGCACATACATACAGTGTACAATTCAATAAACAACTAAACAACGTGGCGAAGTGAGACTCGCTTTCAACAAACTTGTATTAGTTCGGGTTGAAGAGCATTTCGAGTGATAGTTGGTATGGACTCCATAAATTACTGTATTTTATTAGGATAAAAAGTATTCACTCTTCTCTCTCCCGGGAGAAAAAGTAATGTAAACAAGTGACTTTTTGTGACCAGTCAAAAGTCCTTGCCGTCGAAAAAATGCTATTATTTGTAGTGCGCGAATGTAGGAATGCCCATGAATCACCCTGTAAGTGCGAAGATGTGCGATTGCCTCGTCTGCTATGAATCGCCCTGTATTTTGCTGAGGAGCTGTAATGTTTTTGGAATAGTTTGCTATTGAACGTTTGGAGTTGCCATGGAAAAGAGACAAGAATTTTTTGTTACGTGTTGGTTCGGCGAAGGTGCTTTCTGATCGCCAAGAATAGAAAGTGTCGACTTGAAAGAAAGAACCACAAAAATCCGCTATTGCTTGATAATCAAAAGATCAAAAGAATCTTAGTCAACGTAGACAATCTAGACTAGCAGTAGGATTGGAAAAAAATTAACAAAGTCAGAGATAAGCTCCAAACTTTGTGAGTCTGGTTCGGTGCTTTATATCATGTCTTTGAATAGAGATGGATTTATTTTCATTCAACTTTTCAAGCTTAATCAAATATGAAAGATAATAAATGAAGAATTTCAAATATGAATGACTTTCTTACTTTATTAACACCCATAATTTATGCTGCTATACTGAATTACTTTCAAATAACCCTTTCTACTAGTGCCTTGATCAAATATATAAAATTGACTAAAATTTATGATTGAAAAGAAAATAATTGAATTTATGAGTCGATTATGAGGAATGCGACTCAAGGATGGAAGCTTAGGCGCCCCCACCATGTCACGTTATAATAGATGGTTTCTCCATCCATATCGATTTATAAGGGGTTATGCTTGGCTTATAGGCTAATAAAATTAAATCGAAAAAAACCGTTTTGAGGAATTAATTTCCAGCAAACTGGAAATCGTTTTAATACCTCTATTTGTTCCTAAATGCGTGTAATCTGAGTTTGCACCATGACAGGTGGTGAGCTTGACTTTTGATAGCCAAAAAACCGCCACATTTTTGCACTTTTTTTATTTTTTTGCTTATAGCTGCAAAGCGGTGCGTCGGACGGAAAATGTTATTCCATTCAATAATACAGAGGACAAAATTCTGCGTCGAATGACATCTGAAAACATCAAATTCTGTTCAGAGGTATAGCCGAAATCGAATGTTAAAAAAAAGAAAATTTCGTAGTTCGGTGCAAACTTACATTTTGCGGCTTTCCAAGACGACATTTCTTGAAAACAGATACTCCTATTGAAAAAATTCATTGAATAAAAGTTGTAGAGAATAAAATTTCATAATCATAGTTCCTAATAGTTAAGGTACAATGAAGGAACGAAAATACTTCATTGATGAACAGTTTGTGGCATAAATCAATATATAATAGGCATGCAACACAAAATGTGGCAGCATTCATGTTCGCATTTTCTTTGATGTCGATGGTCCTTCATCTGACAAGCTCAGACGGCGCGATTGCATATCGAGGCCCCCTTCATCTGGATCATCTTCAAAGGGACTATCCTCACCTATTTCTGCTTCTACGGCAATGAAGGTCACATCCTCATCCTCGAATTGTTCTGCATTCGAGCATGACTAGCCGTTGCAGTTGAGGCATATTGTTGAACATTTCATGCCTACTTTTCGGCAGCTGCACTTGCCTGTACACTCCTTTGTACATTTGCAGGACACAGTATTGCAAAAAATCCATGGAATCATTTGTTTCTGAATGTTTAGGTAACACTAATTAAGGCTTTTAAACTCTTTTCAAATTGTGACAAAATTTTACACTACCTAATTTTATTTATTATTTACAATGAATTTTGTTTGGCGTTTGTAAAAAAAAATTTGTTTGCAACTTGTGCGCGAAATACTTTGGTGATTTCGACTATTTTTTAACCTGGCTGCGCCTCGTTAAAAAAATCAGCTCTCGATCACCAAAGTAGCATTTCGCGCACTAGATGAAACATAATTATAAATTGATGCAAAATTTGGGACCGAAGCTGAACCGGGCATTCAGATATCCGGATAATTGGACAAATCAAGAAAACTTAAACATTTCGACATCTATCTATATAACGTAAAATTTTATTCTCTACAACTTTTATTTTATGGGTTTTTTCAATAGGAGTATCTGTTTTCACGATATGTCGTCTTGGAAAGCCGCAAAATGTAAGCTTGCACCGAACTACGAAATTTTCTTCTTTTTTAACATTCGATTTCGGCTATACTACTAAACGGAATTTAATGTTTTCAGATGTCATTCGACGCAGAATTTTGCCTTCTATATTATTGAATAGAATGACATTTTTCGACCGATGAACCATTTTGCAGCTATAAGCAAAAAAATAAAAAAAGTGCAAAAATTTGGCGGTTTTTTGGCTATCAAAAGTTAAGCTCAACTCCTGGAATGGTGCAAACTTAGATTACACGCATTTGGGACCGAATGAAGGTAATTACATGATTTCCAGCTTGCTGGAAATTAATTCCTCAAAATATAATTATTTGATTGGCCTATTAATAGTTTGCGAGAGGTATTATTCCAATAGGCATTAATAGTTTAGGGGTAACTGAAAGTATGAGACTATATTCAGAGATAACAATATTTATTATGACACGAAACATTACCTAATAACAACTCACATTATAATTACCAATACGACGAGTTCTTGTCAAGTCAAGAGTAGCCCCAGATGAGACTAACTTCGGAACCCTCACATCCACTATTTATATCCATAATTGTTAAATTTTTATAGTATTCCTTGAATATAAAAATATAGAAATAGTGCTGGTATTCATTCATTTATGATACTTAAGTCATATCGAAATTGTAATTTTCTAGTGTGTGTCAAAATACTATACCTATGTATATTTCATATATGCTGATATTGTATATACCGACGTTACTGTTCTTTTCTTCAGATTGTTATTTTTGAATGAAAGTTATGGAATAGGTAGGTACTTAGTTTTTTAATGATAGTATGTAGGTGCAACCCATGTGAAGACAATAATTTTGTATCACTGTGTTATCCTGTCATTGGAAGGACTATTTATATAGTTCCTCTGTTGGATAACCTTGTTTTCTAAATGAATAAATAAATAAATAAATTTTATTATTTTTGCACGTTTCTCATGAGAGTTCCTTGGTCAGTATGCATAGTTCAATGTCAACGGATGATTTGATTAACTTAATGTTCATGAAACCCTCATGGTTCGAAATTACTAATATACCGTATGTTCTACTCGTGATAATATCTTGAAAGATTCTATTGCATATTATTATTGTTATTTCAGGTGCCGATCCCCCTGCACAAATCCGGCGACAACCCGGCCGTCATGCTGAAGCACTTCGCCAACTTGGAGTTCAGCTGCGACGTCTCCCGCATCCTGGTGCCGCCCGGGCCGTGCGGCTCGCAGCCCTGCCTCAATGGCGGCACGTGCCGTGACACCAACGCCGGCTTCGAGTGCTTCTGCCACGACCGGTACAAAGGCAGGTGCGTATTCGGATTCTCACTTTTAATACCACGAGAGTTTCAATTAGTGGCGTCCCAACAAACATTCATTTGCGGTAAAATGAATGCCCAATACATTGCTCCCATAACTAGATGTTGCGGCAAAATAACTAACGTTGGTACGGGGCTATCAAGAAAAGGACACTCCGGGTGACGGTTTTCCGACGGTCAATCAGCCGGCATTAATGGGCTTATATCACAAAAAAAAATTATTTCATAAATCGATAGAACTCACCCAAACTAGCTCACCACCACAAACCGTTTCTTGCTGTGAGCTCCCTACGTTTTATAAAAAATTATTGAATTCCCCGATTTTTCGAACCTCTGAAAACGAGGCGATGATGTGACGTCAAAACCCTAATACTGAAACAAGACTATTCCAGATAGAGATGAATGATACATGAGTTCTGATAGAGTGAATTAGCGCGAGATCACAGTTGAAAGAATTAATATATCAGTTTCCTCAGTCTCAGTCGGGCGTTTGGTATTTTCTTTTAACTATGGCGAGATGAGGTTTCTACGTCATAAGAGGGTCCGTTTTCAGAAGGTACTATTATTTTGTCCAAAAATAAAACATGCCAGTTAATTTTTCAATCGAATTATGTCCTCAATCATTATTTATGTATAAAAGGATCATTATAAACATGGCTTGAGTTAAAAGTTCTACTAAGGTGTACACGCCCATTCCATTGGTGGGTTCTCAAATCCCCATGCTGGCATAGGAACGATCAAAACATAAAAATTATAATAATAATGGATGATAAGATTATGATAAGGTCTTCATTTTGGAGGTTGACCTCATACATTGTCGTGACTTGGTAGCGCTGATGGTCCACATTCTCCAGGTGTCCTATCCATTCAGTCCTATTTTTTGCAACGTATTGAAGTCGTTTATTTTTCTCATCTTTTTTCATTTACAACACAAATTTCAAACACAACATGTATATTTTGTACTGGAGCCTCTGGTAGTGCCCCTAGATGTCCCTCCGCGTGGCGCAGAGTTGGCTGGTGTTGGCCAAGGGATGTGAGAGGATTTGTGGAGTGTTCGTCGCAGAGACCATCTCCTAGGGCTAGGCCCTTTATAAAGGTAATCTCACTGTGGGTACCCAGTGGGGCGGGGGAGTTGCTCATACGCGATCAGTGCAGGGAGTGTTTCTGGTTCTTGGAGGAAAAATAAAATGTGTAAAAAACAAAAAACCTCCTTCTAGTTAGGCTCGGACAGCTGGACCTCCACGTTCCCGTGTTTGTACACCTGTCCGAGTACAGTGTCGTGTTTGCTCGTGAGCTGTGACACTATTTTATTTACTTGTTTGTCTAGATCCTTCCCGGTGTCTCAGACGTGTCCGAGAATCCGGGAAGATTCCCGACTATAGATTCTCAGGTTCCCTAAAAACATCGGTTGATGCATATATCAGCCCGTGATTTTTACGGATGTTGTGGTGTTCTCTGATTGCAGTGATATTCCGGGTAAGTTCACTTCCAGCGATGTGGTATTTGTAGAATATATTAGATATTTTCAGGATGTACTCGCTGATTCTAGGCAAATTACCACATCTCTAGTGGAGATATGCCACTCGAGAGTATTGATTGGATTGTCTTTATTACCCAAAGAAACATAGTTGTTTATAATAGGGATACATAAACAATATACATAATGTTATACATACAATTATGAAATTATAATAAGATATAACAAGTAAAAAAAATACAAATAATACGGAGTACTTTGTTCTGCAGCACCTGTAACCTATTCATATGAGTCGGCGGGATGCTGCAGTACACCGGACACGCATATGTCATTACAGGCCTGATTCTCCAGCGAGAGAGGGGAGGTCCTGGATAACAATGCTATATCGTTGGAACGTTAATCTCTATGAGAACATGACTAGCTACTCGTATTAGTATCTAAACTCATGAAGTCACTATCGGTGAGATGTAAACGGATCGAAACGGATAAGAGAATATTTCAAATATTTTGAAAATAATATATCAACTAATACTTTGACATTCTGACAGAAATAATTCTTACATAATTCCATTCGGATATTCTTTGATCATCCTAGGAAAGTATACAGTATGTCTGAAAAACTTGGTAACCAATGGAAAACTTTTTTATTTTTTAGGTAAAGTCATTCCCCCTAAAAAGTGCTGCAAGGCCTAAAATCAAATACGCGAATATGAGATACCTACAGAATTTTTTCAGTCGTATATGAGATATGTCAAAAAATATACATTTTGCTTAAGAGTGAAGTGATATCGAAAATAATCATATAGAAAACATGACTAGAATTGAAAACTACGTTCAAATACCTGATAACATCTACCTACGATGAAAATCATGTTTTACAATTACTTCCAATAATTTCTGATCGAATCATATGGAAAACTTATTAATTTTACGGAAAAAATCCAGGAAAAAAGCATGATTCATAAAAAGTTCTGCAAGGTCAAAAACCAAGAATGCAAACATCAGATATCATTTTTTTTTCAGTCATATATGTCAAAACATCCCAAAAAATTTTTAAAAAAATAATAAAACCAGATTTTCATCGTGGACAATAGATGTTATAGATATTTGAACGTAGATTTTAATTCTAGTCAACTTTATTCGATATTGATTTTCGATAGGTATTGTAGGAAATTAAGGTACTTTACTCTTGGTCAAAGTTAATGTTTATCTGGAACATATATTGGTATGGTTGAATGCCCACCATAAGCCTTCTTAAAGATTAAGTAAACAAAGTCAATGAAACGATGAAGGCTCAACACCTATCTGCTCCACTGGCAAAGTGACTACAAGAATGTGAAAGGCCAACAGATGTTTGCCGTTGAAGTCATTTCCCAAGCAAAGGCCAATAACTTCCCGGTAGTTCATAGTTTGTTGGGGTGTTGTCCATAGAAGCTAGGGAAGCGCAGCTTCCCTTGCCCAAAAATCAGAATCATCATCTAGAGCATTTTTATAATGTAGTGGTTATGTTATTTATTTTATCCTCCTAATTCAGTGCTGAATGTTTTCAACTCAGTTGTCATCCTGTAATAAAACAATAAAAGGGACGCTCATGGCCGCCAGCGGCGAGAACCGATCACATACTACCTATCGATGGAAGCTGTTATTTAAAAGCATACAGGCTGGATATACTTACCCGTGAAAATTTGCGTTGACATACGCGTGTCCTGGATTTCTGATTGTATTAATTTTGTTGCTCTGTTGGATCTATTTTTATGTAACCAATACCTTAGTACATAATTGTACGATCGATTATAACTGTCAGATGATTAATAGGTATTTCTTCAATTTTTCACTCGTGTTAGATTGAAATTCCCGATAAAGTCAATGCATGATACAAACGGTGGTGGAAGCGGTGGGCAGATAGCTTCGGTCAACAAACGGAGGTATACCAGGTGGGCGCGATGGCTCGTCAACGTTTGCAAATACCATTTTTCTACGATCGTGCGAAAAGTTACTACTTCTTGCACTCTTCAGTATGCAAGAAAGTTGAAGAAATACTTCACTTCTCTCGTGATTACGAGTTCAATCTGAAAATTGAGAATTACTGATGTTAATTGTATTGTGAATTACTCTTAATAAAATTTGAAATAAAAATATATTCAATTCGTTCGTAGAAAAAAATGGTCTGTGCAACATGTAGCCCTGCACTGATGGAATGCTCGAAACCGGTCTGCAGGTAGTCACGCGTTCCTGAACCACTTAGGCGCAGTTTGGCGTTTAGGAAGGAAACACTCGCGATTTTATTCGTCTATACGATTTATTGCATATATTTCGGGAGGATGTAATTCAATGTTGCATATAGCCACGAAAGTAGCTGTTTTTCTCTCGTTATCTACCAATTTCGTTCATTTATGAACATTTGTGGTAATGACTTTGAGCTTCGCATATTTATTTGAATAAAATAGATGTTTTATAACATACAGCAAAGATATTTATTGCAGTGTGTTGCTGGACATAGTGCAATTATACGTGGAATACAATATCTGCCAATTGCCCACCATGACTTCTCTGGCAGCACACAAATCGTTTTCTCTGTGACGGGAAAAAAGTTTGACATTTCATCGCTGACAGGTTTTAAAATATCACTCGGGAAAAAAGTGAATACTTTTTTCCCGGATATACAGGGTGACCCAGGGTTAAACCGCCAAACGTTAAGGGTCGGTTATTTGGGCAAAAATAAGACTTTTTTTCTAATGAACATATGTCCTAACTTGCTCTGTTTTCGATGTACAAGGTGTCAAAGTTTTTCATTAATTACGGCTTGAACTTACGGCAGATTTCGATGAAGCTTGGTATGCTTATTTGCGGTGAAACGGAGCTGAGCTCCATTTGATGTAATCCGAATTAAATTATTTCCATTTGCGTCCCAGAAAGTAATCAAATTGATATAAGGATATTTTTGTTTTATTATTTTATTTTATTAGGAAACTGATAACGTAATAGAGGGTAATCTAACTGATATTAGGACAAGTCATTGTATGACTTTTTTTTGTATGTTCAATATTGGTAAGTACTCTGCGGGAAAGGATCATTCATGCAGCCCGAGAGATTACACCAGCAGAGTGCCGTGCAGCTGCAGTCGTCCGTAGGTGCGAACTTTGCATCGAGAAAGATGGTGGTCATTTCGAGCAGTTCATGTGATTCTTGGACGTTATCAGTTTCCTAATAAAATAAAATAATAAAACAAAAATATCCTTATATCATTTTGATTACTTTCTGGGACGACAATGGAAATAATTTAATTCGGATTACATCAAATGGAGCTCCGTTTCACCGCAAATAGGCATACCAAGTTTCATCGAAATCTGCCGTAAGTTCAAGCCGTAATTAATGAAGAACCGATTTTTTCTGAAAACTTTGACACCTTGTATATCGAAAACAAAGCAAGTTAGGACAAATGTTCATTAAAAAAAAGTCTTATTTTTGCCCAAATAACCGACCCTTGACGTTTGGCGGTTTAACCCTGGGTCACCCTGTATATATACACTGTTGGTAGCATTTGTTGTGCTAGTTTCAAAAAATAAGCCAATAGCACCGTCTCCGAGAAAGAACTGCAAGTCATTTTCTCCTCCATTTCACTTTGCGGTTACGTAAATATCTGAACAACCAATAAGTTTGCAATTTTTCAAAATCAAATTACAGAATTATACTGACAGATATTTGATTACGTCAAGAGAATGATAAAGAAACCTGCAAAAAGATGCATGCAACGCAAATTAGGAAGTTGGAAAATCGAGGAACGTTTTTAAAAAGCAATATTTTTCCTTCAAGGTACAAGAGAGAACTGACTTTATTAAATGAAATTTACAAGTAATTCGTGAGATGAAAATGGTGTGATACAATTCATAGAAATGAAATACGAAACTGCTGAATCCGCTGATGAGCGTCAAACTCGTGTGTTCTTGAGGTGAATAACAGGAATATGGAAACGTAACTCGCAGGTGTAATTCCCGTAAAAAGCTTCAGACTCCACGTCGATAATTTTATGATTTTAATATAATGTAATATCTTCTCGATATTATACACGGTTTTTTGTCTACTACTTTTTGTTTCCCTGGTATAATATATAACTATTGTTGAGATTTTTCAGTACTCATAAACACATATTGGTGGTTGTCATGAATTATTTTTCTGATTTCTTCTTTCAATCCCTCAATGGTTTGAATGATTGATGTGTTTTTGATGGTACGAGATGATTTACATGGATTCAGAGAATATGTGATTCCAAAAAGATGGTGCGAACGGTCATACAGCAATAGAAACATTGAATTTTATGAATGTTCCAATATTTCGTAAACTATGAGGTTTTTACTGAGGTCAGGTTGTGATTTTCTGATAGGTTATGAACTTGTTTATTCAGAGCCTCAGTATGATCCATGATTTACCGTCAACCTGTATATTTTGCCGTTTACTTATTTCTGGTATCATTTTCTTGTATTATTATACGTTAGTACTCATTCAGTTATTTGGGAAGTAGATGAATCTCTATAGAATTTCCTGTAATCTTTTGAAAAATTGCTCCAAAATTGTTCTTGACCATCATTCGGTTGCCCCCTTACGAGCAACCCTCAAAAGTATTCAAGAGGCTTGTGCGAGCAAGGAATGACGGAGGTCTTACCTCTCAACGTATGATCCCAAACACTTTCATAGGCCATCAGAAAAATTTCTGCGGTCGTGGTGGGAATCGAACCCACCTACCGGTAAGCCAACGTGAATAGAAGATTGACGCTTCAACCACGAGGCTACGCTGGCCTATTGCTTCAATAACATGTCTGTATTCATTAAAGGTTCTGCGAACTGGACACGGATCCGTGTGCCTCGCAGCCCTGTTTGTTCGGGGGAGAGTGCTCGCCGGCCGTCGCGGGAGATTTCGTATGCGAGTGCGCGGTAGGGCTGAGCGGGAAGAGGTGCGAGTACGGCAGGTGAGTTGATGCTGCACAGGGCACTAGAGATCTGTTTTTTCAGCTATTTTGTCAACAGAACATTTATTTTATTCATTTCAGTTATTGCATTACATTCTTTTCTCCATTGATACATTTTATACAAATAATATATAAAGTATAATTAATTTTCTAGTAGGAAGGACATGAATCATCAGACAGTAATTCCTGGTATAAGATCATTCATGAAGTATTATCGACTGTTGTATAATTGAAATTACAAATAGTGAACAAAACTTACATATCATTAGGATATCTCAAAATAACAGTCATATTATAGTGAACAAGAAGGGAAAAAACAGTGAAGAAAAAAAAAAGAAATTCATAGTCTTTCAGCTTTGATCATTCCTTTGCATATGAATATATTTCATCAATTTATTTTTGAATTGTTGTTGTTGTTGTTTATTACCCCAAGAAACATATTATGATATTTGGGCTGTTTTTCATATCATCTGCTAATTTATTAAATTTCGAAATCGCCTCATGTGTAAACTTTTTTTGTCCAAGTTTAGAATTTGCAGCTTCAAGATGAAACAAGTTATATTGTCTAGTGTGATGACCATGACTTTGGGAATTCCTAATTAATATAAAATTTGATTCAAGCTTGTTGTTGATGATATAATAGGAAATTTTTAGAGTATCGATTGAAAATGTGTTTGTTTCCTTATACAGTTGATTCGTTGGAGTATCATATGGAAGACGATACAATACCTTCAATGCCTTTTTATATAGAACAGAAATTTTGTTGAAACTATTTTTGGGACAAGATCCCCAAATATTCATGAAATAGTTGATTCGACTGAGTATATGTGATTAGAGAATAATATTTGATGTATATGTACTAAGTTTAGGACATCTTTTTAAAGCACCAATAATGGGAGATACTTTTCCTATGAGGATGTCAATATGCTTTTCCCATGTTAATTTCTCATCAATCCAAATACCATGGCATTTGGTATGGGCAGTTTGTTTGAAACGTTCATTTTTTATTCTAATATTAAGATCAATATTTTGTTTATTTCTTTGGCGAAAAAGTATATATTGAGTCTTATTAGAATCAAGAGAAAGAGGATTGGAATAAAGCCATTTCTCATTGTTTTCAAGTCATCATTTATGATATGTTCTAGAACTACTGGGTTCTTATTCTCATATAGAAGCACTGTTTCATCTGCATAGATGGTATAGTTTCCTATCAAATTCATTCTTTCAATATTTTGAATGTATAATAGATAAAAAATTGGACCCAACACTGATCCTTGAGGAACTCCTTCGTTTAAATATAGTATCTTAGACTCACAGTTATTAATTTTAGTTCTAATAGTTCTATTTTCAAGATATGATTTCAAAAGATTCTGTCCAATTCCTCTGATTCCCAGTAGTATATTGTGGTCAACTGTATCAAAAGCCTTTTTTAGATCTATAAAAATTGCTGCTACATAATTTCCTTTGTCAAGTATGTCCTGAATGAAATTGATTCCTTGTAGCACTGCTGATTGTGTACCACTGTTTTCTTAAATCCGAATTGGTTCAAATCGAATCCATATTTTTTATTGATGAAATCTACAATTATTTTATTGAGAATTTTTTCTACAAAATGTTTAGTCTCGATGCTTATGAAGTTGATACAATACTCATGAAACAAGACGATATAATTTCTCAATAGCATCCAATAGACGAAGAGCTGACAACAAATTTCATTGTCCGACCAATAGATCGATATCTCCCACCTTATTGTACTGCCGTAACACCATTTAAAACTGATCGAGATGTCCGGCAGGTTTTCAGTGGTAAAGTCGGCCGTGGTATGGCCGTGAAGGGTTGAAAAAAAATGCAACGTACAATTGATAGAGCGCTGAATTTTTGTGGCGTGGTAGCCGATTATATTTGCTTTCCAATAAAAATTATGTCAGACATATTGAGTAGTGTGATCATATCCGCCAGACATCATAAAATGTGCGTGAAAACGACACTCCATCCTCTGGTTAATAGATAACTAAAATTATTTTTATATATATAGGCTGATGATGAGTTTTTTAAATGGGACATCCTATTTTCAATTGCATTTTCGTATTCACCATCAAAATTGCTACACAACTGTTTCTTGTTTTCTGTATTTGACTCCACAGTTATCAAGTTAATCAACTTTTTTCGTGAAAAACTGATTTCGTGAAAAAATGTTTTGTGGTTATCATTTGCACATTGGAACGGAATAAATTCACACGAATATAGTCCAAGATGTGTTCCATTTGTTTCTACAAAATCAGTTCGAAATATTAAACATTCTGTCAATGAAAGGCGGAAAATTTTCGGTTCCAGATCTACATTACCTTCAAAACTTCTATTAAGATATGTCCTATAAATAAATATTGCCGTTTTCTATATGATTCGAATTTTTAGCAACGTAACTAATGCTTTAATGAAGCATATTCCTGATAAGAAGGAATTAAGTAGGTACAACAATATTCTTGAAGGAATTATTCATGTTACATTTGTTTCCTAATCTCATTTGCATTCTAAAGCATTGCCAAGTCATAAAAACACCTCGAAAACTACGTATTTCATTTTGTTAGGTATGAAAATCTTCTGAATATAACGCAAAAATGTAGTTTTTTGATCAAATTAACAATTATTTGCTAAATTATCGATTTTTATCGAAAAAGGTAATATTTATATATAATAATGAAAATTTTATGTAATTTGGATCTGAAGCCGTTAACGTAAAAAATATAGGGTATTCCATTTGAAATAATGATGTTCTGGCATCTTCAATTTCATTAAGTTTTTTCAGCTATCATTGACAGAGTGTTCAATACTTCGAACTGATTTTGTAGGAACGAACTGAACACAGTCATATTGGTTTCTACTTTTGTGGATTCATTTTGTTCCAATTCCCAGATTTTTTTGAATTTTTAGATTGTTTTTTTGTTGCCACCTTATGTTATTTTATTATTGTTGTTTGTAATCAACTTCCTCATGACAGAATTTTATTCACGACTCGAAGCTATCTTATCAATAAACAATAAATTATTCACACCAAAAAAATACATTTTTTCACATATTCAGTTTTATACGAAAGAAGTTGAATAACTTGACGATCGTGGAGTCAAATAGAGAAAACAAACAGTTGAGTAGCAATTTCGATGGTGCATAAAAATATGCAATTGAAAACAGGGTGTCCCTAAAGAAATATTTTTAAGTGACTGAGGGACTATTGTAACGAAAAACGAAAAAAAATGGCTCAAGTATCTATTCATCGGAGGATGGAGTGTCGTTTCCATGCACCTTTAACGCTTTCTGGCGGTATGATTACACCACTCAATGTGTCTGGCATAATTTTTATTGGAAAAGTAAACATAGTCAGTTACCAACCCACAAACATCCACCGCTCTATCAAACGTACGTTGCATTTTTTTTCAGCCCTTTATGGCCATGCCACGGCCGCCTTTACCACTGAAGATCTGCCAGACATCCCAATCAGTTTTTAATGATCTTACGGCAGCACAATAAGGTTGGAGATATCGATCTATTAATCTGACAATGGAATTTGTTGTCAGCTCTTAGCATACAATTAAAAGTCAAATTTTGGCAATCGATTGTATATGAAACAGAAAGATCCAATAGCTATTCATATATCAAGGTTAACACAAGTTCGAAGAAAATGAACGTTTACTAACATAAATATATGAAGGGCCCGGCCGATTTCGTAGGCACAGCATTGTGATTTCCGAAACGGTACGGGATAGAAAGTTGATCAAATCAGACAAAAGTTACGTAATTTGAACGTCTACAATTTGAAGTTTTTCAATTTGAAAAAATCATCCGTCCCTGTGAAATATTTTGAAAAAACTTGAAATCACTGTTTTTGTTTCCATTCATTTTCTTGGTTAATATCTCAGGAAGAAATTGGAAATTTTGAGCAAACAGGTTATTATTTATGACAAAAAAGTTAGGTTTGCCAGACATTTTTTCTCTTCATTATTTCCAGATTCCCATACAATTTTCGTTTTTCGCATGGGCGCCATATTTATTTCTATAGCATTAAATAGGGCTCAAGAATCTCTTCACAGCTATGGATATCATGTCGACATCATCTCATGAAACAGCGTCAAAAACAGTAAAAACATTTTCAAAAGTGGTAGTCCATGATAATAAGTAAACCGAATATCAGTCGTTATGACTACAATATCAATACTTCTTCATAGTGATGTATAACATGCTACATCATTATGCAAAAGCACAGAAAAACCTAGAATACAAATTTTCATTGGTCTCACGCAAAAATTGAAATTTCCTCAAATATTAACTAAGAAAATAATAAAAAACAAAATCAGTGATTTTCAGTTTTCTCAAAATAATTCAGGAACGGCTGAATATTTTTCAATATGCAATACTAAAACAAGCACTCATCATCAAATTTATAACCTGGGGCAACTATATATTTGGAACTTCAAATGTTTCTTTCAACTTCATGAAATGTACTTATACATTAGTGTAACAATTTATTTTCCTCATTATTTATCAATTTCCGGTGGATCCGACACTGTTCATAGTGTGAAATCTACTCTGTACTATTATATTTAGAGAAATAAAAAAAAATAAAGAAATAAAAAAAAAATGTATAAATATTGATATTGAAAAATCATTAGTCCCCGAGTGAAAGATCGGTTGAAAATTACAAATGATTCATGAACCTTTTCTTTTTGATTTTTCAACAGATTTTGTTCGCCTAATCCTTGTAAACATGGAGGAGTTTGCGAAGAAGGCAACGACGGGCCGCTGTGCAAGTGCCGCTCCTTCGTCGGAAAGTACTGCGAGTACGACTTGAACGAGTGCGACTCATCGCCCTGCCAGAACGGCGGTACTTGCGTCAACAGGTGAGCACCATCTCGTTTTCTGAGGGTATTAAAAATCTGCTCAACACCATCCATTCATTCATTTAATTATTCATGTATTCATCAAATCAAGTAAAATATACAGATTCTTATTAAATATCAGTTGTCATGAGTGAAGTCATGTGAAGTTGACGTGAACAGTCAATCAGCTGATCGTCAACACTATTAACCGAATTTACAGTGTTTCGAGTGCTATTTTAATAAATCAACAAGAAACAACGTGTGAAGCAAGTAAGTGGGTAGTACACCAACTAGTCGATCGTTTGATTACACATCGCATTTGGTGATAGTTGCATTCAAAACAACTGCATTTTTGTGTGAGGATAGTGTGGATCCGAACCATCTTAGGCAGAAACCAATTTTCATTCCGTCAACCAACACATCTGTCCTATATACCTATCTCATACATCAGAAGCCTGCAGATTCCTGCTCCCTACAGTCTGATATACCTCTAGTTCCAGCAACTGCTCGAAGATGGCACCATGTAAGAAATGCAGAGCACCTATATCTAATGCGGTCAAATCTAAAGTACAGTGCTCCACTTGCGAAGATGTCTATCATACAAGCTGCGCTGATACGCCTACTCTTGACTTGGAGGGGCATTGGTACTGCCCAGTTTGTCGGAAGAAAACGATGGAGTATTCCCAAAGCATGTCTAGCTCGAATTCAAAGCCAGAACCGTTGAACACCCAACATTTTCAACAGATAATGGACCAACTTGCCCAGTTGAATACGCAGATATCAGTCTGCAACCAGAGCATACATAACATTAAAGAAACGTTGATGAACCACAGCCAATCAATTACGGACTGTGTAGCTGAAGTTTCTGCCCTGAAAGACAAAACAACCAACCTTGAGACGCAGCTAGTTGAACTCCAATCAGCTAGTTCCAGAATGGTGTCTCCCAAAGAAGTAGATCTGAACCTATTTTGTGCAGAATCCAGAGACCGCATGGAGCGGGAGAAAAACATAATGATAACTGGTATTCCTGAGACCAACTGCATTATCACTGATGAAAATCATGTAAAGTCCATCGTAACTATAATTAGGAACGGGTACCAGTCCCTTATCACGTCAATTGCCCGCATCGGAAAGCCCACCAATGGAAAAACCAGACCCATCAAAGTGAGTTTTGCGGAGAGCAAGATCGCTTTCGAGATACTTAAAAACAAAAACAAGTCAAAACCCAACTATCCATAATCCAACATAAGATCTGATCTAACCCCAACACAAATGAAGGAATTACAAGATCTTCGTAGTGAGCTACAGAGGAGAATGGATAGCGGTGAACCTAACCTAACAATTAAATATATTAAGCGAATTCCACAGATTGTCAAATCGAGCTTCGCCACCGATTCAAAAAACTCCCAGTAGTCAATGGAATTTGCTGCTCCTGTCTGGTCACCGGGTTTGATTCGCGATATCAAATTAATCGAGGGTGTCCAACGCCTTGCCACTAAAATCATCAACGGACTGAATCAAAAATCGTATGCCGATCGCCTGCAACATTTAAACCTGCCTACTCATTACTGGAGACGAACTCGAGGCGATCTGATCGAAATTTATAAAATCCTAACAAATCGGTACACAGTAGACTTATCTAGCATGTTCGAAGTGAATGAGAGTGAAAGGTTGCGCGGTCATCCATACAAACTGAAACGCGAAAGATTCAGAAAATGTGTACGCGAACACACACTATTCAACAGATCCTTCCAGCTCTGGAACAGTTTGCCCGCTAACGTAGTCTCTGCGCCATCCCTGAATGCTTTCAAGAATTCTTTGGACAAACATTATAATGATAACCCACACATTTTTCCCCAACATTTCCTACTCATGTAAATTTTACGACAGGCTTATATAGCTGATTCAATCCTCATTAGTTATTATTTTAGAATCAAGCAATTACTTTCATTATTATGTATTTATGTATAACTTTAGTATAAAGAGTTTATAAGCTTCTAGCTTCTACTGTTGTTAGTTTATAAATAAATAAATAAATAAATATATTTCGAATTGTATCTCATTCACAAAGGTTAGGGACCTGTGTGTGAAAGAGATGAATTATTACATGTATCAATTTTTTTTCACTATAAATACTCAAATTGTATAGAAATAATCAAGATACATACAAAACAAAAATAAAATATGGATGGGTCCATTATCCTTATTCATTACTCTGTTACTATTCTTGAATATCTCTAAGCTTTTATATACATCTAATTTTCTAACATTATTAACTTGCTTAACTAATTTGAGGTTATTAATATGTGTGTTATGATTCTGATTGAACATGTGTTCGGCTACACACGATTTATCTAGCCTACCATATTTCAAATGTGCTAAGTGTTCTTTGAACTTTGTTTTTATGGGACGCTTGGTTTGGCCTATATATGTTTTATCACAATATTTACAACTTATTCCTGACTTTTCAAGTGTGCTCACTTTATCTTTTGGATTACCTAATGAATTGCCTAACTTTGACCCAGACTGATAAACGCTTTGAAAACCTTATCAAGTCGTCTTGTGTACTTGGGATTGAAAAGGATTGGAACTTTTCCCGGATTGTTTTTATCCGCTTGAAAAGTCGTAGAATTCCTGAGTGATAACTTAAATTTATGTCTACGTATTGAGCTATCTACTCTTTCGATAGCATATCCATTGACGCCAGCTACTTTATAAACAACACTCCTTTCAACATTGAATCTTTGTTTGCTCAGGGAAAATAAAACTAGTCTATGTACTAGGAAGTTTAAACTTGCCATGTCGTGTTGAAAACATTGATTGGTGTCATTAGTTATGTATCTAAATGTGTTAGTTTATTTTCTAAAAACATCAAATTCTACATATTTTTTACCATTTTTCATCACAAGAACATCTAAGAATGGTAATTCACCGTTGTCTTCGCATTCAAAAGTGAATTTGATAGAGGGGAAGCAATTGTTCAATTGTGAAATGAAGCTATCTATATTTGTGATTTTCGTATGAAAAATTGCAAAAATTTCGTCGACATGTCTAATCCAAACCCCAGGAAAATACTCGAATTTTTTTTGCATTAGTTTCAAACCATTCATGAACAATGTTGTTCAAAAAATTCTCTGTATTGAAAAATATTTTGGCTCATGCAGAGGTTCGTGAGATTGATCCGTTCTTTGATATCATCCGGATCAAGGTTGTTATATCCGGGTTATTCCCTTGAATATTTCAAAGTTGTTGGTATGGGTACATTTGGAAAAAGTGATGAAACATCAAATGATATTATGATTTCGCCTTCGGTCAGTTTCAAACCTTTGACCTTTTCGATGAATTCAAGCGAATTTGACACAGAATGATTGTTGTAAGGATTATTTAAAGTTTTCAAAACTTCAACCAACCACTTTGAAATATTGTAAGTAGGAGGCCCGATTGCGGACACAATTGGTCTCATTTACTTACCGGGTTTGTGTATTGTTTAACAAAAATACACATGTAAGCCGTTTTGACCAATAATGAATAGTTTTGACACAAAAAAATCGTAAAGTTGAAAAAGTATGTTCGAACAAAAATGACGCAAAACCGAAGTTTACTGTGTGTTGCTAGCGACAGCAGCCATTTTGCAGCCACACTTCGGTTTTGCATCATTTTTGTTCGAACAGACTTCGTTCGTGGAGCACAACAGCATACCAACAACGCATTGTATGGGCCCCTTTCACGCAAACATTCATTTCATCGCCTAGCAGCAACACTTTTTCGTAAAATAATAAAACAGTATTTTAATATTGACAAATTTTTCGTCGGTGGATAAATTCACTTAAGTATGTCAGGTAGTGCCATCTGTCAGCAAAGTGGTTTACTTGTAGTATCACTCTGTAGCGTATAGACTTAAGAGTCTGTACGTGTGACTATAGCTGGCAGCGCCATACAGTGTGTGTCGCGATCTCTGGATCCTACCTTAGAGCTTTGCCACCAAATGGCTATAACATGACTATAACTTCATGTTATACCCTGCGTCTTCGAAATGGGTGATATACCCGAAGCGTAGAGTTGTCCCAGTTGTCGGCAGACCGAGAGCGGCTGATGAGACCTGGTGGGTCGAAACAGTACTGTCTCGCTCCTGCTGATTGGGGCAACTCTGCTCATCATGGATCTCTTAGTTATGAGATCTATCAGTTGAACAGGTCGGTGGATAAATCCACTCAAGTATGTCAGGTAGTGCCATCTGTCAGCAGAGTGGTTTACTTATAGTATCACTCTGTAGCGTATACCTAGACGTATGGGTCTGTACGTGTGACTATAGATGGTAGCGCCATACAGTGTGTGTCGCGATATCTGGATCTTAGCTTAGAGCTTTGCCACTAGATGGCTATAACATGACTATAACTTCATGTTATACCCTGTGAAAAATCTTACACTTTAGGCACACAAAATGTATTAAGAAAGTGCAGTTTTAGGAAAAATGAATCAACGCGTTTTTGTTCTTGCTTATTGCAGTTTCGGTTCGTTCCATTGCTCTTGTCCGGCGAACGTGTCCGGCACCTATTGCGCAACCACTTTCAACTCGCATATCGCCTTCTCCTTCTATGGCGTCTCCTTGGAGCATCTGGTCTACTTCGCCGTGGCCGTGCTCTTCCTCCTCTTGTCCATCGTCGTGCTGGCCGTGTGCTTGTGCCATCGCAGAAGGCGGAAAAGGCGCAAGCGACGCGACAATCTCAAGGAGAACGTGCTGCTCAACTCGAACAGGTGAGTGGATAGATAGACAGAAAGTGTGGGCCGTGAATCCTTGCATAGAGATCACTCAACTGTACAGGGCCATTCCGTATATTTAAACAGCTTCTACATGGTTCATAATTGAATATAGAACACAATTTTAAATACAAAAGTTGTAGTGTTTGTTCTGAACCTCCAGAAAATTGTACGAACTGAAACAAATGAATATTGCTGTTATAAGAAATCTCTACCAACTTCGTTATCTTGATTTGACAACCTTTGAAGATTGATTAATGACAACCTGCACAATTATGTGTTGTTGATTCTTCATGTCAATTGCGATTTGGTAAAATAAAAATATAACTATATATATAATTCTAAATTGTTCGACCTCGAATATTTCATAATCGGCTGAACCGAATATCAACAACCTATATAAACTACGCAACACTAATTTCGTCGCACCCCAAAATGTTGTCCTTATTAAAATATGAATTACTTTTTTCTGCTCTGAACAATTTGAATTCGGATCACACTGTTCGCTAGCCCAGTCCTTCAGCTATAAGCTCGTACATCTTCAAAACATGATATTCTTCATATAAAATCGCTACACCTGAAACTGTGAAAAATTTCGGAATTTTCAAAAGGATCCCAAATGAACAAAAACTTTTTTTTTCACCTTCTACAGTAGATGCATGAAGATGATCTCATTACCTAGGGACAGTTTTCAAATTGTCTTTTCATCTCTTTTATTTACAGAGTGATCTCGAAAAATTAACTTCCTGGTTTTGCAGTCATAACTTTTTTTCTTGTCAACCCGTTTTTAAAATCTAATTTTCAAGCTGAAACTTCAGATGAAGAGATGTGAAGATCAGAATTGACTCAAGATGAACACTATACAATGTGTCTCACTTCTAATGGAAGCACCCCCGTATGTTTGGTAATTGTTGAGTTAGGATTCTGAAATTTACAGGAGCGGGAGATATACCGAAAATAAACACTATGAACAGCTGGAGTCATCTTCAGTAATAAAAACTGCTCGCCATGGAACCATCCAACTTTCCGGAAAATGTTATTAGGAGCCAAGATAGGTTGAAAATCACTTCGGATTCGAAATCAGGACGCCCAATTCACTGACTATACATATTATTCCTGGAGAATTTTCAGTTCAGAACAATTAAATTTTGACTCACTTCTCATGGAAACACCCCCGTATCTCACGTAATTATTGAGGTAGAGTCCTGAAATTTACAGGAGGAATCGAAAGGGACGTCCTGATTTCGAATCCGAAGTGATTTTCATCCTATCTTGCCTACCTATATCATTTTTGTGAGTAGTTCCATGGCTGTTGGCGAGCAATGTATATCACTGGAGACGACTCCACTTGGTAGTGTGTATTTTCAGTACATCTACCGCTCTTGCAAATTTCAGAATCCTAACTCAACAATTACGAAAGATACAGGGGTGCTTCAATTATAAATGAGTCACACTGTATAATGTTCATCTTGAGTCAATTCAACCAACCATTTCTTATATCAGTGATATTCATTTGTTCCACCTCGTACAATTTTCTGGAGGTTCAGAATAAACCCTACAACTGTTGTATTTGAAGTTTTTTTTTTATCGTCATTGATGAAGCCTGTAGAAGCTGTTTGAATATACGGAATGACCCTGTACACGACTGGAAATGATTTTTATTTAACAAAAATTCCGCGTTGTATCATAACCCTATATGTACAAGGAATGGGAGCAAATTACTGAAAATCTCCAACAAAGTTAATGTTATTAACAATCGACGGGAATTAACACAAATACGGAGCTCAAACTGCGTCAAAACTTATCTCACACCACTGCCCTGTCCACGTGAAATTCCTAATAAGAGGATAGACGTCACCTGTAGCAACAGAATGCCAGCTTGAAATTGTCTCTCGGCAATCAGCTTAGCTAATCTTTACCGATAAAAAAACACTTGTACTAACTTTTCAGGTACTTATGTATTGCTCTCTCTTTTTACCGTCATTGACCAGTTAGCGACAGATTATGTAGTAGCACATTCTCTTATCATCAGTTTTTGTGGTCGATACTTCCATTGTTAACCTTGAAACATATTATTTCGTTAGATATCACGAAATCCCCGAATTAAAACGCACCTCTAAGCTGAGCAACACAGAGGTGAACCAGCAACTCTTCGTCGTTACATGAATATTCGTCTTTAATCTCTTCCGGGTTCATTACAACAGCTAATGTTGTGTCTAATGATGGCCTGTGACCGACAGACACTTTCATCGTTAACCTTGGAACATATAATTTCTTTAGATCTCACGACATCCCCGAGTTCAAGCGCACCTCGAAGCTGAGCAACCTGGAGGTGAACCAATAACAGGAGATGTCTAATTGCGCCCCACGACCGGTCTCCTACATCGTCAATTCACAGAGCGAGTCCGCGAACGGCTCTAACGCGCCGCCTAACGCGATGCTGAAGAACCTGGCCATGTACCTTATAATTTTTTGTGGTCGACAGACAGTTTCATTGTTAACTTTGAACATGTTATTTCCTTAGATCTCACGACATCCTCGAATTCAAGCGCATCTCGAAACTGGGCAACCTCGAGATGAACCAGCATTTTTGTTACATGAATATTTGTCTTCAATACCTTCCATACACATTACTACACCTAATTTTTTGTCTATGATGGCCTGTGGCCGAAACTACATAGTAGCACATTCCGTTATCTATTTTTTTCTGGTCGAAACTTTCAATGTTAACCTTGAAACATGTTATTTCGTTAGATATCACGAAATCCCTGAATTTAAACGCACCTCAAAGCTGAGCAACCCAGAGGTGAACCAGCAACTCTTCATTGTTACATGAATATCTGTCTTCAATTTCTTCCGGGTACATTGCTACCCCTAATTTTGTGTCTAATGATGTCCTGTGGCCAAAACTACGTAGTATCACATTCTCTAATCATTATTTTCTGTGGTCGGCATACACTTTCATCGTTAACCTTGAAACATATAATTCTTTAGATCTCACGACATCCCCGAGTTCAAGCGCACCTCAAAGCTGAGCAACTTGGAGGTGAACCAGCAACGGGAGATGTCCAATTGCGCCCCGCGACCGGTCTCCTACATCGCCAATTCGCAGAGCGAGTCCACGTACGGCTCGAACGCGCCGCCTAACGCGATGCTGAAGAACCTGGACACGCTGCGGAGTTACGGATCGGCGGCAGACGAGCTGGAGAACGTGCCGATCGATTACGTGAGGAACTTGAACAGGGGCACGCCTCAAGGTCAGTGATTTATATATTTTTTGTTGTTGAAGATTCCTATGTTGTTACTTACTAAAGTTGAAACTTGTGCGGGGTTGAGTAAAGCTATACCGGGTGTCAGCGAATCTATTAGACACGCCACAACTTCTAGGATATTTGGTTCATCAAAATGAAATTCAATATTGGTATATTATATTATATGTGAAGAGGAAAGTTTCCGCATGTTCTCAAATTCCCGATCACTTCTGGTTTCACCGGAAATGGCTCCGGTTTTGAACTTTTGAATGGAGCACCCTGTATATTATAACATTTTTGATTTCCTGAGACAATTCTGGATCAAAATATGACATTTTCTGAAGGTTTTACTCCTACTTCTTGTTTTTAGAGTCACTTTCAATATCGCATCTAGGTGGCCATGATCATACCTGAACTTATCTAAGGACCTCAGATGATGTTAGAAAATTATAATCACAAAGTTTCAGTGACTAGTATGATGGGAAGAAGACAAGTTGACAAAATTACATTTCCGTGTGTTGTAATGGCAACCATTTTTTGACAAGCACTTTCCAAAAAAAGGATTGTTTGACAAATCTAACGAAATACTAATTCATTTGCCATTGGATTGAAAATGAGAACATAAATTCATTATTTCTAAGGAAAATACTGGATATTTATTCATTTACAGGATATGAGGTAGCTCCTCCTCCTCCTCTTCAACCCCCCCTTCCCCTCTATTATATGTGCGCCTTGGGGTGACACACTCCGTAAGTATGTCCCCTGTTAGGACTTCTGTTAGTATACCAAATTTGTTTGTGTTCACGTTGACAAATGCGTTCGATCTTTTGTGGTTATATGCACCCAGTAGTATCTTAGCCTGTCTGAGACCTAGAAGATTTTCTAAGATATCTAATCTCTGTGTAGCTTCTTATTTTCTAATTTCTTTTGATACAGTACTGTTACCGATCCTACAGAATCCTAGTGAGTTAGTACGCTACTTCATTTCCCTTTACTCCGGAGTGCTAGAACCATAAACTAGGAGGGCTAACAGCATCCTCAGTTAGAAGCAGATAACTTAACTCTTTTCGTAGGCAGGACGATTCTATGATTCAATATCGGGATAATAATGATAATAATAATAAATGGCCTTCATTTAACCTGGCGGAGTTCAGCTGATGCTACTCTTCCACTGTTATAGTGTTCCTGAAGACCAGACTGCTATGATGTAGTGGATTGACTTCTCTAGTCTAGAAAAATTTTAGGTGGTCATCCAAAATAAACCATCTCATTTTGGATAATTTTATGGACAACAATACTTTCTATTTTGTGTTAATCAGCGACATTTATTTCGACTGTTGTACCTACCTAGTTGATTTTCTATATCAATAAGTAGTGTTTTTATTCACACGTTTGCTTTTTTCATCTCTTGGAACGCCGAAAGAAAATTCCTATAATGTTCGGAGAACATCGCGTGTTTCACTATATTTGAATCAATTATTCTTTGACATGTTCTCAATTAATTATCTACACCGCGACATGAAAATCACAATAATATTGTTGATCAACAAAATTCATATATTCGTTTTTTCTTTTGTGCAGTTGCGTGATTGCAGCTGTATTTAAAATTGTCCTCCTTTTTCAACTGTGGACCGCTAACATGCCTAGTGACGAGCTTAACCTCTCTGAGAGATACAGTAATATCGCCCTCTTTATGAAGCAAAGCAAGATCCTGAATGATCTAAGAATCCCCCTAACTTCCAGAGTAGTGGTCAGTTAACCGATTCATTCTTCTATTCCGGTTACCCAACGGTTTTCATAAATTAGCCAAAAAGTATAGGAGCATTTCAAGTCAATTCTAGTGTTCCTAAATGTCCTTGACACTGGCTGTTTTAGCGTTTTTGTTTATTGAGAGTGTGAACCCTCGACAAGCAGTAAGTGGGAAAAAAGGTACGATAAATTGATTAGAAAAACAAAAATGTCGAGATGGGGTGAAAATCGAGTAATTACAACTAATAAAGCATACTTTTATCTCAGATGGAACAATTTTGCATCTACAAGAGTGATAGAGGTAATAAAGTCTGAAACCATGATATGGCTGCACATGCAGTTCACCGCTTGACTCACTATAGATCGCCGTTCACATTGCTAGAGGGGTTGTTGCTCGGGTGGTTAGTTCGAATCCGACCATCGAAAGATCATTTGCAATAACAGTAAATGGTACACATATTAAGTATTCTTGTCCTGTCTACATCTGTTGGCACACCAGAAGTTTTTTAAAATCCATTATAAGTTGTAGAGATCCCGCACAAGTTCAGAGTTCAGACTTGGGATTTCAACACTGAAGGAAGCGATACACAAACAATCTATCTTTCAAATAGGTACATCAGAGTTCCACAAAGTGACTGTTTCACAAAATTATCAGTATTTTTACATTTGAAGAAAGCACAAACTTTTCCCAATTTTGTATATTTGACAAACCTTTTTTATTAATGTCATGTACATTCGTGTATAGTTTATGCAAATTGAGTTTAACAGATCATCAAACGAATGTTGGGCCGCGCTGTCGCACTCTCTGAACTTTCAAAGGGACCGACGGCTTTCGGTGATGTGCTCTTTCCAACTGACTTTGCATAAACTTTACTGTCAGTTGCCGCTTTTTCTATCAATTTATTTGTAGTTATGTATGACTGTCAGGGTTTGTTAAATATACAAAAACGTCAAAACAGCAGTGTCAAGAACGTTAAGGAACTCTAGTCAATTCCAACTGGAAAGCACTTCCCTTCTGTCTTTAGGTTGCTCGGGCAACCATTGCGATCTGGATAAGACCACGTGGGCGGAACAGATGCACATGACGACGGCGGCGGAACGGAAGGGCGGCAAGAACAACGCCAACTATATGGTGCCGCCGCACCAGGACAAGTACGACGCTGCCCATAACAAGTTCGACAACAAACACGCGAATCGTTCGAACCGAGGTGGTGGCGGATCGATGCGAGATGACGAGGAACAACGGAATATAGACAGTGAGTGTTTTTTCTTTACTTACTATCAACATCTGAATATCAATGTCCATCTATTCTTGTTACTAAGATAATTATTTCATTAGGAAACAAATACTTTTCTTTGGTTTACAATTTGTTCGCATTTTAACCTTTTTTTTTGTTGAATGATGTTTGATGAATTTACTTTTGCGTATGCAAATGCGTATCGAAACAGCTTCTATTAGGACACGCTGAATTTCTTTTTTCAAAGTCAGTAATGGTAATGTCAAACTGTCAGAAGTGTCAGACATACTAGCGTTACCAACTATACTTACTTTATATCTTACTAACATTTGATGTTTTTATTGATGACATTTTTTAAATAAGAGTACAAATGAATGCAAAATAGAAAATGATAGTATATTACACACGTTTTCGGAGCACTTCTCGCTTCGCTCGTCGTACAAAAACGCCTGTGACAAAGTAGTGTCTTATAAAACTTGTATAATAATATACTTTCGTTTATCGCAAAATAATCAAGAATGATTGCGTGAACGATACTATATCGAAATAATTCAGTGATTATTGTCACCATAAACCATTCTCGATTCACGTTCAAAGGTGGAGTCTGCCAGCGTGTAGAGAGTTTGGAACCGAAAGACTTTGATGTGATGTGGTTCAAGCTAGTCGATACCAAACTGACCAAATTTATCTACTGCCTTTACCTATCGCCCCTTTGAGTTTTTATCACTCAAACTGGACTTCATTCGGGAGAACCATCTAACAGCTGAAATCATAATCATGGGAGACTTCAATGTACACAACGCAGCCTGGCTCAGATTCTCTAACAAAACAGATGATGCAGGTCGTCAAACTGAGGCCTTCGCCATCACTCATGGTCTAGAACAACTAATCGAACTACCAACCCGCATTCCAGATGTCAAAAATCAGTCTGCCAATACACTAGTTCTTTTTCTCACCAGCAATCCTGATCCCCACTTGGAAACTCTGACCATACCCTCATCTCCACAACTTTCTCTTTCCATGTACGATCCAGCACCACAATTAATACCCGTCTCATGTGGCATTACAATTTGGCCGACTGGGAAGGTCTTCGTATGTTTTTTCAGCGTTTCCATGGAAGAGAGTTTGTTTCTCCCCAGCAGATCCAACACGATGTGCTGAGACAATTTCTGAAATCATCATGTTGGGGATGCAAACCCACATACCGAACACTGCAAGGAGAACATCTTCCGATAAGGCCTGGTTCAGTAGAAACTGCTCTAGAGCTGTCGCTTCCAAACAGGCAGCATTCCATCGATGGCAGAAATGCCAAAGTAAGATCAAAACTTGTTGAATGTCCTAACGGACCCCGTTCATTTTGGTCCTTCGCCTAAGCTGTAGGAAGAAACTTCACTTCCAGCTCGTTTCCTCTTCTAACCAAGGAAGACTGAACACTAGCCACAACTACCCAGGAGAATGCCAATATTTTTGCGCATTCATTTGCTGGAAATTCCACTCTGGATTCATCGGGAAAACAACCTCCAAACATAACGCCAATTGACAGTCATATGCCCGAGATCACCTTTCGCCAACGTACTATAAGGAAGATTCAATTGGGTCTCAACAGCAACAAAGCTTGTGGCTACGACGGAATCCCACCGATTGTTCTCAAGAAATGTGCTCTCGAACTAACACCTGTTCTCTGCAAGTTGTTCAACTACTCTTACAAATTGGGGATATTCCCGTCCAACTGGAAAATTGCAAGAGTACAACCAGTTCCTAAAATAGACAAAAGGCCCAACCTAGCAACTACAGACCGATCGCACTGCTATCTAGTATTTCAAAGATCATGGAACTCATGAAATACCTGGAGCATTCAGGTATTATCAACGATAGGCAATATGGCTTCCGTCATCAGAGATCAACGGGTGACCTGTTTTCTTACGTCTCACATATATGGCAGCAATCTATTGAGAAATATGGTGAAACCTCAGCCGTGGCACTTGATATCTCCAAGGCATTCGATCGAGCCTGGCACCATGTTCTCCTCGCCAAGCTTCCATCGTATGGCTTGCCTCCCAAGCTATGTTCACTGCTAGCTAGTTTTCTCTCGAACAGGTATCTCCATGTAGTGGTCGACGGTGTTTCATCTGACTCTCTTATCATAAATGCTGGTGTTCCGCAAGAATCAATTCTAGCACCAATAATATTTCTACTCCATATCAACGATTTGTTGGAAGCAACTTCATGTCCAGTACACAGCTTCGCGGATGATAGTACCCTCCTTACCGCCTTCTCTCCCAAGGCTCCAATACCAGCTAGCACCAATAATATTTCTACTCCATATCAACGATTTGTTGGAAGCAACTTCATGTCCAGTACACAGCTTCGCGGATGATAGTACCCTCCTTACCGCCTTCTCTCCCAAGGCTCCAATACCAGCTAGGCAAATCAGAAACGAACGAGGGAGAAATGTTGACAACATAAATATGGACTTGGCAACAATTCTCTAATGGGGATCCAATAACTTAGTAGATTTCAATGCAAACAAAACACAAGCATGCCTTCGATTGATTGATAGACATAAGTCATAATATTGATTTTTGAGGATATTTGTTCAAAAATATCTCCCTCTTCATCACATGTTCAGTTGAAATCAACACATGAAAGTTGCATACATTGAAAAAACGTTGCAAAAAATCTGTCATTACCGGCCAGTCTATAAGGAGGTACGCCTTTTATAATAATAATAACTCGTCTTTATTCATCATATGCAGGAGAATAAAAAAAATAAAAAATATAATCCATTAAAGATCCCATATCCTGTCTGCAAATGCTGAATAGGCGGAGTATCAGCAAAAAGCTGTTTTTCAACTCAAACTTCGTGATCAAAACAAAAAAGAATTCGTAGCATTTTCGATCAAGTGAAAACAAAAAAGACAAAAGAGGTTATCGTAGATTAACACATTAGTAACTAAAGATAATAACAACATTGACGACAATAATAATAATGACAACAATAATAATGATAATATCAATAACAACAATGACAATAATAATAGTGACAGCAGTAATAATAATTATTATAGTAATAATAAGGAGATTTAGAGACCAATTGAATACAAAGACAAGCAGAACAAATGAAACCCGAAAGTCCCGACGCAACCAGAAAATTAATTGAAAAAAAAATTGCCATAACAATAATAATAATGATAATAATTATAGAAATAAAAATAAAAATAACAATGTTAATAATGATAACAATGAATGAGAATCTATCAGGGGATAGACTAAATATTGATATAAATGGAAATCAAGTTGGGATAGCAAAATTGTACAATCAATTATGGACCTACCTGGACGAAATATAATTCTTCAATCTCTTCTTGAAGTTACTCAGAGTGTAAGATCTAAACTCTCTAGGAAGCTCATTATAACATTTGCTTGCATTGTACGAAAAACTACGTTTGAATGTTGAAGTGTTATGTCTTGGAATGACAAGGGTAGATTGGTTACGGCTTGATATTTGGTTAATGAATGAAAAGGTTTTCAGTCGTTTCGATAGATAATCTGGTTTTCCAGTTTTCAAGACTTTGTGCACTTGCATCAGGAGATGTGAATGTCTCAATTGTTCTAGTCGTAACCAACCAGAGGATTTCATCTTAGCAGAGATGTGATCATATTTACGCACCCCATAAGAAAACCGCAAACATGAATTTTGTATCCGTTGTAATCGATGAGAATCAGTTATAATGCTGGACCATATATACTATCGCAATATGATAATTTTGAGAATATCAAAGACTCGCAAAGTTTGAGTTTCAGCTTAGAAGAAAGAATATCTCTATTAGGATATAGTTGCCTCAATATATTGTATGAAGATTGGCATAAAAAACTAGTATGTTTTGTGAATCTCAAATCGGAGTCCAACCAAAGTCCTAGATTCTTTTCATCTTCTTTCTGTCTATCCAGGCTACCACTGGGACTGCTCCGACTGGGCCCGGCCCTGCCAAACCCTGCCCAACATCACCGAGGTGCCGGGCAGCGAGATCCTGGACTCGTCGAGCTTCCACAGCAACGAGAGCAACGAGTCGCGCCATCCGGGGGCAGCTGCGGGGGCAGTATTGGGGGCGGGGGCGCTCGCCTCCTTCGATGTCTACCGCAACATCGGGACGGTGGACGAGGACGTCGACGAGGAGTATTTGAGCGAGGCGGAGTACGAGGGGAAGCGGGAATTGAACGTGTTGGATAGCGGGAACGACGACTACACGTTCATGCCGGGTATGTAAAGATCTGTATTTTTTTCAACAAATGATTGTACTGAGTGTTTGTATTTCGTGCAAAAATTTTTATTTTAAATTTTCGTAGCAGAGCGCTTTCGACAATACAGTCATCATCAGTAAGTATTCGTTAGGTTGACAAGAAAAATATCCTTGGTTCTTCTTAGTGATATGAACATTATGGCTAATTACGGTACAAACACATTGAAATTTGTTTTCCAAGCTGGGATAATAATTTGAGGATTACATTTCTTAAACAGCTGTAATGACTGCTGTATGCTGTTAGTATGAATGTATGTAAGTATACTAAAGGGCATGATGAAGTTTTTAAGAATGTAGGTTTCGAAGTTTATATCAGTCGGAATTGGATAATTTATTAGGTGAGAAAACACTTGAGTACTCAGAAATTCATAAAGCTGTGAAAATTATAGAAGAACACATAACAAAGTATTGTAAAGTGAATGAATCATGCATAAAGGAATATACAGTATGTATAATATTTCTTTGCGCGTACGTCACAACTTCAAAAAACGAAACGAATCAATTCAAGGTCATATGTTCCAGTGAAGCAGTGCCGTGCTGTTTCAGAAATTGGGTTAAAATAAATAATTATATTCAGAAAATTTTTATTCACTACTCCTGGTAATTTTGACTCAGAAACATTCAATAAAACATAGGATTGGTATATATTTCGAATTTCAACTCTTCAATTCGTCAATTTATTGAAAGCAAAAATATGTATTAGAACTTTGGCATGTATATACGTATGGGTTGGTATATGACCCGATACACACCTATTTTATGATTTTGTGAAGTATTCTGTGATCGTGACAAAGCCGTACACTGTAGAGTCGTCTTAGGTATTTGGTATATTACTATGCAACATTTTCCACAAAACCACCACTATGGCCAGCATGAAGTACAATAAATCGTTTCCCATCATAACCTTCTGGTTTTCGAACGCTTTTTGTACTTTTATCTTGCCATGATCTCATCTTATTCCCTTTCGCAAATATCCAAGTTTCATCTAAGAAGACGATTTGTCTAGGGTAACTTTGCCAATTGTTATGACAGCTTTTAAAATGGTAGATTTTTTTCAAAAACTTCAACACTATTATCTGAATATTGAATGTTCTCGGTAATATGTTCATACGAACTAAGGAAAACACTCTGTATACCGGTGATCACCGTTTTATTTAAGAAATTGATGTTATCAATGAATAAAAATTATTTCAAAATTCAAACAACTATATTTTTTCTAGCTGACAATTATTTGCGTCACCCGAACTCGTATCTGCCCGCGCACGGCTACAACATCACCACCAATGACATCGACCAAGGCAACTTGCAAAGTCCCGGCACCGATTCCGATGAAATAGTGCCCTACGGTTTCCCTGTCAAACGGAACAGGAGAAAACATGATGACGATGACGTCTCCTCCATCATTACGACTTTAGGTGAGTTGGAATCATAAATACATTTCACGGCTTCATTTTGAAGAGATTTCAGAGGTTTGAAAATATGAATTGCACTTTCGACATGTCATTTTTTGTCATATGTAATAGTTAATTGTTTTACTAGGCCGCAAAGTAGTAGATTGACTGCCGCAGCTGATATTTCATATCACAGGAATTCTGCCAAGGCAGTCAATCTACTTTACTGCCATGTGAAACATATAATTTCTTCTCCAAATGTTAGAAGAAGTTTTTTTATTGAAAATGCCATCATTTTGTTTTCACTTAATGTCAATGTCAATTTTGATCACCAATTTCATTTACTTGGAACGTTGCATAGCAACAAGTTTATTCTGCCTAGGCAGAGAAAGTACACCTTTGCTGCCACTCTCTATGCCATTTGGAGACAAAATACATTATTATTGATACAAGGTTATTTCCACAACACTCATGAAGTACCACGTTACTTTTCATTTCTGTGGTAAGGTTAGGTAATATTTTCATACTAGACTATTTTTTAATACTGTTCACTGACTTTCTAGAGAACTTCATACTAACGACAGATAAATTAGGTAACTTTCGAATATAATACATGATATTCCTCGATTTCAAGACGTTGGAACATTGTTGCCAAGTTTTTTCAGCATGGCCCGGGAATTTGATGCAGTGAGGCTCTTTCCTCTCTGGGTTTTTCAGGAATCCATGGCTACGATCAGCGACAGGTCTGACCACAGTAGTCCGACCACAACAAGCATAAAAGTTCTGAAGAAGCATCGGTCCATGCGTGGACAAAAGTCACTGTTAATGCATTTTAATTTCCGTGGTTGTGCGTTGTTTCATTAGTTGCGTTTAAAGTGGATCTAGAATTTTACTCCACTCCTATGAATTACAGTATAGGACAGATACTTCACCTCCATCCATTTTTGTTGCAGTAAGTCGATAGAAAGATAATGGAACCGAGCACTAGAGCTCAGTCTTGGTATAAACAAAAACTCTCAGTGCTCACAATACTGTCGATTATCCTGTCAGAAATCAGCGAGATCCAATGGCTTAGTATCTTAGGAACACCACGAATATTCGGAATAGATTGAAATGAAGAAATATTTCAAAATGAACTGAATATACACTACACTGTTTTACCACTAACCAAACCGATTTTTTAACGCCTCGACACGTGTTTCGCTAACTATGTTAGCATCTTCAGGAGAAGATTAAAACTAAAACTGAACTGAATATAATACGAAACAGAAATGGAAAACTCATCACCGGTCGCTGGTTTTGTCTGGTTTTCTCTGCTATGCAATTTTTCTGTTGGGCTCAAATAGTTTAGTTATCACACTTTTTTTTATCTACAGCATAGTTGATATTGGATCTCGAATGTGATGAATATGAAGATGACTATCGGAAAATACCCTTTCATACAGTGCTTTCCTCTGATCTCCCCCCCCCCCTTAAATTTTTTGTACGGGTCGACTGATAGAATTGGAACGGGGTAAAATGGATGCATGAATACTATATTCTGGAGTGAAATTGACAAATGAAAATTTCAAGATGGCGATTGGGCGCCATGTAGGAAAAAAATTAAATGAAAAGGGTGGGTCAAGTGACAAATCTTTTTGATGCTCCTGACGAATACTTCATAACCCTAGAATATAAAGTATTTTCACCTACTACAAAATGGCGGAACATTTAATAGTTGCCTGAATACAAACATATCCATATGGATTTTGTATTCCAACAACTGTTTTCTATATTTGACACCACGGTTGCCAAGTGAACTATTTCCGTGAAAAACTGATTATGTAGAGGCCAATAAAAAAATTATTGTGATTCTTATTTGGACAAATAAAGAAATAAAATGGCGAGATATTCGCACTCCAAGTGCACAGATGTTCCATTCTGCAACTTATATAATTATATATATGACTATTACTACCGAAGTATACATTCTTTACACATACATTTTGTATTTTGATACGAATCCATTAAATTTCATGTGTTGAAGAATGGTATACCAAACTTCGAATAGTGTCGTATACCAATAAATATGTCTCTACAAAGTAGCGAATGTTTTTGGAACTCATTTTAATACCTATTTCTAAGACCTCTGTATAAGTTAACAAAGCGAATCATTCCATCCTATATAAATACGAAATTTTAAAATATTTGTGTTGACTCATAACAAAATGGCGAATATTTTCGGAACTTGTTGCATTAATATCCATCTAGATCCTTGTATGAATAGGTAAAGAAAGCGAATTTCAAAATTTCATGATTACATATAAATACCAGCCACGTGATGAATGCCCCCATATACAGAGTGCTTCGAAATTCGACCGAAAACGCTTGACAGGTGAAAGCCCTCTTGATTTTATAATTACTGAGATAGGGACATACAGTCTTTAACCGTTCAGTACTCGAAATACAGGGTGTAGAAGTTGAGAGATAAAAATAGTTTTTTCGCAATAACTAGAAGAATTGAATATTTTCGTACAAAACCAGTATATGGTTTCATCTTTGAATGGGTCATTTTTTGACCAGAATGCCATTCCGAGCATTTCATTCAGTGTGCGCACCACTGATTGAAATGCAGGGGGTTGTGGTAACTTTTTTTCCCATATTTTCTAAACCATTGATGAAATTTCGATTATTTTTAATTTCTCGAATTCGAGTTAAAATCAACAGTTTTCCGAGATATTCGACCCAAAATAGAAGATTGCATAGTAATTTTTCATCATTTCCAGTAGTAGAAAATTACAAAATCACTCTTCTGGAGGTAAGTAAATAAGAGACTCTTCAGATATCATTCTGTAGCTGTACAGAAATAGTTATTTTATGAAGAAGAAAAAAACAAACATTTTTATAATTTTCTACAACTGGAAATGAAGAAAAATTACTAAGCAAACTTCTATTTTGGGCCAAATATCTCGAAAACTGTTTATTTGCATTTTTTGAACAGAATCGAACAATGAATTCGAGAAATTGAAAATAATCGAAATATCATCAGTGACGTTGAAAATATCGGAGGAAAAGCTACCACAATTCCCTCTAGCGCACCACTGAATTAAATGTTCGGAATAAATTTCTGGAAAAAAATTACCCATTTGAAGATGAAACCATAAACCGAATTGGAATGCAAAATATTCAATAATTCTTGAGTTATTGCGCAAAACATATTTTTATTTCTGAACTTCCACACCCTGTACCCCGAGCACTAAACACTTGAAGGGCTATCACCTGTTAAGCGTTGTCGGTCGAATTTCTAAACACCCTCTTAATTATACAAAAACACTTACCATCTTGAAAAAATACAACTTTCACACACTCAAATGAAAATACAATGACTAAGCCGAATCCAATCTTCCACTCTTAATACTTCGAGTTCTTTTTTATTATTACTCGAATCGACCGACCGGGATGAAGTCTAGAACGAGACTGCTGAATGGTTTGATTTATCATTCAAATGACTAATCAGTTACGTCATTCTTTCAACCGATTAATTCCCGAACAAATATGACTAATTCCGAAATTGATAACGGAGTGGAGTGAAAAGAAAAGTAAGGATATTTTCTTTCATTCTCTTATCTATACAAGGTGTTTTCAAAATCAGTTCATATATTCAGCAAATCGATAAAATATAGGCTAACGGGTATTCCCATGATATCAGATTTTCACTAATTCTCCTCCTTCTTCATCTTGAAAATGCAATAGAAATCGGAGAAAAAATAACAAATACACCACTTCAAAGCAATTTGAATGATTGAACCCCGCGTGAATGTGCCTTCCGCACGGAAATTTGTACAGAGGTGACGTCACAATTGCTACAGTGTAGAACTTTGGGTGGAAAAAGAGTCTCACCCTGGATTTTATTAGATCCCTATATTTTTTCTATGGGTGTCATTTAATAGTATTCGTCGAAATCATTTATGGTTTGAAATATTCGTATTTATTTCAATGTCACCAGTCACCCTCTATATTAGGCTGAGTTAGGTTATATTTTTTAGAGAAAGTAGTCTCCTTTTTTACGCAGAAAGAATATTTTCGTTCTGTATATACAGGGTGATTAATTAAGAATGGGAAATCTCTGAACTACAGATAGTTAACAGCAAAATATTGAGATTTAATCCAACATGCCTTACAGAAATTTTGTTGAGACCAGCTTTGGTCAAACATTCACTTTGAAATTCTGTTTGTTGTTGGCGTTGTTCGTGATTGTCATCATTGATCACTGTCTGTTTTTCCACTGTCAGTTCGCTAACTTTATAATTTGAAATTATCGAAATGTTATGAGTGAAACATAAATCTCTTCAAGAGCGACTAATGCAACAACCGTTAGGCTAGACATTTCGAAAAAGAGTACAATTTTTATGTAAAATTGAACGGACTTTCAGATTTTTCACTTATTTTGATCATCATTCAATGGACAAAAGTAACAGATTGCCACCAGCGCCCTCTATGAGCAATCACAAAATAAGTTTCAAATTCGTATTTCTCATGTCAGAAATCCTGAAACTACAAAATGTCATGCTCATGCTGTTAAAACTTACAAAGTAATTTAGATTTAAAAATAAAATCTCCGCTTAGAACACTCTGTATCTCCTAAACCAGCAAAATTCTCATTAGACATGTTAGGCTAAATCTTAATATTCCAGTGTTCACTATCTATAGTTCAGAGACTTCCCATTCTTAATTATTCACCCTGTATATTCGATATTTACAGAACCGGCACGGCAACGAAACGAAACTAAGCGAGAGGTCGTTATACAGGGTGTCCGGAAAGGTCATGTCTTAAATTATAGGGCTAATAGAGTGAGCCAAAATAATGTTAGTACTTACTTCATACATATGCATACTCATCATTACTAAACTCATCCATGTAATTAGCAAAGTATTGAATACTGTCAAAATAATTTGATGTCAATTATGACAATGACTGCAACTACCATGTTGTTATTGAATAAATAGAGAGTTCTTATTACCTTTGAAACGGTTTGTATTTTTTTTTAAATGCGATTTTCCCTAGAACCGTTCAAGATATCGATTTAAATAAAGTATGCTATTCTTGTAGAAAAAAGATGAAGGCATTAAACAGTGGAAGCAAAATATCAAATTGGTCACTTCTGTCAAAAATGCCTCCATTAATCGGAAAAAATCGCCTCATCCTGTATAAAACATAATCACTGAACAGCCGTTTACATATCGTAAGGAATATTAGTATGAGTTAATTCAGTTGCATCTTCTAATTACTTCTGTAAGTTCAGAACAGCATTTTTCGGAAAATGTTTATCAAAAAATGATAAACTAAACTACTGTTGGAACCCCTCCTAGGGGATTGAACCAAGAGGACTAAATATGCATTCAAAGTATCCCTCTTGGAAATTAAATTGACTTGTCTCCTCGATTTGTCATATTATTTACTGACAGGAAGATATTAAGGGTGGAAGTTTTCTAATTGACACGGCATTTTCCGGAAACTGCTCAACGAGAAATTATAAACTAGGGTACCGTTGGAAAGAGAATTATACACCCTTCAAAAATTTGACCCGCCTTCCCATTTGTGATTCTAAGAGTGATATCTACCTCTCCTAGTGGGTTGAACCATGAGGGCTAAAACTAATAATTTCAAGTGTCCTTCTTTAAAATAAATTGACCTGTCCATTAGATTTTTCATATTATTAATTGAAAGAAAGATAGATATTGAGGGTGGGAAGTTTTCAGAACGTCACCTTGTATACCGTGAATTATTTTGAAATCAGCCACATCGAGAATGCTGTGACTCGGTACATTGTCGATCTAAATAGAAACCTTTCGCCTACTAAGTACCTAACTAGGTTGTCATTTAGAACGGCAATGCTCGGTACATACGAATAGTAGGCCTGTTCTACTACACTTTTTTCAAAATAGCGTTCCTTCCCTTCAGTGTGTCGCTTTTACCACTACACTTCAATCATAGGCCCCTCAAAGGCTGTGATTTGATGCAAATAGGCAGGCATGTTCATAAAGTTTTGGTAAATCATTCAAAACTGGTGCTAAGAATACTGAATAACTTTTTCACAGGAAATGTAGGCACATCGCACATCACATCGAAATCAGATGATAGTCAGAATACCAGAATAGTCGGCATGTTACTTTTTATTTTAGATGAGGGCCCAGTAACATCATCATGGACAGCAAATACCACAATGTTATTGTTTTGTTATGCTTCCACCGAGAATATTTACCCAGAGTGGGAAAAATAATGTTAACTAAAAACAAGAAGGCTATGTGGACAGTAATTACTTCAAAGATCTCGAAAAAGGGAATTTCTGTATGCTATTTTCACGTTTTGTTTTCACAGGGCCATGATTGTAAACAACACTTTCCTGTTCCTGTAAAATCAAATTAGCTGGTTTTTAGTGGTGGTGTAAATTACAGTACACTGAAAGCGAACTGCGAAGGAACAAAACTATCCCTATTTTTAATTTATGTTCACAGAAGAAAGGCATTCTCTCCTCGAAGGCTACGTGAGCAACAGCGACGTATCCACCAACCTATGCGAAATCGAGGATTCCGAATGCGAAACCGAAAGCAAACCGTTGAACAGTAATTCGAGGTCGTCGCATCAGACGGCCGTCTGATCATGTTCACCATCCGCACGGATAATATTTAGCAAACTCCTAAACGTAACCTTGCAAATTGTGTTATAATTTCACTGAGTCGGGTCGGACGGTGGAAAATCACCTAGAATATACAGTGCGCAAAAATTCATCAATATTTCTGAAAGAAGAAACGCTGAAACACGTGAACAGTTTTCAAATCGTGTCTCCTTATATTTTGTCCCCTACTTACAGTTTCAACTATACTAGGTGGAAAAAAACTTAGATAATGAAAGTTGTAGGGTTTCATCTGTACTATCTTTTGGCACTCCTTAAATCAACAAATGCGAATGGCAAAGTAGAAAAAGAGGCCAAATCAGTTTTTTTCATTTCAAATTTCATGAAAGATCTTTTTCTTCTGTTCACAAATATACAGTGTCATTCATAAAGTCGGTATCATATGGAAAAACGTTTAATGATCATTTATTTCGAAATTCGATTTGGCAGTTGAGTCTTGCTTAAAAAAATATGGAAAATTGACTGACTACTCGGTCGAGGTCACATGACTTTCGCTACATGTCAAAGGTTGTATTTTTTAAAATCAATCGCTGATAATAGGCATTTTTGTTGAATTTCATAAAAGTTAACTGAGAAAAGCTGTTTCTATTCCAATTATACATATGTGGCTCAAATTTGAACGTTCTCTAACAACTTTTGGTTTATGATATTTTTTAATTCCTGTGAAATGTGTAATATTGGAAAAACAAACGCCGAAAAAACTATTTCATTATAGTAGCTTCATCATGCTACCAACTTTCAATCACTTATCATCGACAAAAATATGACTTTCTGCAGGAAATAATAGTCCCCGCTTCAAATTTCTGTTTCATAACCGAAATTCATTTAAATTGATTTTTTTCAGTACTAAAATGATGTCAAAGTCATCTACCAAAACATTATCAAACTACTTCAGGTATATAACCAAAGTTTAGGACAGTTTTGTCGAAGTCACAATTGGAAGAAATCACAAAATATCAAGATCTGAAAGTTCCAGTAGATTTGGAATAGAAACAACTTTTCTCAGTAAACTTTATTGAAATTCGAAGAAATAAGCCTATTTTCAGCGGTTAATTTAAAAAAACCTTTTGACATGTAGCGAAAGTCACGTGACTCGGACCGAGTTGGCCATTTTTCATCTTTTTGGAAGCAAAACTTAACGCCCAAGTAGAATTTCGAAATTAATTATTATTCAAAGTTCTTTCCAGATGATGCCAACTTTAAGAATGACACTGTATATAGTTTGCTAATGAGGTCAAGGTTGGTAGAACTGATAAATATACTTCTTCTCGTGTCATTTGGCCTTTTGCTATATCTTCTTCTCCGTCAATGTAAGAATTGGTCGTAATTGAGAGTAAAAAACGTTAGACGGCTCACGTCTTTCGATGACTTGAAGTTTTCTATTTGTTCCAATATTCTACATCATTTTTTTCGTATATTTTCGATAAAACAGGCAATAGCTTTTAGGGCTATCCGGCAAAACTCTGGGACTTTCAACTTTGACATCATGTTTTAGCACTCACTCTGTCGGCACTACTAAAATTTTTGCAATATTTTCATAATCTATTATTCTTCCTCTGGGGAATAGCCAATTTTTATCGAAAAACTGACAAGAGATGTCAAAAAACGCATGTTTTGTTACCATGGCATTTCTGTTTTATCTGTTGAAAGTATACAGGGTGTTCCATTAAAAAAACTTTTGCTCTATTCTGCGATGCGCATTTTGTTTATTCAAGGAGTGCCAAAAGAGTAGACACCCTTCACATTGCATTGATGAGCACTCCTAAAGAAAATGTGATCAGAATATTGATTAATTATTAGAGACATAATGCACGTCTATGTTTTATTTGAATGTATAACCTCACTATCCACTGAATGTTTGAATTCTTCACGAAAATAATTGTGTTCCAGCATTTTTGTTTTCATAAATGTTCACCTGAATTTTTTATGAATATATGCGCTACTTTATAGATCACCCTGTAAGTTCGTATCGAATATCATGAAATTGGTACTAGTTGTGGTGAATTTGTAGTTTTCATTGAGTTCAAGTTCACCATGTTCATCCTGACTCTGTAATCTTTTTTGGCAGCAACTCAGTATTATATTTTGTCCGACTGATTTGTTTGATACTATCTTTTTTCTTAATCTCAATGTGTTGCTAAATTTTTGTTTCATTTTTTAATGTTAGGACGTATTAATATTGTATTGATTTTATACATTTTTGTCGTATGTGTTTTAGCTATTTACTTCATTGCCATTAGAGCATTATCATTGTGTGATTTTTGGGAACAAATTCCTACATTTAATAATAGGGTAGATATTCATCGTTTTAATTTATCTGAAAAAGTTTGTTTGTTTCTTCGGATGTCCGTTGATTAGTTATGTTACTATCTGTATAGAGGCAGTAAAATAGCGCCTTACTGCCTAATACATAATCTTTAGGACAGTTTGTATCAGCGGATGTCAATGGGTGTTGAATGGTAATTATTATCAGTAGAATTTGTATTTATTAAGGAAAAAACCTTTCCTTGAGGCAAACGGATAAGTAAACATTATAAAACGAGTTCAATTATGATAGGTAGCTAGATCATTCCAATTTTATACTCTCAATAGAGATAGGAAAAACAAATATACACTTTTTATAACAAAACAGTGAAAACGGAAAAAACTATATTTCTTTAAAAACATGCATACTGTTTAGTTATCGTAAAACGAGACTACTCGACAAAACTTTTTGGGATATTCATAATGTTAGTCTCAAGAGATTGTGAAGTGTTTCCGATGGAATTCCTCGCCATGGGAAGTTCTCACACCAATAAAAAATTTCAGATTACACCACTTATGGAAAAAAATTATGCGTTCTTTCAAATAGAGCATTGAGAGATAACAAAATATCTTCCTCATCTGTCCTTGTCTTCAATGTTCCAACGTAAAATAAGGAATTTCTCATGTTGGTAACATTAAAAATGGGAAAAAATGGAGAAAAAGTTCATATAAACCTCAATATAAAAAAAGTTAGAATGGGCTTCTTCTCCATTTCTTCTCATTTCCTGTGTAGTCAACTTGAAATTTCCATTATTTTTTGTTGGAACACTCAAGACAAAGACAGATGAGGAAGACATTTTTTCTCTCTCCCAATGCTGGCTGTACTCAATTCAAATGGCCTCATCATGGGGATACTTCGACTTATGTCTTCTAAATATAAGATTAAGTTGTTGCGTTCATTTCCATCTGTTGGAAATATGCATGCTTTCACATACCTCTAATCACAGATTCGTGATTCGGTTTCCTCAACTCAGAATATTCACGACCCTGTATGATGAACATCAATTCATCGTACAACTGACAAATAGCCCCTGTATTTGTAGGTAGCCTCCTTTTATGGTACTAAACACATCAGATATATTCATAACCTCGATAAAATAAGTTACCAGTATTCCAATTAGGTTGTTGCATTTTCACTAACAGAAAAGCTCTCCAAGATATCAAGGAATTTTTATACAGGGCAATTCTAATGTAGCCACCAGCTAATTCATTTTTTCATCTCTAAGGGGAAACTTAATACTTTGTATTCTTCTCTCTTTCTCATTCTTTATATTTTGCCATGTCATTTTTTTTCATTTGACATTTTTTACTTAGAATTTATGAGATGTTTATCAACGGAATATTTCCGTGTATGGTTGTGAACATAAAACAATTATTATACTGTGTGATCAATTTCAAAATATACTCTAGATCTATAGCTAAATGACTTGGAATTTCTCTAAAAAAAATCTCTCACTATATTTTATCTGACATTTTTATAATAGTGACTTTCTGATAATATTGTTTTAACTTCTTTGCTAATGAATATTTCTCAATGAAATTTTTATATTATCCTAAATCTTAATCCACTGGTTTGTCACACAGTACTTCTATTGCTTATTATAATGATTCATTCTTCAAAACGAACTCTGCTTTGAAATCTATTGTTTCAATAATTAGTTTTGAATGACATAAATGATAAATAGGTATATGGAATATTCTACTAGCCATGAAAGATATAACTTTGATAATGCTCTGTAATTTTTAACTGATTTGATAGATAGATAAATTATTGTACTGATCGGAGCAGGATCCAGAACTGCAGCTATATAAAAACGGTGAATGATGTTTTTCTGAGATATGATTTTTGCTTGAGCCTCGTTAGCCTCCTTGAGTTGACGCTGACCTTTCTCTCTCTCTCTATTGCTCAAAATCTATTCGACTGACTTTCCATTCCATGTGATAGATCCTGCTCCACTTTCCATATCAAATATTTTAATCTAAGCACAACATTTTATAACAAAACATTAATAAAATACTCGTTATATTTTTAATGCCGTCTTTCATTTCATGAATTCCTAAATATATCACGTAGATTGTAGATTATCAAAATGTCATTATCATAGACTGGAATGACTCACACCAATGTTGAATGTTTGCAGTTGAAATGGTAAATCCCTATCCCTACTAATATTTTGCCGAACTTTCACGCCAAATCCACTCAACCGATTATCATGAATTTTGTATATAGAATTTTGGTTGTATTAGAAAGCACACAGGACACATTAAAAAAATATATATTCACGACGGGTTAAAAGAATAATTTTGGCATACATGATTGTTGGACACAAAATATCCAACAATCAGGCATGAAACTCTATACGTCGGTACCTTAAATATTAATTATTAGAATACGTCATTTAGAACGGCTAAGTCTCGGATAATTGAGATGATGAAATTAGAATAATAAATATCTAAAACCAAACATCAGATGGACACCACAACAGCGTAAATTTATTAACCCTCAGATTTTTTGCTATTATCAGTGACTTGACAATGATGGAAATAACTAGATGGTGTACTTACTGATACGTTTTTGTTTCAGAAATTCTCGATCTCCGACCTCTCGATCTTTTAATAGATGGCGACATTTAACAATTATGACATCTGTCAATTATTTTGAAATTGCCGCAGATTTTTTCGAATTCCTTGTTATATAAACCCACTTTGACATATGTTCCCCGAACATAAAATGCCATTTGCCATTTTATTTTCAGTCGCCACACTTATCACAGCAGCAATAGCAGCATATCACCATCTAGCGCAAAAAAGTAGATGTAACGTCTCCCTCAATGTGACGTAGAGAAAGCATAGCAAACTGTCGAGTGATTTCTCTTGAGTTTTCAATACGTAAAAATGGCCGAGTACGCGCACCATCTACTAGTAGATTTATCCAACTCATAAACCCTAGTGCACAGTGTACAGCATCTCATAATGCATAACCATGAAGTTGCCATTTTTTTACTTTTATGCATTGAAGTTTGAAGTAACACATATTGTGCTTGTGTATTTCGCTAAATTCGCCTTAAATCAGTGTATATTTGGAGCAGTGATTGCGCTGAATGAAGAAAGTTATCTGCCATCGAGAGAACTCATTTCATCTGGGAATGATGATTTGGAACCTGTTCTACCTACTTGAAGAAATTATAAGCTTGTGATGCTTTTTATTTCTAGCTTTTTATTGATATTTCAAATTGTATATTTTTCAGATTGTAGTCCGGAAAGTAAAAACCTCACGATAACAATATTTTCCACTTTCAAAAGTGTCGTCTTTCATCAATCCAATTCAATTTTTTTACAACTGTCAACAGTAATTCCACGTCGGCATTCCTTGTAGTGGGACGGAATGAAAAGTAGCAACTGAAATCGGAAAAGTTCGAAATGAAACGACACATTGAAGTGATTTCGATGGCGGAATCGGATAAATAAAACGCAACTTCTAATTCCATCACTATTTTATAGATATTTTCATGGACGATGCTCTTCTGAAATATCAACAATTGTACCTCCCTTGGCAGTCCTCGAGAGAGTTGAGGCTTCGCACCCCTTCGTGGTCACTTTGGAGACCTGCAGAACATCTCTTTCCAAAGACTCGTTCATCAACGAACAGCGAGGCTCTGGAACACATTGCCAAGGGAGGTGTTCCCCGAGGCATATAACCTCCAGAAATTTAATTCCTACCTTATTTCCCTTGGTTCTCACGATGTTCTCTGAACATTACAGGATATCCCTTTTCGTGGGAACCAGAACATAAAAAAAAACGACAGGCCCAGTTAGCATATGCCTTCGTCGTCAACCTTGAAAAATGTCGAACACTATCAAAACTTGTTCGTCCATAGAACGGTGAAGCTTTGGAATTCTTTGCCAATGGAAGTATTTTCAAGAACTTACCAAAAGTTCAAATTGAATTCCAACACTTACCTCCTCTCCCTATCCTCAATATAGGTGCGCACGATTTTCCACGATCATTTTAGGAATTTCCTTTCGTGTGCTCCAAGAGATACTTCAAAATCGGAATTTTTGGTGACCAAAGTGGATTATTCGTTTACCCAAAACGAAAGCGCGCTTAACCATATCCACTTCTGATTTACTGATATTAATCTTATGAATTAATAAATAAAATACCTCTTAATGCCACACTTCTACTCCCCTGATAGGAACATTTAGATTATGTCTTCAAAATCAGAATTTTTGTTGACCGAGTAAAGAAATCGGTTTCTCAGAACGAAAAATCCTTAAAATATAAGAACAACTAGCAAATAAAAACCAGAGTTCAGATGTTATAAATAAATTTATTACTATGACGGTTAGCCTATATAGATTACTAGGGTACTTAGTCTAAAAGCTAGCTGCTGTCAAAATCCAAAGTAAAGCTCTAACATATCACTAGGTATGAGTATGTTACATAATAATAAAAATATGAATTCAAATAACTAGTACAACTTATCAAATACAATGAATAAATATGAGGTGATTAAATCTCATCAATGCATTAACTTCGAGAATTCATGAATTTTTCTCTTTTGTCTCCAGGAGAAAAAATGCTAGAACAATTTCAGAATCTTAACAATAATTTTGAGGGGAATAAAATGTTTCACTAAAATAGCCAGACCATATGTTTTGATATCCAAGAATAACACGATTCGTCATGATATCGTGGAAGCAGCACGGGAATTTGGACAAATTTATGTAGGCTCAATTTAGAAGGAATATTTATAACAAAGAAAAAATGGTCCTTCCATCTGTCATTTTCTGCAGGGTTCTAACGTAATTTGGTAGGTTACACCAAATATGAAAAGAAATGGTGAAAACCAGCTTTTCTGTATTGAGGTTAAAACGGTCATCTACATTCCTCTCATGTTTATGTCAAAAATGAAATTAACGTTAGAACTCTGAAGACAAGGACAAATCTATGGGACAAATAGAGTGACGCCAATAATAGTGGTACACTTTTTGATTGGTCATACCCTCCAAATATGGAGGTGCATCCACCTGTCTTATTTTCTCCATTCAGTACTATGCATTATTCAATTTCACTTAGTCAATGCTTTGTCTTTGTTTTCTGCTCTTTGGACACCAAAACATTCAACAATCAGATATATGAAACTCTATACATCAGTACCACTATTGGAATCCGTCTTTTCGGACTCCTAAGTCTCAGATTATTTAGAAGATAGAATGAAAATATCAAATATCTAAGCCTAACGTCAGGTTGACACTTCGAAGGCGCGAATTCATTACTATACATTGGAGATAACCTTCAGTTTTTAGCTATTCAGTGACTTGACCACGAATGACATTTCGGAAACGGCGGCAATTTGGAGGTCTATTGTCGTCGCTCTATTATAAACTCACCTAAGGAAGACATATTTTTTTCTCTCTCAAAACTAGCAGAAATTCTCTATGAATTTAATGTATTCGATTTCTTTTTCAGATCCATTTTGGTATACATAGTCTTCAATTTTTTTTTCGAGAATGAAATAATAACTAAATATTTTTTGTAGAAAGAACGATTTTATGAAGAAAAAAAATGAATCGTCAAAATCAATACATCAGAGTCGAGTCACCCCGTGGTGCTTTTAGTGTTTTTTCTTTTTGTCTCCTGGTTAATGCTGGATGGGTATGAGTTTTTCTCCGGCCGTGATAGCCGGCAAAGGCGCCTCGACGGTGAGGACGCCATCTTTGCTCAGCGAGCTCTTGATGTCTTCGGGGTTGGTGCCCTTCGGCAACAGGAACTCCCTGTTGTATTCCCTGTAGACCGACTTGGATTCCGATTTTTCTTCGTGTTTGGCATGTACCTATAAAATTCGAAAATTATCGTAGGTGATACCGCGAGTCCTTCAAATTTTATCGATATTTTTTTTTATTTTCTACGATAACTTCTTTATTTGGCGATAAACAAACAAACCGATTGATAAAATCCGTAGAGTCCGTAGAACGAGTGATTTTATCTTATTCGGTTTGTTTGAATGATTTTGCCTCAAATGAAATAGTTTGAGTATTGAAAATAAAAAAATTAACGGATAACATTCGAGGGACGAGTTGTATTTAGGAAAGTTAATCTTTTCACCAATTTGATGAAAGACACTAGCAAATTTCATCAGTCAAATTAATACTACGTCCTTATTCTATTATGATTGATCAAATGGTTCTAAAGGTGATGTGTGTGGCATACTTTTCCTGGGAGGAAGATATTGAGGGTGGGTTCTCAAAATGTGACCCTGTATATATAGCGTATATTATAATCTTCGAAACAAATGATGAAACAGTATGTGTTATTAAATTGAAAGACGATTAAAAACGTTACGTTTTGTTTCCTCGGAGAATTGATAATTGACTTTATTATCACTCACACATATTATAAGATATAGGTCGAAAGAAACAAGATGGCGGACACTGGTAAAGGCCAGAGTAATTTTGACAGTTCAATGTAAACAAGGTTTTATCAAGGGTTTATCATGCAATTTTATCAGTATAATACCGAATTATTGGCTAGAATTGCGCGTTACGCTATTTGATTAGGTTAGGTTAGGTGACGAAAACGTTATATTTTGACATGTGAAAACAATAATCAAGAAATTTTACTGTTACGCTACATCGACCGTATATTTGATAGTCGAATTGAGAATGAGAAGTAATACACGATGGAATTTTGAACTGAAATAAATTCCTGCCTATACCGGGTGACACAGGGTATCGGGCCACCCCTGTAACTTCTGCTTTCGTCATCGGATTTTTCTGAAATTCGGTACAGTTATACACACACTGGCACAATTAGGGGAACGGGTAAAATTTACACTAAGTTTGACATCAATTTTCTCTCGAACCGATCACTCAATTCAAATTTGTTTTTCACGAATTGTAGCTTCATTCTTCACGGATACATCTGAGAAATAATCACCTCCAAACGATTCGTCTTTATATCATATACAGGGGTGTAAAGAAAGTACGGATTTTTCGGTATTCTTTAGGACATCCTGTGGAGTGAACCACTGCTAATTGAAACGATTTTCCAACACCAAATTATGGCCCAATATATCCCGAATATTTTAGTTTTTTATTCATCTTGATATCCCAATTATCTAAGAAAATATAGAGTTTCAAAGAAGAGGTGGATATTGGTATTAATTTTACCACCTCGAAACTCGACCTGGGGAAAACGTGTCGTTTTTCAACTTGTTTCTGTGAGGATTTTTACTTCAAGATGAGAATTGTTCACAAATTTACCTGTCGGTTTACTGTTTGAAGACACATATACGAATACTCTCATGAATATGCAGGGGTGATAAAAGTTGCTCCAATGTTCTTTTGGTGAAATGCTATTTTTGTTAATCAACGTTGGCTATTTTGTTTATGTCATTAATTATTGTCAAAGTCAAGCGATTCACAATTCATAAATTTGATTAATGAAAATTCAACGTGAGAGATTTGACTGTGGGCCAATGTTCTTCTAACATATGAGAGCCGCATCTGCACCAATTCAATAGATGGCAGGGAAAAACTATATCGCCGAGGTGAACAAAATGAACAATTTGATTTCACTACTTCTGTCTCCTATGGTAGAGGTTTAGTCATGGTTAGGTTAGGTTAGTCAAGAAACCACACATTTTCAGATCCAATTTGAGTTTTGAGGTGTAACATTGATACCAATATCCACCTTTCCTTTGAAACTCTGTATTTTCTTGAATAATTGAGATATCGAGATAAATAAAAAACAAAAATATTCGGAATAGATTGGGCTCCAATTTAGTGTTGAGAAATCGTTTCAATTATCAGTGGTTCAGTCCACAGGATGTCTAAAAAAATACCGAAAAATCCGTACTTTCTTTACACCCCTGTATATGATGGAAAGACTCATCGTTTGAAGGTAATTATTTCTCAGATGTATTCGTGAAGAATGAAGCTACATTTCGTAAAGAAAAAAATTTGAATCGAGCGATCGGTTCGAAAGAAATTTTATGCCAAACTTAGTGTAAATTTTGCCCGTTCCCCTAATTGTGCCAGTGTGTGTATAAGCAATTATTTCGGATTTGATCACATTACAATCCAATATGGCGGACTTCCTGTACTTCTGGAAATGCCAGCAACTTTGTTTTTTCAAGTGAAACACCCTGTATATTTTTACATATTCAAGTTCAACAGGTCGAAACAAGTGCAATCTTTATTTCAAATGTCATTTTTTCGAAAACAAGTGTGGTCAAGACTATTCACAATGAGTCACACATAACAGAAGAACATATTTTTTTCTGAAAAATAATTTTTTGTGTCACCTATCCAGGAATCAATTCAGCCACATCACTTTTTGATCAAAAATTATTTTTTTTCAAATGGAACCCCTATGGGCCACCTACCCGTTTCTCTAGAACATTATAGGGATTCCCTTTCGTGCGCTCCAAGCGATAAAAAAAAACTAGTTTATGAATTTCCTTGCAGTTAGAATAATTTTTCAACTAGGTAGGCTTTGGAATAAATGACATTTGACATCAAGATTGCACTTGTTTTGACCTGTTGAACTCGAATATGTAAAAATATACAGGGTGTTCCATTTGAAAAAACAAAATTGCTGGCATTTCCAGAAAAACCGGAAATCCGCCATATTGGATTGTAATGTGATCAAATCCGAAATAGTTGCTTATATAACTGTACCGAATTTCAGAAAAATCCGTTGACGAATGCAGAAGTTACAGGGGTGGCCCGATAGCCTGTGTCACCCGGTATAGCGAGGTGAATATTTTTTTCTAAAAATTGACGATACATACGTCAACGTTTCAATGTGCCAAACTTCATTTAACAAGCAATATGAAAAAGTTATTTTTTTCCAGGGGTAGCTGAAGCTAGAGTCACTGGATGGTATTAGTTAGATGCTGAAACCACCTCAAACATATTTTTTCAAATTCAACCCTATGCATGGCTTGTGACCCCTCTTGGGAAAGCTGGTGGAAAGAGAAATTGAGCGTACTGAACATATTTTAGTATTTATTTCGTTTGGGGTTGCATAAAATCAAAACCTAATTTCAGAATTTAATTTTCAACGTAATAACAATTGCTCAAGATGTTGGTTGATTTTTTGTGAATTTCCAGGTTTACTTACCCCCACAAACAATTCAAAGGAATCTTATGCCAATTTCATCAACCAGGTAATCAATCATCTCTGAATGGAATCTAAGAGCATCAGTGTATTTTTGGAAACAGTATTCTAAACGGGGCCGTATCTGTGCATTGTAGATCATAAGAAGCTGTTGAGGTGTAAAAGTAGCTTTTCGTTCGAAATAAAAAGCCGAGTTTTCGTGAAGTATTTTTCGCGATGGATTTGACATGACTTTTCCATGAAAGAGTAAGTATATCGCTGATAGAAATGTCGAGCATAGATAGATATGGTGGACTATATGTGGAGATGCTGATTGTCTTCAATAAATAGTAAGTAGCTTATATGTAGATACCAGATTTTTCCCCATTTTCCTATAATTTTCAAGATGAAATTGTTCAATAGAAAGATTCAATACTTTGGGTATGTACCTATATACTTATTTTAAAATCAGCTTGTTTACGTAGCTCAATTTATTCACCAGTATTATATTATCTATATGCACAAGCCAAGAAAATGTTATACATCACTGACCTAAAAATAACTTTCCAATAGATTCGATCACAGTGCCTGAAAAATTACTGTTGATATTAGAATTATTATTATACTTGAAAAAGTGGTATATATTTTGTAGGAGAGATAGAAAGTTATGCGAAAAGGGGGTATTGATGAGATATAATTTATAGCGATCTTAGGAAGCCGATATGTGATGATAATAAATAGCAGCTCGAAAAACTGAAGAACACGCTTTTATAGATAGCCAAACTAAAAAGACGTAGAAAATGAAACAATAATTGTGTGTTGATAAACACACAACATAGAAAATATTAGAACCTCCGCAACCGCAGTACGTCTATGTTGTGTATTTATAAAGACGACACTATATATTATCACTTTATTTTCTACTCCTTTTCAGTTTGATTATCTATAAAAGCGTATTCTCTAGTTTTTTGACCTACTATATATTTACTACTACTACTACTACTACTACTATTACTATTCGGTCGGCTAACTACAAGAGTGTGTGTTTTAGTGTTTTAATATTTTTTATAAGTTACCAATTTTGACGAAAGAATCCGAAAACCCTCAGATACTAATTTTTAATAGAATCGGATCATGCTTACTTATAACCAATCCGCCGTATTGTATCCGCCATATTGAATTTTCCAATTTTGACAAGAGCATCATAATTTTCGACCACGGGAACCCCCAGTAACAAATTTTGAATAAAATCTGATCATAATTATCACAAAACTCATCCGTCATATTAGATCTGCCATCTTGGATTTCGAAATTTCGGCGTTAGAATCATAATATCTAACCCCAAAAACCCCCAGCAACCAATTTTTAATAGAATCGTATCATAATTACAAAACTCGTCTGCCATATATTAGATCTGCCATCTTGAATCTTCAAATTTTGACGAGAGAATCATAATCTCCGATCTCGAAAACTACCAGACACAAATTTTGAATAGATTCGGATCATAATTCCAAAACTCGTCCGCCATATATTAGATCCGCCATCTTGACTTTTCAAATTTTGACGAAAGAATCATAATCTCCGACCTCAAAAACCCCCATTTCAAATCAATTGGTCCGTTTAAAGTGTGTCAAAATCGAGTTCAATGGAGTTGGTTTGTATACAGGTGAAGCTAATATAGATTGTCCCGTAAAGAAACGGAAAGATTTCAACGGTCGGTAGAGCTCATCAAGGTGGTTCTGAATATACCATATTTGTAGGGTCTTGCAAGTTTTATATCCGAGAATGTTTTATGAATTTGGTTCAATTCTTTGTGAGGAATATTACTTATTATTATGAACCACCCAGTATTATTTTTATATTTGGTACACAAATCCTCCTTCTTCTATCCAAGCGACCACTCATGAGAAAAATCCAGGTCCGGATTAACGACCTGGATTTTGTGATAGTTTGTTGAAATCGTTTCATCGGGATGAATAAAGACATGATGAATATTATGGTTGTCCCATTTAAAATTTTGAACCTGATGTCACGTGGCCGAAAACAAAAAGTTCATTGGGTAAAAAAATATCAGAAAAAGCTGCACGAATAAATTGTTTAAATTCACAACTTCAAAATTAAAATTCTCTACTACTCCCGAGTTCCGCGATATTACATGTCTAATCGTCGTGGGACACCCTGTATATTATAATATCACCTGTTTAAAAAAAAAAAAAACTGTTGATCTATCATTTGACATGATAAGCGTTATTTTGGAATTTGCTGTTCAACTCAGAGATGTTTAATTTCGTGTAAAAAACACCTGTGTATGAATCACCCGGTATATTATATATATAACTCGCCCAATAATGTATAATCAACACAAAGAAAAGTTGATCTGAATCGCTCGTAGCGATCAGAAATTATTCACTAACAAATAATACTATAATTTTTGTGAGTCGTTTCAAGTTTCTATGAGTGTATATAGTTATAAACAAATAAAATTTTCAATCATCTCTCAATTGATTTATGCAATAGGCCCTTAATGTTCTTGAATTATCTCGATCTTGAATGTTCTAAAATAATCTTGAACCTTCTAGAATTATCATGAATGTTCTATATCTTGAATGTTTTAAAATGATCCTGAATACTCTAGAATGATCTCGAGTGTTCGGAAATGATCTTGTATGTTCTACAATGATTTTGCGAATGTTTTAAATGTTAGTACGTAGCCACATATCCTCTTACCAATAATTTGTTATCGACCGTCTTGACGACGATCTCTTCGGGGGTGTATTGGCTGACGTCGAACCTCAATTTGAGGCATTTGTTGTTGCCGTCCTCCTGGATGAGGGGCGAGTTGAGGTCGTCGTACCAGGTCCTCACGTCTCCTCCCGATGGTATTCTTTGGGCGACGTCGTTGCCAGATGACGTTTGACTAGTCGTGCTAAAAAAAATAATTAGACCGATTATAACAGAGAAATTGTAGTGAAAAATTAATTTGGTTGAGACCTATAATGACAAAAATGAATAGAAAAACATTCTTTAGGTAATTATTTTATGTTTCATTGGTGAACTTTAGGGTTTGAAACTCCATTAATAGACGCTGACAACGTTGGGAAATAAAAATTACACAACTCTTTTCCCTCTACACCATGGTATCCTCACATTTAATTTTTTACGTTTTTTCATGGAGATGATCTTAACCATTTTCATAAATAAACCAAACAATTATTGGCAGGCAAATTTCAATTGAAAAATTTTAAAAATATTCAAGAATTATAGCGTTCCGCTCGCCTTGTTGTCAAATAATAACAGTCGTCCAGTGAGTTGTTAAAAAAATCTCTAATTTCAAACATTGGAGAGTTAATGCATCAGTCATTCATGTTCCAAATATAAACGTTGACGTAATTTTCACGTGTATGAATATGTACGACCATTATCATTTTGTGTACAGGGACATACGGAATGAGCCTGCGAGATCTGATGAAGATGAGGTAATCATTTATCTACAGGGTGTTTGAATCCAATAAATAAAACATCATTTTTTTCCGTTTTTATTTTGCCATCATTGAAGAAACATTGATTTTTTTATTTCATTGCCAGAAAACTCAATTCTCTCAATCCAATGTCACACACTACGAGAAGTTGTGTTACTCTTTCCTCTCATGTATTTTCTTATCAACTGAGAAGTGAAATCATGTTCAATACTCAATTTTGCTGGAATATAGTTTAAAATCTTTTCTCAAAATATTTGACTTTGAATAAACGACTGCATAGACCTCTTTCATCTTTTTTTTTATCTCTTGGAGCGCACGGAAGGAAAATCTCATAATGATCGTGGAACATTGTGCCTACCTAGGGAGGAGGATAGGGAGAAGGGGTAAGTGTTGTTCGACATATTACAAGGTTAACGACGATAGGATGTGCTGACTGAGCCTGTTGAGTTCGTCTGACTGGTATTGCTAGTGATGGAATTATAGCAGAGGTTTCTGAGGAACATTTCCCGTGGAAGTATCTATAGAAAAGTTGAAGGTCGCCGACTATTCTACGGTGTTCTAATGATGTCAAAAAGTTGGTGAGTGTAGCATCATCGACCAGGCGAATGGCTCTTCTCTGGATGGAATCTAAGAGCATCAGTATATGTTTGGGTGCTGAACCCCATACATGAGAACAGTATTTTAAAACTGGCCGTATCTAGGTTTTGTAGATCATATGAGAAGCTGTTGAGGTGTAAAGTAGATTCTCGCACGCAACAAGAATCCAATTTTTTGTGAGGCATGGATCGGACATGATTTTCCCATGAGAGAGTATTGCTGATGGTAATAACGAGCATAGATATAGTAGTCTTGGTGGGAATGGTGGTACCAGACATTGTTATATCAGGCATACTGAGCTCTGCAATTTCTGGTGGAAATACAGGCTTGAGATTTGGTGGCGCTGAATTCCACTAGGTTGTTAGTTCCACAGGCTGTAATTTCCTCAAAATCTTCATTGACAGCGTTGGCCTGACTTCGTCGTGAGTTCTTAGTCTCCTGGGAATAAATAGGAATTCGTTTATACGAACTATCGCATAGATTTCGGGAGGATGTAATGCAATGTTCTGCGTGGCATATAGCCAGGAAAGTAGTTGTTTTCTCTCGTTATCTACCATTGTCGTTCATTTATGAACTAGTATGTGGTAATGACTTTGAGTTTCTCTCTTTGTGACCATTGCATTCCACTTTGAGTATTTGGCTTTTTCCCTAGTTGAAAATACGCCAGTTGGGCAACCAGCCACTCCCATTTCACCTGAAATGGGATTTTGTTTTGGAGTGTTTCTTTCCTTGCCAGGTGGCGTTCGGCGTTCGCGTTTTCATTTCGCAGACGTCGAACGCCTCGTATGGTATAAATGCTGAGATGCGTTTACGTTGGGTCAGGTTCGCACCAGATAGCGGTCAAGAAGCTATCTGGGACAGCCCTGTACTGATGAGAGCCAAGAGCTCGAAACCGGTCTGCAGGTAGTCAGCGTTCCTGAACCACTTAAGCGCAGCTCAGCGTTTAGTAAGGAAACACTTGCGATTTTATTCGTTTATACGAACTATCGCATAGATTTCGGGAGGATGTAATGCAATGTTCTGCGTGGCATATAGCCAGGAAAGTAGTTGTTTTTCTCTCGTTATCTACCATTGTCGTTCATTTATGAACTAGTATGTGGTAATGACTTTGAGTTTCTCTCTTTGTGAATTCTAGAAGAGCTGTGGATATGGAAAGGTGGATGCTCCCGCAATAGATCGTTGATATTAAGTAGGAACAATCTAATCTAAATCTAAATCAGACGATACTCCGTAAACCACCATATGAAGCTATCTGCCTGAGAGAAAACTCGAGAGAGATGGCATAGCTGAGGTGGTAAGCCGTATGATGGTAGTTTGTGGAGCAGTCCTTGGTGCCAAACACGGCCGAATGCCTTCGATATACATCAGGGTGACATTTCGAAAACTTTCCAGCCTCAATATCTTCCTTTCCAGTAAATAATATGAAAAATCGAAAGGACAGGTCAATTTCATTTTCAAGGGAGACACTTTGAGATGTTACCCTTACAATCTCGAATGGGAAGAGGGAAGAAGCACATAATTTTGAAAGGCGTTCAATTCAACAGTACCCTAGCTTATCATTTTCTGTTGAACAGTTTTCGCAAAATGCCGTGTCAATTAGTATCCTCCTTCCAGTAAATAATATGGAAAATCGGAAAGACAGGTCGATTTTGTTTCCAAGGGGAACACTTCAAATGCTTATTTTTAGCCCTCATGGTTCAACCCTCTAGAAGGAGTAAATGTTACTCTAAAAACCTCACTGGATGAAAGGGGCCAAGAGGCACCTTAGAAGAGGCACATTATTTTGAAGGACGTTGAATTCTCTTTCCAACAATACCCTAGTTTATCTACCGATCTAAATTTACAGAAGTTATAATAACATGTACATGAACAATTGTATTGAGTCTCCTCTCAGTTTAAATAGTTGGAAGATTTTGAACTGAAAGTTGTGAAGAGTCAATATAATAATGAAAACCTCAAAACCAATCATCTCAGTGCAGATATATGTTCTAATTACTTCCGTAAGTTTAGAACGACATGTTTCGTAAACTGCTCATCGAAATGAGATAAACTATAGGATACTTTTCAAATGAGGATCTTAGGGTAACATTTACCCCTCCTAGGGGGTTGAACCATGACGGCTAAAAATAAGCATTCAGAGATTCCTCCTCGAAGATGAAATTAGCCTGTGTTTTCGATTTTTCATATTATTTACTGGAAGAAAGATATTAAGGGTGGGAAGTGTTTTAATTGACACGGCATTTTTCGGAAACTGCTCAACAGAAAATGATAATAAAGTAGAATACCGTTGGAAAGAGCCCTTCAAAATGATGTGCCATTTGACCCTCCTTCTCATTTAAGATTCTAAGGGTAACATCTACTTCTCCTAGGGGGTTGAAGCAAGAGGGCCAAAAATATTAATTTTAGTTCTCTCTCTAGTTTATTTTTCATATTATTTACAGGAAGGAAGACCCTGTATCTAACGCCATACCTAGAGATTCTTCATGTTTTTCTAATGGAGCTTGCCATATATGGGTGACGTTGGCAAATAAATCTCTAGTTGATCTTCGGTGGCGAAAGGCGGAAGACATATTGTCTATCATTAATAATTCCTGAGCTTTCCAGATATTTATTTGATGATCTCAATGTTGATGGCTTTCTCCATCAATTTGGAGATGACTGATAACAGGGCAATTGGTCTATGTTGTGCAGGCTTTTGTTTCGTGTTTTGGGGATTGGTTGGATTCTAACAAGATGGAAAAATACCCGACTTGGAAGAAAAGATAAATAGCTTACAGAGAACCGGTGTCAATTATTCTGATGTACACTTTTTGAGAATTAATAAATGTTATATTCCATCAGGACCATATTAGACTTATTCGTTTTAAGACCGAGCAGAATGCGTTGATACTATAGTAACGATGATATATAGGATGATTGCAGAGCGATGCAATTAAAAAATGCTTTGTCATGTATCCAACAGTAAGAATCAATTCAGGTATCGGTCTGTAGAATTCAAGAACAGTTTCAGTCGTGTATTCAACAATCTTACTGTACTAAGTTCTAGATTTTCAAGGGAAAGTATGAGGTTAATAAAAGGTCTGGTAATAAATCGATATGGCTAGCAGACTTGCAGGCAGGTGAACTGGGTGAACAACGCTTTTCCCTTTTTAGGACAAGGATATATCGAACGTGTTCTGCTTGTTATGATAAAGCCAACAAAAAAGCTCATTTCCATTCAAATATGGTTATAGCACCGCCCAGTATGAATTATTATGAAATTGTTGATGTGTAGGTAGGTATCAGTGCGGGTTTCGACGAAAAATCACTGAAAGATAAGTCATGCCGCATATAGATTCAATGCCAAAACCACGCAAAGTACCTACTTTCATCATTTTTGTGACCCCATTTCATTTCTCATTCAAAACATTTTTAGGAAATTCATAAGTACGTATTTCTGAATTATTAACAGAGCAAGATAAATGTTAAGGTAGTAGAACAATAAACATCAACGTTCTGCTCTGGAAATCAATATGTGAGCATATAAAGGCGTACTTACTTTTTATATAATCGTATATACGCCTCGTCGTAGGACCATAATAAAACTCCCTGACCAAACTTAGCCTCCACAATTTTATCACGAAAAATATTAATTAAAAGAAACACGAAACTAAAAATATTACGTGTTGGGTATGGTTCGAAAGATTTAGGCACTTCTCGAAAAACTAGGTGAAGGTATACAGCGAGGTATACAGTCAAATGCAGAGCACGCTTGTCGCGGTTGGATGTGCGACATGTTTTCTACATGTGATTGTACCTACATTGCATTTTCCGTCTAGTTGAAATCATGATGAGAATATTGAATCAACCTAACACAGTTGGTTTGAATTGGAACAATCCTCTCATTGTCAAGCCCATTAATGACTTATGGAACAGGACAGGAAATGCATAACCAGACCATTGAGACCAGATTCGCGCACAATTCGAACAGATAATTAAAGACCCATTGAAAGACTATGTTCCGACGAAATAAGAAAGACCAACAGTTATCATGATTCAATCAACATATTACAGTTTTCTACTCAATTTATTTAAATTGAATTTGATATAATATTATGTTGTAATGTAATTTTCAACAAGTATACAGGGTGGGTCACGGTAGATGGCACCTTAGACGTTTACGGAGAACGGGACATAAGATCATTCTGAAAATTTTGTTACTCAAGTAATTGCTCTTGATCTATCGATCTAAAATATTTTCAGCTCTGCGGCGTTGCCGCTTCTATCGAAAAGTAGCAACAACTTTGTTATTTTAAATGGAACACCCTGTATTTTATTGCATCTTCAGATTCTCTCTGAAGAGCTGATTTCATCGATATATCACACTTGGGGTCTAGCGGAAATGATTACAGAGATATAGGGTGTGAAAAATCGACATTTTTCAACTTGAGGAATTTTTTTTGTCGAAACTTCATTATTGGTCAAAACGGCTTACATGTCCCTATCTCAACTTTTGATTAACTATCTACTGATATTTAATTGGGACATATACCGGGTGATCAAGAATCTGAATTCTGCACCACCCTGTATTTGTTTCAATTAAATGTCAGTAGATAGTTGATCAAAAGTTGGGATAGGGACATGTGAGCCGTTTTGACCAATAATGAATAGTTTCGACAAAAAAAATTCCTAAAGTTGAAAAATGTCGATTTTTCACACCCTATATCTCTGTAATCATTTCCGCTAGACCCCAAATGTGATACATCGATGAAATCAGCTCTTCAGAGAGAATCTGAAAATGCGATAAAATACAGGGTGTTCCATTCAAAATAACAAAGTTGTTGCTACTTTTCGATAGAGGCGGCAACGCCGCAGAGCTGAAAATATTTTAGATCGATAGATCAAGAGCAATTACTTGAGTAACCAAATTTTCAGAGTGATCTTATGTCCCGTTCTCCGTAAACGTCTAAGGTGCCATCGACCGTGACCCACCCTGTATATTGCCATGATAAAGTATACTACTTACCTACTTTGTTTATTTGTATAAATTGTCATTGTAGTTAGAGACGCCGTGTTTATGATTATGCAAATGAATAAATAATGTATGAGATCATTTCTGTATTTATGGATAACTGGTTAAGAATAGGTAGATACTCTAACGTCATATTATTATCACTGAATAATATTTTTCAAAAATTCACTTGAATCATATGGTTTCAAAGATTTTTTGGTATCTTCCTGTGCTGGTATTTTGCAAAAATAAATGATCTATGATGATTTCCTGGAAATTTCCTGCAGTGAATATCTATTTACAATCGAAATAAAAGTAATAATAAATTGTCAATAATCCATCAATTTCAAATGAAATTCCGTTATTCATAGATTCATAGATTTCTCGCAGTATTTTGTAATCTATTCATAATTTTGTATCATGGCATTCACCATTAATGATTTTAATAATTGTCTATGAAATTCTGGGCTTTCCAAAGATTTACTACGTTTTCAAGTTTGATTTCTTTCCATATGGATCATGAGTCTGCTCCTTCCAATATTCATTCTACCCCAAGTTCTACCCAATGATTCTCCATTTTTTTTTCTTCGGATTTTGGAACTGACCAAAGCTTCATCTAGTAATTCAACATATTTCGTTGATATCAAATGACAATTATTACGGTAATATTATCATGAGTTCACCTCGGATTTCACCTCCTAAAGTCGGAAATTATAAGCAAAAATCTCGGCAAGAATTTTATAGATAGAGTAGGCCCTGATGTATGAGTATACCGCATATTCAAATGAGAGCAAATATGAAGAAAGCAAATTTAAGAATCACTTATTGAAAGATTCTAGATAATTTGTCATTATTAATGACCAGCATCAATCCTTGGCACGACAAATACCAGACGAAAAATCGTTTTTTTTTTTCTGCCAAGCAGCTATCGAAGTATGCGCTGTATGCGTTACGGTTAGCCAGCATAGTTATTTTGGATCCAGGCGTGTTTGCCTCTATAAACACATTATCAATGTTATATATTTAACTCGGCTGGCATTCCAGAACATTTTCAATTGTTGTGCATTGGATACGCATAGGTACCTTTTCTATTCTAGAACGTGATGTCATATTAAATGTATTGTATCTGAAGGTATCCACAAGTCATGAAATTTTGATTTCGAATTTCTTTCAAATAATGAACATTTCAAAATGATCAGAGAATACAATGAAATTGTCATTCGTGTTGATGTAATGTAAATTTTATATTCCGTTATGACCTAGTTATGACGAAGATTTCCTGGAGGGCTATGTAGGAAAAAACGTATATACTTCGAGGTATACCTATACATCATGAAAAACTGTTCTCTTTATGTTTCGCCATTAACAATGATTATTAAAATATCGCAAGAATGTGAAAATGTGCTTCGTGAATACCTATTCCTATATTTCTATATAGGTACTTAATTTATTTACATTCCACATGAGGATGAAATCTTCTTATACCTTCGCCTATACCTTTATACCTTTATAGGCACCTATAGCAAATTTTTGAGGAACTTGAATATAGGTTGGGATTCTCAACATAAATCATAAATCTGCTCGGCTTACGCATAGAATGCATTTTTCTGGTCAAAATAAGATTTTTTTATAAGCATGTGTCCGCAACTCGGTCCGCAATCGCTTTGTTACCGATCTACAAAACGTTGAAGTTTCAAGATTTCGAGAGATGAAAAAGTTTAGCAAAACACAACATTTTCGAAATCTACCAGCAGCACACCACCAAAAAGTTTATAGAGCGAAAAACAACCTGATTCCTGGAAAAATATAACTCCCTATAGATTCTTTACAATCACTCAGCATATATACTGTATGATGTGTACCATAAAACGTTACCTAGGTTTTAAATTTGATCTGAATATCTCAAAAACTGAAAGACCTGAAAGGAAAAAAAGGAAGAAATTTCAAACTTTATATCTCTGTTTAGATCGGTATAACGATGTGGACACATTTTTATTTGAAACAAAGTCTTGATACTGAATTTTGGAACACCCCTCGTTACACCCTGTATAAAGATCTGGAAATAAAATAAATCGATCGCTACTATATATATGTGATTCCGCATAAAATGTCCTTCCCCTTTGGGGTTGAACTTGAAAGTAGGTAGAGGATTATTGATCGGAATAAATCACATACAATTCATCTTGCAATTTAGTAAGGTATATAAATTATTTATTTTTGGTATATTTCTGTCAAAGTCATCGCACAAATGAAGGTAGCTAAGAAAGTTATTCAAAACTAATGGAATGGAGTGATCTTTTCCTACAGTAGGGCAAGTCGAAATAATTATTCAGGTAGGTATATTGACATTTATCGCGACTGCGTTTCTTTGGTGAATTTTCAGGTCCTCAACTTTTTTCTGACAGTTTATTTCAACTATCATATTTTTAACTACGCCACTGGTTAATAACTGGGTTGACTGGGTTCCGCTTAATATATCATTTTTATTATTGATGATATAACTTACCTTGTGGTACTCCTGAAGAAATTGTTGGATTCGCGGTTCATTAATTCCGATCTGAATTTGCTCATCTCTTCCTCCATTTTTCTCATCTCGGCGTCAAACCTCTCTCTGATGCTGCAGAATTCCGAGTCGATCACACTAAAATCGCCCATCTTGATGGGGATGTTCCTCTTTATTCCCTCCGCCATTTTGCAGATGATATACTAGTCGCACACTTTTCGGACTTTTTTCGAACGTCGCTCGCAAACGGCTGAACTGAACTGATCGGAAACGAGAACGCACAAACGTATTTTAAAATCACTCATTCACAACAGAACCCACAGAGACGCAGACCGAGGATTGAGGTATGCCTATAAATAGAACAGAATACAGAATGTTCTCTACGGGGGCTCCGTTCGTTTGCGCACTCTCCTCGACGACGCTGCCAAATCGTTGGCAGTGAAAGTACCTAAAATAATTGGGCCCTCACAGGAAATAAATTGTAGTTAAAAAAACTGAAGAAACACTCTATTATAGATAGCCAAACTGAAAGAAAGTAGAAAATGAAATAATAAAAGTGTGTTGATAAATATTTACACAACATAGAAAATACTGATTACGGAGGTGCAAAAATCTTTTTTCTGCAACCGACACAAAAGTCGTCCATTTTGATACCAAAATTAGCTCTTAAATTGACGTTTCTATTACTGACACAAAAATAGGTAGGTTGCTAGGCAACATATTTAGTTCCTTTCCTAGGAGCTAAAGTTGAATTTTAGTTCCTCGCAAATTTTGCTTTCGCTCGGCATCGCTAAACGCTCCGCCTCGCAAATGCAAAATTCGCTCGTCAAACAAAGTGTCACTTTTGATCCTAATAAAACAATCTACTATTATGTTATCTATCTAAGTATTTTATTTTCTACTTTTTTTTAGTCTGGATATATATAAAATCGTGTTTTTCAGATATTCAAACTACAATTTATTTTCTGTTGTTTAGTTTGGCTAACTACAAAAGTGTGTTTCTCAGTTTATTGTACCGCCCCGCAGTAAGAGTGTGTAATTTACGCGCCTCTGTTGCTCTCCTTGAATGTTGTAACCGTTTATCAGGCTCCCATCCTGGAAAATTTATTTCATACAAGTACTTAGTGCAAGACACTATACCGCAGCGATGTAACAATTGTGATCTGCGATATCGCATTCTATGTTGCATAGACGTCGCTCCGATGTCAGAGAGATGTTATTTTCTCCCATTCAAGTTACCTCCATGCGACGTCGCTGCGATAAGTTCTCTGCGACATAACAGCGATATATTTTTTTCAATGTGATTGAGATATGTCATTAGTGATAGCGATGTGTTTTTGCAAGAAACCTACGATGTGATGCGAGGTTACATCGCAGTAAAACGAAAAAAAAAGTTCCTTTCACCACTAACTTCTGATGACATCTTATATTGATTATGTGTTGTTGTGACTGATTGGTGGCCCTTCGGGTCTCCTGTCCATTCAATCGTCTTTCAGCGACGCTATTTTTGGAACCTAAGAATCTCTATCAGAATGAGGAATTATGTAGTGTTTGTCGCCGAGATGTAAGCATACCGAGAATAATTTGATAGCAATGTAAACGAATTTTTGCGAATTTAGCCTCACATTCTTGAGTAACATGATATTCATGTATTGTTTTTCACCGAACAAGAATCTAAATAACAAATTTTTGAAAAATTCTCGCATATAAGTCATATACGTATTAATAATCAATACGGATAATCTCTATCTGTTTCCATAGCGAAACATGAAGCCGATTTTTGAAGACAAATGACTATCCATAAGGAAAAGTGAGATACGATCAGACACATACTGCTTTGATTGAAAGGCTAGTAAACGTCATTGTCCACCGAAACGTATGTCTTTGATGACTACGTATCATGCCACCAAATCCTTATGGATATTCATTTGTTTCATATTTTTGGCTTCATCCTGGCACCCGTAATGATCCGTATTGTTTTTTAATACGTATATGATATAAGTATGCTTTTGTACATCGCAGCAATGGAACATTAGTAATATCACATTGTTGCCTCATCAAAACATCTCAGAGATGTCATGTCGCAGATGTGTTTGCTTCTAAACATTGCAGCGATGAAACATTCGTAATATCGTAGTGTTCCCTCATCGCGACATCTCAGAGATATCATATGTCGCAGATACGTGTTTGCTTTTGTACATTGCAGCGATTAAACAATCGTAATATCGCAGTGTTACCCCATCGCGACATCTCAGAGATGTCATGTCGCAGATGTGTCAGCTTCTGTTTATCGCAGCGATATAACATTCGTTATCGCAGTGTTTCTTCATCGCGACATCTCAGAGATGTCATGTTGCAAATTTGTTTGCTTATGACTATCGCTGAAATGGAAAGTTTGTGATATCGCACTGTTACCTAAACGCGACATCTCAGAGATGTCATATCACAGATGTGTTGGCTAGGTATTCATACGAGTACTTGGTATTATTAAACTATTAAATTACGCTATTATTGTCATCAGTCCTTATACTCCTTATAATCTATAATAAGTGTGTGAAGTTTCAGTTCAATTCGACGTTTTGAAGTGGGTCAAAATCACGTTCGAAGATTTCATTACATAAATGCACACATACAAACATACATGCCAAACTTTTTCACGATACATGAGTAAATTCAGACATCACTTCGTCAACTCATGACTCCACCTTGGTAATCTAATGCCTCGATCCTCGATAATCCTAGGATAGTATGGTAACGTCTTACCACACAATTTTATTTTCCGGAAATATCGGTGATTATCTACGGCTGCTGGCCAGCAGTATGAACCATTCACTGAAGACATGAACCAATACTTGATTATTGCGTTTATATCTTCGGTGGGTTCCTATTTCTATTCAGCTTTCAAGAAAATAAATGAAACGCACCGTATTATGTAGAATATATCCTCAATAGTACAGTCGAAATTGTAGGCCTGGCAACGTCTTTTATATTCGATATGCGAAACAGAATAATAAGTAATTAAAATGAGAAATGAGTCAGAACAACGTAGGAGAGGAGAGGTGGGTTGTCTAGAAAACTCTATTGTTTTGATGAAGATTTCTATGAAAATCCTTCCAATTATAGTATTTCATCTTATCATCTTCTATAGAAGTTGTAAGAACTTCTAAGCAAATTTCATGGAACTGCTGCGTGGTCGTTTTAAATACGATTAGGTATAAAGCAATAATGTATTTACAACCAAGCAGAAGATTTCCAAAGGTTAACTATACGACAGTCCTTCTAAAGTTCAATACAAAATAAACCTATGAATATATTTCACAACGACGTTATATGAAATTAACTTTGATACTTTTGGAAATACCCACATATAAAACCGATAGATGATAAAGTTGTGAAATGCATTTTGAATATTGAAATATGTAGCTGACAATCCAAGAGAAAAACAAGATGAAGGTAAAGTTAGAAACCGACGACATTATTAAAAATAATCAAGAAAATATTCTTCTGCAACAAAAAATATGGTATATACAAGGTGTTTCTAAAATAGGTGGTCAAACTTTGGGAGTATATAGTGTGAGTTAAATAATTACGAAAACCTTGGTAACATTTTTTTCTGAAGTGCCCCCCAAGAAAGATACAGCCCCTCAAAGGGGGGTCTCGGAGAATGATTTTGTACTATTATCTTCAACACCTTGTATGATGAAAATCTAAAATTTTGTTTATCCACTAACTATTCAGTGCCGGTTCGAATGGAGTTAAAATCACCTCAAAATTAAATACAGGAGTGTGTCAAAATAGGGAGGTAGGGGGTAAAAATAACCCCAACTTTTCAAAATTGGTTTGTAAGGGTTTTTGGGGTTGGAAATTTTGAATTCGTTGTCGGAATTCATGAATTGAAAATAGACGACGAGTTTCGTGATTATGGTCTGATCCTATTGAAAATACTAAAATAAAAAATTTTGTTAAAAACGACCTTTTTTTAAATTTTATTCGCTAATAGTTCATTTTATCGAGATGCAACAAGAGCACCTTTTCTATGTAAATAGCCCTGAGATTTCATAATTTCATGTCAAAAAACTGAAATTGCGATGAACAAAAAAGTTGGGGTTATTTTTACCCCCTCCCTCCCTATTTTTACACACCCCCGTATTTTATTTTGCGGTGATTTCAACTCCATTCGAACCGGCACTGAATAGTAAGTGGATGGACAAAATTTCAGATTCTCATTATACAAGGTGTTGGAGATAATAATACAAAATCATTCTCCGAGGCCCCCCTTTGAGGGGCTGTATCTTTCTTGGGGGTCACTTCAGAAAAAAATGTTACGGAGGTTTTCGTAACTATTTCACCCACTTTATATGCTCCCAAAGTTTGACCACCTATTTTAGAAACACCTTGTACATTGGTCGTGGCGAAAAATTGATACGCCCCAGTTCGATAACTTTTGGGTTTTTTGAAATTTGGTAAAAGAAAATTTTGGTTACGAGTTGGATAGCACATTTAAAATAAATATAATATGTTTTCCAATTCAGTTTACAATAGAATATCATCTTCAATTAGTGAAATGATATTATAGAAACCACATCCTTTATAAAAGAAACAGTTCTTCACTTGGCGTGAATAATAATTATAGAATTGTTCACTTCCTTATGGGTTCTACTTTGCTAGTTGAGCTACCTAGACCTATTAATTTTTCATTCTATATCATTCTTTTTTTTTGTCCCTTATTCCCATTTCAACAAAATGTTTCTTTCATATGTTTAAGAATACGTGTTATAGGTATATCTTAGCTACCTTAAATCTAACTGATTGGTAGATTAGCCATTTCACTCCCATTTTCATTGAAGATAAAGAGGAAGAAAGAAGGCCTGTTGATATTTCAAAATTTTCCATGATCCATGACCATGACCGTGAAAGTAATAGTAGAGGGAAAATCATAAATCACAAAAATGAATTATACATAAATAGTAGTTCCAAAAGCCAAACTAAAGAGGAGTAGAAAATGAAAATAAAAGTGTGTTGAGAAATATACATTTATTTTCTATGTTGTGTATTTATCAACACACTCTTGTCACCTATTTCATTTTCTACTTCTTTCTAGTATCTATAAAAGCCTGTTATTTCCCAGTAAACACAAACATCCCTGGAATGTAAACGTTTATGTCTGGCTAGGTAACAATGCGAATCA